GCTGTTCAAGGAAATACGGTACTCCAATTATACTCAGTTCACAGGGTTTTTTTCAACCCACAGCACTGCCACCACCACTACCCTCCACACAACCCACCACCACCACCGACACTACCACCACCAGCCATTGCCGCTGCCGCCGCCACCGCCACCACCACCACCAACATTTCTTCAAACACAACATAGTGAGATCTGTTGTGTAAGTACATAATCACTTCATCAATATTAAATTAACCCTTTATTACCGGCCTGCAGACTTTCGATCATATATGATCGAAAGTCTGCAGGCCAGTAATATCTTCGTAACTCGATCATTTCTTGTGCGAATTCAACAATCGAAAGGTCTATTTGGTAGCGAAAACTCCAAGCTATCGAATGCAACAATCGCCGAAGAGTTATTGGACACCAGAGATATCAGACGCCGTATTCTCACCTCGGCAAATTCAAATTTTTGATCGATCAGTTCGCCATTTTTTGGGAAAATCCCTTTTCGTGCGCTCTTTGAGCGACTAAGCACATGATTATGACGTAGTCAGCTGAAGTTTGAATCGTCTCAAACAAATTTGAGCGTTCTGCGATGAAGGAGAGTGGAATGGCGTTGATGGGACGAATTTGCTTGCATATCAGGCTTGGAGACGACTTTGCTATGTTACCGCGCCTGATCTGTGGCGACTGGATAATGGAGCTTGGAACCCTGGCGTTGCTCTCGCCAAGAGCTTTCCAACGAGCCCTAGATTGTGAAAATCAAGTGAAGGAGACCAAAGTTATGACCTGGTGAAGTTGGAAATTGTGCTGAAATTCGTAATCCTGGTGCATGCTGTGCAAGTAATCCGGTAATAAAGGGTTAAAATTATTGCCATTTGTAGTGACGGAACAAATTAATTTCACAATATATTCTCAAAGAAGTCTTCCTATAGCAGATGGTGTATTAATACTCCCTTTGGTAGAGAAGTCTTCCTATAGCAGATGGTGTATTAATACTCCCTTTGGTAGAGGGTAGCATAACGTATTCAAGTCTAACAGGTAACTTTACTGACCGTGCTTTCCCGCAAAGCTGCGGTTGAATCCCTGGACAATCACCTTGCTGACAGTGGTGGCATCAGTTCCATGGAATAGCCGCAGCTCATTGCTTTTCGACGTTGATTGTGGGTTGTTCTCCATTTGAGTCTTTTTCGTTTGGTACTGAGCGTATAGCCCTGGCACCTGGATACGTTCAATTTTGGTAACCTGCTGCCCAGCCGTCCTCCTGAACAGCTGTTCCACCTTTTGGTATTCTGGGTCGCTTTTCGTGAGTTGCACAAGGGTGCCACCTGCCTTTAGATCCCAGTGACTAGGAGTGAGATCTGGCACACACACACACGCACACGCACACACACACACACACACACACACACACACACACACACACACACACACACACACACACACACACACACACACAAGCAGTAAGAAGGACACAGTAATCATGGTAATGTTGCAAGGTCTCTGAATATCACTAGGCCTGGCGCCTAAACATGATGCGACACACTGAGATGGTGACAATGATGCCTCAGTGCTGCTGGTAGGGTCATCCCAAGCTGTGGCAGTAGTGTAGGAGTACTCGAGTGTCTGGTACAAGTTACGGTTTATGGAATTAATTTATTTTCAAACGATCTTCCACTATAAAAAAACCCGTTCAATCCACGGTTGTATTGCCAATATACTGTGAAGTCAGAACGTGCAACATTTGGCATGGCATTGACGGATGATACTGACATTCGGCTCTGTCAGGTCCTGGATGCACTGACGAACAGCCAGAAGGTTCTTGCCTTCTTGGTAAATGGAAACAATTTCTGAGCGGGAATCTTCCAAGTTGGAAGGCTGTTGTTGGTCAGTGCACACAGGACGTGATAGAGCCAAATATCAGGTTGTGATAGAGCCCAACATTAGGTTGTGATAAAGCCAAACATCAGATTGTTGAATGTGAGTGCCATCCAGATGTATTGTGCCAACTTTTATACATTCACACACTCTGGCCCCACAATATTTTGGCAATATGAGCCAGAGAGCGCTAAAACATGACCACAGCTTTTTTGGAAAAAGTCAAGAAAATCGCGATTTGAATTCCGTGGCAAAAAAATACGAAATGCAGTGCAACGCGAGTCGCTGTTGTTGTTCTCCTCGGTCGACTGAACTGTTCCGGATGCATTTTTTTGTTGCAAGTAAGTTTATTTGTTTGCGTTTCTATTCCATGTTGCGCTGAGTTGCCTAAAACTGATCGTCATCGATGTATCGAAGGAAGAGCCTAATGTACTGCGGAGCGGAAGAAGACCACATCCTCGCACTCCATGCGCAGGATGAAATATTTTTGAGGATTTGCGTCGGAAACAGAAGGAAGACGATGATGGCTACAGCGACGAGTCTTTTGAGGGCGACACTTTCATCGAGCGTAAACTAATCGATGCTGGTACAGTAGTCCCACGATCTGCAATGACAAGGAATTCTACTCTGATGAAAACCTGGCAAGCGATTGGCATCGACACTGACTTGGGAGGTGAGTCGGCCGATGATTCGGCCAGAGTGGACATCGCTGCACATATCCGGGACAATGCCAGTATTGGTTACAAGTGCAAAAACAATCAGTGGACTCTGCTGCTCCCTCAAGTCGATAATTTGAGTACCCTTATGCGGAACATTGCTAGCACGAGCAGTAGGCAGCGAAAGCAGTACTCTCTGGCGAGCGGAGAAAACCATGTGCAGATGGGCTTTGGTGTGGAGAGTATGAGTGCGACATCGAGTATGTTGAGGAAGACTGTGTGCAGCAGTGTATACTGTATATCTGAACGCACAGGTGGAGTGTGATGGACGTGGAGTGTCAACTTCTTCGGACGTCTACAAATGTTGACCGTGTTTTCGCTGGCGGTTCTCCAGTGGTGCTCCAACCAGGAGGTATTTCAGACACCCAGCTCAGCTGCCTATAGAAACTTTGGATTTGGCCGAGTACCTGTCAGCTCATGCTATAAGACCCTGGACAGAGGAACAGACCCGGAAAGGATGAACCAAGGCACATATCCACTGTATGCAAAAATGACAATCCCATTGCTGTACATAAAGTTCCACCATTTCAACAGTGCTGCATATAATACCATTGTAGCAGCACTTAGACTAGGGATATCAGCGAACGCACTGCGCAGCCCATCTGCGCAGGTCAGCCTGGCCCATCTACGCGCGGCCGACAAGAAAACTCATGAACACTTTCATTTTTTTGCAAAATAAATCGTGCGAAGAAGATGCACGGAATGGCTGAAAACTAGGCTGAGGAATAGTAGCATCCAGAGACTCTCAAACAAATTCATGGTCCATCGCTTCTGACAATGGCAGCGAAGACATCAGGGAGCTGATTGCAGCAACTCTCTACCAAGCGCGAAGCTGGTTACTCACCAAGGCAGGGCGCTTCCATCGCGCGAGAAATGGCCGCGAGCGAGAAATGCAAGTCCGATTTTGGAACGATCCAACCAGGGAAATTCCTTGAAAATTGGCCTGAACACCTCTCATACTGGTGTTTCACGATGTGCAAACTTTCAGAGAAATCGACCGGGGAGAACGTGGTGAGTACGTGGGTCCTCGAGTATCGCGTATGATTTGAATGGTCGCGGGGACAGAAGAACAGTAATTTTACGACTCCCAGCGGTGCAAACAGACCGCGGCCATGTTTTCTCTGTCGGCCGCGATCACGTTCAAAAAATCGATGACGCAATGCATGCGCAGAGGCCTGCGCAGTGCGTTCGCTGACATCCCTACTTAGACATGTCAGAAAAATCCAAAACTTTCAGACAGTGAACATTAGGTGTGTTTGATCATTTTGGAACAAAAACTGAAAATCGATTTTTTTTGTCTATGGTCATATTTTAGCGTGCTCTGGCTCATATATTGGTGGACAACCAGGCATATAGCAAGTAAACTTTGGTCCTTTCATTCTTGAATTTAATTCTTGGCTGCACATCCAAGTTCATGCTGGTATCTGCATTGGTAAATGGTAATGTTACCTTTTTTTGTCAGGTCATTCCGGATCACCACAGCTGTCAATTGGCTATTGACAAGTTCCTTCATTGTTCGGAAGTCGACCTCCCGACGTGTGGTTCCAGCAATCTTTCCCAGAACAGGACCCCTTCGTGTCATATAGTCCTGATAGGCCTCTTCCAAGTGCATGTTGTCAGTCAGTGAGTAGTTCTGTTCCAGCGAGGATCCAGCTGTCTTGTAGCACCACTGAACTGATTTTGCGATGCTGGTGGCATGCTTCAACTCCATCTCTCTCATCTTTGCCGAATTGATTATCTCCATCAGCTGACCTTTGGCTTCGACAACGCCCTCCTTGTCGCCACTGATCACAACCTTGTCTTGACTGATCTGCAGGTGGATGTTGAGTTTCTGCTGAAAGCCAAGGATCTTCTCAAGATCAGAGTCACGAAGTGCCGAAGTGTCTTGAGATAAGTCCGTAGTCCTATAGTTGTCATCACAAAGAGACTGGATATTGGTCATGGCTTTTTTCATATTTCCTCGGTCCAAACTGTACACGTTTAGAACCAGTGGCTCTTCTTCAACGCTGTAGCGGCCGCTGCTCCGGAAAGCTGCCATAGCATCGTTTGCTGCTGCTACAGCCGAGGGTGGTGCACTTGGGTTGCTTCCAGTTGTCAATCCGAAGCTAGCCATTAAGCGCTTGCCAGCGGCTAAAAGGGAGTCATCTCGGGCAATCACCACTTGGTCTAGCTCATCGTTGACTTCATCCTGGAACGGGCGCAGGCTCTTATCATCATACAGAGGCAGGCGCACAACCTGGACAGACTGAGCCTGCGGTGCAAACATCTTCAGGGCACGGACAATGGCTTCTGCACTGTCTCGGGGTGTGAATCCGAGGATGCCCGTGCCAAGAGCAGGCATGGCAACTCTAGTAGCTCTGCACTGGTCGGCCGCCTTCAGTGCTCTGTACACGGTGTCCTCTAGGAGGTCCACTCCGGAACTGTGATCAGCACACACGGCCAACACTAGATGTTTGCAAAACTTTCCACCATCTACCTGGACAACACTCCCCGATTGCAATTGGCCTTGCTGTGTGATATCCCGACATTGTTGCTGAATACTAGCTCCAGCTATCTCCACGATCCTCTTGGACACAATGCCCTTGGACAAATCGAGGCTGCTGTCAACAGACACGATGACTGCATCGGCGTTTTCCTTCACAATGTCACCCTTGAAGAGGTGGAGCTGAACCGAGGAGCGTGGGACTTTCCCGCAGAGCACATCACTGTCTTTCTGAATATACACTGGACCAGTTGCAGCAGCAGCAGCAGCAGCAGACCTAGTGTTCACCATCGGAAGATGCTCTAATTCGCCCGGGTCCATCTCTGCCGCTGCTGAAGGAGACGGACTGCTGTGTTTGAAGGCTTCCGCATGAAAAGCTTGCAGGACTTGATTATCGAAGATGACAAACCGTATCTCTGTGAGAGAGCCGTTGGGGTGTTGCTGGCTGAAGGCCTGCGCTGCATTGAACATAAGCTGTGCCGATTCCGCTGGTGGGAAGCCAAGATTGCCGGCGCCAAGTGACGGAAAGACAATTGATGTAAGGCCACGGCTGTTAGCCTCAATCAGGCAGGCCATCACCATGTCTTGCAAAGACTGTAGTCACAGGCACACACACACACACACACGCACACACACGCGCACGCACACACACACACACACACACACACACGACAGAGATGAATCTTGCAATGCAAGACCATCTACAGAAAACCTCACCAAACACTGCTGAGAATTAATCCTCAGCAACAAACGAGCAAAGACGTCAAGCCCCCCCCCCCCCCCCCCCCCACACACACACACACATGCACACCGTGTGCCATGTACGCAAGATAATCATGCAAATGGACGGGATGCACGCACACACGCGCACACACACACACACACACGCGCGCGCGTACCTGAGATCCTTTGCCGTGACTGTAGTGATCGCCAACTGAATGGAAGATGAACTTGCAACCTGTCAGACCGTGACCACCCGTCGCAGCAAACCCGCCAACTGGCACATCACCATATGTCTGCACGTATGTAGTACACTCGGTCTGCAGTGATTGGCCTGCGGCAGTCAGCAACGCCTTAGCAACCAGGCCATTGGAGAGATTCAAGTTCTTGGCCGCTGTGTTGACAAGGACATCGGCCTAAGCGGGAGACACACATCGGCCAATATTTTAGTGAAACGCACGAGCTGTACAGTCCGTTCTGAACGGTTCAGAAATTGCTGATTACCTTCCTTTTGCTTGGTCAATTAAAATTTAAAAACCTTTTTCAGGCCAAACTAAAGAAGGTGTGTGGTTCGACTCACCCGACCGACCGTACAATTTCAGCCCGACCGTAACTTTTTTTCGGCGGGCTGTCGTGTGACTGACGTACGTGGACTGAACACGTCCACGTCTACGTGCTGTGCGGCGTGAGTCTGCGGACGCAGGCGGCTCCTTTTGGACTTGACTTGTAGTTGTACTGCAGTGCAGTGCAGTGAGTGGTACGACTGCTGCCTTGTGCTGGTAGTAGAGTCTACTCGATACGCGTATACAGTGTATTTACATGTACTAAAAAATATATTAAAAAAAAAAATCCGCCCGCCCGCCCGTAAAAAAAATGTCCATGTTAGTCGAACCACACACCTTCTTTAGTTTGGCCTCATGAGTCTTTTTTTGCTATTGCAGTACAAAATGCCCTTCCCATCGGGGTTTTTGATTTCGATTTCTCCAAACGTGGACTATACACTTTCGACTAGGTTTTATTAAGTATTTCGGTCGGGCTAAGCTTTGATCATTGCACTGACATGCGGGTCCTAAACCCAGTTCCAGCCGACTTAGAATTGGATTTTTCCACCTGAATTGGCCTAAATCGGATTAAAAAAAAGAAGCCAAGATATCAATCATTTCTGCATGGACTGTAGCACAAAGTTATTGCCTCTAACTGTTACTATACATTTAGAGAAGCAATTGGTACTGCATTGTATGGTGCCAAGGGTACTGCACACTTTCCCATGTCTCTGAACACATCCACTTTCTCTACATTGCTTTGGTCATTCCTGAATTAACCCTTTACCGTTTTAGATATTTGTACAGCAAAAACCGACCGTCACTGTTCATGCCGTAACTTTTTTATTTTTCACTTTTATTATGTACAACAAGGGGTGATTCTGAAAGTAAAAACCCTCAGGAATGCGATGCAACAACTTTCAAGTCCAGAAAACGAACACAGATTTCACTATTTAGCACTAATAATTATTGGGATTTATTGCCGATCGGGCAAACTGTTGCAATATGCAATAAATCAGATCCTTGCACTGGAGTGGCTCCCTCAGGTAAGTGGATACCAGGTTCGTTCTCTGGGTGGAATGCAGGAGTGCTACCAGTCACAGCCGTGTCAGCATTGTCCCAAGTATTGCAAATATCGACTAGTGCAGGTTGCACCGCTGGCTATACATAGTACCAAGAGTAGATAAACAAGAGTGTGCAACTGCCTGCACAACCTCTATGCTGTGCTGCGACGGCAGAACTTCACATCACGTGACATGGTTCAAAAGGTTATGCTGGCAAACAGTGCAAAGTGACCACAAGAGAGTTGTACCCAAAGCTGGGCTGCGTACAACCCAGTATCTATCATGCACTAGAGTGCACGGGTTCATCACGTGATGTGAAGTTCTGCCGTCGCAGACCCCATAGCTGGAGTTGCACACTCTACTCTTGATAGTACCTGTACACCACGACCTCTACCGTGACGACGGCCTATTCCAAGGCCGAATCCTCTCTCACGTCCCCTTCCACCATTAGTGGCACTCATCTCAGTGACACTGTCGTCGTCTGTGACATCCATGGCACTCTTACTGGCGCTGCTTTCACTCGCCATGTCATCGTCGCGGTCGTTGTCAGAATAAATATTTTCAACAAGATTGTCTGGCTCCACAAACTCATCTTCGCTGGATGAGGCAGCGACAGAGTCGTCAGGAAGAGTCTCCAGAAGCGAAAAAGCTTGCTCCGCGTCCATGGCTTGCACAGCAGGGCAGACAGTCGTGAGGCCAGCTCAGGCAAAGTCGAAATAATCTGCAGGCAATACCAAAAGTCGCAGGGTACGCACTTTTCCCCAAGCGCATTTTTCAAGTCGCGATTTTAGCGATTTTTTATATTGCATCACACACAAAAATTGTCGGCACCTTCTGCGCGTACATCTTGGCTACCAGTAGGGAAAATCCCAGCTCTCTGCAGTGAACCAGTCCAGCGCTGTGCGCATAGAAGTCATCGACCGCGAGCGGTCGAAATTTGTACGTACAAACGGTAAAGGGTTAAATTCCAAAGACGACAGACAAACTCCACCTGACAACCTTGAATGACGACGCACAGACCACGTACATTTTCTGAGTGCAATAAATAATTTCGAGCATTTTGACATACTGTACGTGTATCGCATTAGTGGCAGGAGTCAACTTTGGATAAGAAGTACCTCGGATGCTATGCACTTTCTTTCCACTCCCTGAGAGGGCACGTCATATCCGAGTTCCACTGTACTGTATCCTTAAGTTAATTTTCTCAAATCTAGGCTGCACATCAAATTCCGGATATAGCTTGAATTGCCAAAACTTTGGTCAACAAGGTGGATGCACATTATTATCATGCATGCCCTTTTTTCTTATTTTCGTATTAGCGCTTTTCGGCGTCATTATTTTCTTCTCATTATTTCGCGCCACATTATTTTTGTAGTTTTTCTTTGCTCTTGTTTGTTTTGCAGTCGTTCTTGTGCAACCCCCATTTTTCGATGCCTAGTTGCAACGCTGACGCCGAGACCTCTGGTCGGTTGAGTTGCTTCCAGCACCGGCACCGGCACGTCGTCCCTACATCCCTTATGCTTTGTCCTTTTCCTCATTTCTTTTTGTTCTCCACATGTTTTCCAGTAGGGCTGTGTTAATAGTAAAAAATGATAATAAAAAAGTGTTATACTCCGGCAAATACGGTACATATCTGGCTTGCACAAAAGCAAGCCTGACACAGAAGATGGCTATATTCAGCACAGAATTCTGGTATTTAGGCAGTGATATTCTTCTTGAAGTACTTCCTCCGTTAAGCAAAACTTCGTGGCGTTTTTTTGTGTTCTTGTCATGATCTTTCTGTCGCCATTAGACAAACATGTCGGTGATCTATCCCCTAAATAGCCTATAGGGTACCCGCAGTGTTGTCCTTTGTTCTGACAGGCTTCTCAACCTCCGAAAAGCGTGGAGTCCATGAAAAAAATCGGCGAAGCATAACCGTTTCTTGACAGGATGTCACCAGAACACAACCCAGGCGCATGACACCAAAGTGCGAAAATGAGAAACAGTTTGAAAGACCGCTTGTCGCGAAGTGCCCAGAATTCATGCAGAAGCCGGCCAGCCACTGCTGTACCAGCACGATGGTACGCGTCCGCACACAGCCAAAATAAATCAATGCACGTGTGTTTGCGGCGCAGGGGAAAGCAAAACGGTTTGACATTCAGGTTGTTGTTCAGCCTGCGCAATGTCCTGATCTCAACGTCGACTTGGCGTTCTTCCACAGCCTGAAGACAGACGTTTCACTCGTGGAAAAGGAGACCAGAAAGAAGCTTCTCCAGGCTGTCGAAACGTGCTGGCACGAGTACCCCGCTGCCAAGATGAGGAGCGTTTGGTTGTGTCCGTATGGCTCTTTCCATGACATTCTGGAGAGTTCTGAGCGGCAGAGACAACAACTACCAGCGCAGCCTTGGAGGTCGTCAAGCTCACAGTTCAAGCGAAGAACTTGGCGATCTCCACGATCAAATCGTGTCTCGGCAACTTGTAAAGGATGCAGGACAAAAGCTGGCAGCGCTGGAGGCGAAAATCAGCGAGGATGCCGACTCGATGTCATCAAGGAGCAAGTCGTCATCAAATTCAGACGAAGAATGAAAGTGGACTGCTTTGAAACGAGCTATGTGACATCTGTAAATAACTATCTCTCATATGCTGCTTTGTTTTCCACTTTGCGAAGTGTTTTGGTAGCCATAGAATGCTTTAGACTGAACTGAAAAAATGCAACGAAGTTTTGCTTAGCGGAGGAAGTAGAAGGAAGCACTCAGTCGGGAGGTAACTTCACAAAAGGTTGATACATTGCACTACTTTTCGAAGCGAATGCATTCTCACATTCGGAGCATAGTGTGCACCTGCGACTTGGGGCCTGAAATAGCGCATCGAGTACCGCTCTATACTCAGGTAAATACGGTATATCAAACGGTGTTGCACTCTCTGTTGGCCAGAAATGAAATCAAATGAACCCCATGTTCTAAAAATATCGTTTCGCTGCTGATGCTCAGACTGCGTGAGCTGTCCACACACACACGTGACTAGTCTTTTTTTCGAAGATTTGGGAAATCCTACCCCAAAACATACATACACAGAGAGTACGTTAGAAGTCCATGTGTATAGCAATGCAAATACAGAAATACAGGCCCCTTTGAAATGGACGTTGGAACTCAGTTCAAGTTCTTCTATAGAGTATTTGCAGCAAGACACCATTCATTACCTGTTCCTGGCAGAGATCACCTTGTCGGACGATAATAGTCTTCTGCTCAGTAGTCCTGACTTGGCTAATGCCCGAAGGAGGTGCTTCGAATGGTGGAGCTCCTGGTTGCACAGTTTGTTGACTCCTTGCAGATCTTCCTCGTCTGCCGGGTTTGTTACCTCCGCCTTGTTTTCGCGTCGGACGACTCCCAGCACCAGGCGGCTCCGCATGATAACCAGGCCGTTCACCGCCATGCCCACTAGCACTGATGCCACGTGATGAAGGCATCCCTGGGTAGTGAACCTGAGATGCCGGAAAGCCATTGCTGATCAGAGCCTTGAACGTATCCACTATTTCAGGACTTTGGTCAACAAAGTGAACTTCCTTCACAGACCCAGCTTTTCCATTGTTCTTCAGATAGTCAACTACAGTACGCAGCAGGACTATGGCGGCGTCTTTGGATGGGTATCCAAACACACCAGTGCTAATGGCTGGCATGGCTACGGATCTGCATTTGTTCTTAGCTGCAGCCTGGAGGCAGTTCCGTGCGGCTTTCTCCAAGTCCTTCTCCTCGCCGCTATAGCCGTTGTGGAACCTTGGTCCTACTGCGTGGATGAGAAGCTTGCAGTCGAGAGTGCCTGGCTTTGTGCAGACCACCTCACCAGGCTGCAGAGCAGCCTTGCCGCGCATGACCTTGTCACACTCGTCTTGGATGCTACGCCCACCGCGCTGCACCAGTGCACGCGCTACACCGCCGACGTGCTGCAAGCGATCGTTGGCGGCGTTGACGACAGCGTCGCAGCTGTGCCGTGTGATGTCTCCTCTCACCACGCGCACTAGACCTCCACTCGGCAGCAGCGTGCCTTCGACCAGAGTCTGAGATGCAGCAGCACCCGCTTCTCCTGAAGTCCCCTCTGCAGTAGCGTTACCGGACTGGATAATGACCTTGTGGGAGGACTCAATGTCTTTCAGGTGCTTGATTGTTTTGCTGTTCTGGAAGAGCTGCTGGATGCCAGGCTTCTGGACTTGGAAGCAGTCGTTGAAAATGCGTTTGAGCAGAGAGCCAAAGGCCTCCTTGGCCTTTTGTACATTTCGGACATTACCTCGGAAGGTGATGGCCGTGCCACTCACATCAACACGAGGCAGCATACACTGCTTCTTTACAGATGCCACATCGTCTCGCATGTAGGTTTTAATGCATCGTTCCTCCCCAACGCTGATCTCAATGTTGGCAGACAAGACAGCGTGCTCCAACATGAACTCTGCAATGTGCCCCTTCACCGCTGCAAAATGAACATTCACGCCACACAGCATCACATCGGAGTCACGCACCGAACCGTTGGTGATTTCAACCAAGTACTGCTTCTTCATTTCGGCCAGAAGTGTTCGCCACTCGCTTGAGCTGAGTGTCTCAGCTTCATGCGGTTGCAGGTGGATGGTTGATGTTGTGCAGCTATCCTCAAGCCGGGTCTTGATTTCCACCAAGTCTTGCTCATCACTGTTCCAGCCAACCAAGCCGATCTGATTTTCCTTGGCCCCAGCGGACACAAATACAATTGTCTCCAGATCTTCGCGGAAAGCCTTGGCAACGGACATCATATAGCTCTGGCCTAAGTCCGAGGCCAACAGAGCTGCAGCCTCTGGGTGCTGAATGACCAGCCGCGTCTCCATCACTTGCTGCGTCAACGCCAATAGCTTGTTACTGATTTCTTTCACATGGTGACGGGGACCCTGAACCATCAGTGACCCTCTGTTCTTTCCGTTCTTCACGAATTTCATCTCCACTGAAGACATGTCAGGGCGCTGAAGAATGCCAACTTGTTCAACAAAGGCCCGGTGTACTGGCCGCAATTTCATGAACTCGTCTACGCGTTCAGTCAGCGATGTCTCCACTTCTAGCAGCATTGTCATTGCATCATTCCGCGCTGCACTGACAGCCTGTAGTTCACCAGCAAGGGAAATAGAATGCTCAGCTTCTTCGTAGTGGACGATGATGTTCTGGTACTGACGCAAGGCAATTTGAAGGCGACCATTGCCAACCGACTCCTTGTACACATCCGTCAGAACATTGAACGTGACAGTGCTCAGGCCCTTCAGAAAATCTGATAGTGCAGCTGTTGCATTCTTCTTCCAACCATACATGCCACTCTTTCCCTCCACCGGCGTAACACGTAGCAGAGGAGTTGGAGTGTCGACTACATCTATCTGCGAGTGAGCTCGCCTCAGACGCTCCTCCAGTCGCTGCCAAGAGCCGGTACACTTGTTGAAGAACCTCAAGTAGTTCCGGTCCACTGAAACTTCTACCACCTGTGCATCCGACACGTCGCAGACAAAGTGCCTGGCGTCACCTTCATCGTATGGGTAATCGAGTCCCGCAATCACAGGGTGAAAGTCCAAAACCTTGTGACGTAGCTTGTACTGCTGGCTCAAAGCCCGTTGAGCATCTGCAGGACAAAACGGGGAACACAAAGGGAACAAAACACACAGCATAATGCCATAATTAGCACTGTGATCACTTTCCCACGCCACTTCTCCCCCATAATCAGCACATGACACATTAAACACAGGGCTAACATCACCGGCGCGGCAGGGTAAGCCTGAGCTCAATGCATGTTCGTCTTGTCAAAGATTTTACAATTCATTTACTAGTATCTGTAGAAATCTTGATGCACACACCCATTCCCACAGCACTGTACATCTGAACCAGTTCCATTGACTCACTACATCATTGCGTTTCGGCACTTGACCATCGTCAGATAAATCGGAAACAATGATGCTGTGAAAACCACTAAGTAGCCATCTATACGCAGAGTGGTGCGCCAGAACATGTGAATTTTGTCAAGGGTGTGGATAGGAGCGGCGGCAACAATGTGCCAACAATGCACGGAGAAGAGAAGGCGCAGGCTAAAACAAGTTGAAAATTGTCCAACATTTTTCTGTCACACTACCTTCTGTTTCTCCCTTTATAAACGTGAGGCAGTTTACTGGTGGTTTAGCGTGTGCGCTAAGCCCTGTTAACGAACGTGGAACATCTACCACTCATACTTAGTCTGATGATCATGCATCTGATTATGATGTCATTGCTATACATGCGCATGCGCAGCGCGCGCCACTCTCCCACGCGTGCATTCCAAATCTTGCTTTAGAGAGAGAGAAGGAGAAAAGAGAGACTCCTTTGTCACTTTTGCTTTCCGACGACTTGACTGTTCACTGGTTTGTCCGTCAGTTGTCAATTTCACACCAATGGCTACGCATTTCGGCATCGGCAATGGCAGACCTGTTGTGGTGGGCAGAGGCCCTGACCATATGGAATGGGAAGTCATTCTTCCTGGTGGATGAGTGGACGCCAGCCCCCGACATGCAACTACAGACTGATGCCAGCGGCACTCACGGTTATGGTGCCTTCTACAACGGCCGGTGGCTGAGAGGAGAGTGGACAGCCCAGAACGAGAACGAGAACATTGAGTTCAAAGAAATGTATGCTATCATAGTTGCCTGCGCGGCCTGGGGTTCGGAGTGGAGCAGGCGACGCATTCAGTTTCAGTGTGACAACAAGGCCGTGGTGGACTGTATACGCTCCGGTACCTGCCGTTCACCGCCAGTCATGACACTTATCCGGGCATTGTATCTGCTGTGTATTGAGCATGACTTCTTGGTGTCAGCTGTCCACATTCCTGGTGTCACTAACACTGTCGCCAATGCATTGTCTCGCAATTTGCTGCAGGTATTCAGGCACCAGGCCCCGGAAGCAGCAGCCGAGCCAGATCAGCCAGTCTTGCCAACTCTCCGTTGACAGACTCCGTGCTACAGCTAGCAGCACTGGCAATAGCACCATCCTCCCGCCGGACGTATTCTACCGCCGAGACCCGCTACTTCCAGTTCTGCCAAGTGCATGCCTGCAACCCATTGCCGGGCGACGACTTTACTTTGTGCTATTTTGCTGCCGAGTTGTTCAGGACTCTTCAGCCTCGATCTGTCCGTGTCTACATGTCGGCAATCCGCAACCTTCATGTGGAACTTGGCTTTGCTTACCCGTCGGGCCCAACAACTCTCCTCGCTAGGGTCCTGCGGGGCATCGACAGGTCGTCATCGACACAGCGTCATCATCTGCCGATAACCACTCCACTTCTCAGGGAGATCTGCCGGCATGTTGCCGTTCCACGCATGCGGCACCCTCACGACAAGGCCATGCTAAGGGCAGCTTTTTCCTTGGCGTTTCATGGGTTCTTCCGTTGTGGAGAACTGACTGCTGGCCTGAGGCGATGTGATGTGACGATCAGTACTGACCAGCGGTCGTTATCGGTAAACGTGCGCTCATCTAAGACGGACCCCGACAGCAGGGGCCACACAGTATTGGTTGGAGCCAGCACGGACGCACTGATCTGCCCAGTGCAGGCCATGGCAAACTACCTGGCGTTTCGCCCCGGCGGCGACCATCTGTTCACTTATGCTAATGGCCAGCCGCTTACAAGAAATGCAGTGTCCTCTGAACTGCGCAACCTGCTGCCACTCTGTGGGGTCACGGACCCGAGTGCATATGCCAGTCACTCTTTCCGGATTGGCGCCGCAACATCAGCGGCCATGGCAGGTGTCCCCGAACACATCATCCGTATCATGGGTAGATGGCGCAGTGATGCGGTCCACCGCTACATCCGGGCTGCTACAGCTGACACCCTGCGAGTGTCACGTCAATTAGCTGCAGTTCAAAGTCATCAATGGTAGCTGCGGGTTAGTGACCACATCATGCCTGAACTGCTTAGCTTTAGCTTTACATTGCTGCTGTCAGTACAGCACAATACACCAGTCGTATTTCATTATTACTCTCATGCCATATTGGGGATATTGGGAACGGGCAGTCTATCTCCGCAGCTGACTCATTTCAATCACTACCGGTCGCAGCTCCTGCCCACGGCAGGCCGACCGTCTCTCGTTCACACTCTGTGTGCTCCAGGTCACAGCTCCTGCGCAGAGCAGGCCGACCTGTCTGTCCCTCTCTCTCACACACACTATGTGTGCACCGCGTACCGGGTCACAGCTCCTGCGCAGAGCAGGCCGACCTGTCTTTCTCATGCACGCCAGCTGCTCCGCCCAATATCCCTGATATGCCAACCAGAAAACAATGTGTTCTGCCGGGTGCATGCCTGTATGTGGAGAGTGCGTTAATGGTGGTTTAGCGTGTGCGCTAAGCCCTGTTAACGAACGTGGAACATCTACCACTCATACTTAGTCTGATGATCATGCAACTGATTATGATGTCATTGCTATACATGCGCATGCGCAGCGCGCGCCACTCTCCCACGCGTGCATTCCAAATCTTGCTTTAGAGAGAGAGAAGGAGAAAAGAGAGACTCCTTTGTCACTTTTGCTTTCCGACGACTTGACTGTTCACTGGTTTGTCCGTCAGTTGTCAATTTCCCCTTCCCTCCCAACCCCATTCGACTGGGGATCACTATCTCTCCGTCACTGTCACCATAATTTCCTCAATAACAGTGTCAGTACAACTCTTGTCAATATACTTATATCGGGTGAGGGCAGTCTATCTCCGCAGCTGGCTCATTTCAATCACTACCGGTCGCAGCTCCTGCCCACGGCAGGCCGACCGTCTCTCGTTCACACTCTGTGTGCTCCAGGTCACAGCTCCTGCGCAGAGCAGGCCGACCTGTCTGTCCCTCTCTCTCACACACACTATGTGTGCACCGCGTACCGGGTCACAGCTCCTGCGCAGAGCAGGCCGACCTGTCTTTCTCTTGCACGCCAGCTGCTCCGCCCAATATCCCTGATATGCCAACCAGAAAACAATGTGTTCTGCCGGGTGCATGCCTGTATGTGGAGAGTGCGTTAAAACTTTTTTTAGGCTGCACCTTCTCTTTGCAGCGCATTGGAGAGTTGGTCGCTACCTCTCCTATTCACAGATGCGACCAAATTCACACGTTTTTGACGCACCGCCCTGCTGCATACAGACGGCTACTTTGTGGCTTTCACAGCATCATTGTTTCATTCATCTGACGATGGTCAAGTGCAGAAACACAGTAAGTTAACGAAACTGGTTCAGATCTGCAGTGCTGTGGGAATGGCTGTGCTCACCCAACCCTTTTCCTACTAGTAACTATGCCGCTTTCAAGTTTGGACATCACAGAGAAATTCAAAATAGTAACAAACTAGGCCATCTGCCTTTCTTTCGTATCTGGCTTGCAAGTGCTGAGTTTTGGAGAGAAAATGAGGTCGGCAGGCAAATGGCCTAATATTAGTGATCTAACAAATAATCGATTATTCGAATTTCCTCGATCTCTTGGACCTCAACGAATAATCGATCGGATAAAATCTCGGTCTAAGGATGCGAAAATTCAAATATTCGCGGGCGGGCGAAGTCTGTGCGCTGCATAAGTTACCGCGCGTGCGCGACCCGAGATCTCTCGACTTGAATGCATAAGCGTTGTACTGTGTTGCAGACAACGCCTAGACTACGCGGGGTAGACCATGGTAGACTCTACTGTGACTCGAGTCTGAGCGCTTGTGAAGTTGTGTTGTGTGTTTGCTACATGTACACTTCGCATTCGCAATAGTATAATCGTTCGTTCACTTCAGTGGTATTCGCTAGATTCGTCGATTCGCTAGATTCGTAAAATTCATGGTGCGTTACATCACTACCTAACAATAGGCTAACATCCTAACATTAGTGTGCCAAACTGAGAACCGCCAGAAAGATACACTCCCTACCCTGCGCTTAAAAAATTCATCCCTTGCAAGACTGAGTTCATGATGGATTTTAAATGTGTTGCAAAGGTTTTCCTCGGAGGAGACCTGAACGTTCTCCAGGCCGAGAATGCACCTTTTCACCCACGCATAGCCAAAAGGATCAAGGTGCCACCTAGAGCGGATTAGATGATGAAACTTACCATGATGCGATGGGAACTTCACATCAAAAGCACCATCCTTGATACTGAAGTCCACGTCAATTTGCATGCTGGACTTGAAAACCAGCGCCACAACCTCCGCATCAGCAGTCACCTCAACGGCGTTTCTCAAGCGCAAACAGTTCGACCGTCGCACTCGGCGCACACTGACATTTTCTTTAGCGAGTTTCTGCTCCTTTACGTACTTCTCCAAACTGGGAAAATCTGAAATGGAACACAACAAGTGTACAGCACAAAGTGGCTTTAAATCAGGAATTTGGTAGACGGGGATGGCAACTCGAACACTGCCTCGAAAAATATCACTCTGTGGGTGCAACTTTCGGCATCCATGGGACTTTGCACGACCTAACTATGTGCAACACTGTCCGCAAGCACTGAGCTCTACACTTTTCACCCGGTGGACGGTGGACAGCTCCTGGCTTGCCCCTTACGGGGATACATAGCCAGCCATGGCGGTGGAAGAAGGAAGCAAGGCGTGTTTGTGTGCCAGGTAGTTCGGTTTGTGGGTCCACTTATACCATACAGTGGCTGGATCTGTTGCTATTGGACTCTGTTGCTTATTAACCCTTTACCGGCAAGTGCATTTTGTATATGAAATCCATAACATTGAGAAGGATGCCAATAACTCACAACGAGGGCACATTTTGTATGTGCAAGTTATGTTTTCTTGGAAGTCTGGTACTACTTCTTGACGATGGAAAAAAATTATTTTCACATACCACACACATACGCTACTAAATTGGCACCTATACGTCTAAACACGGAAATTGTACACAATGCAAATCGTCAGATTCCGACATTGACATGAAACTGCCAAAACAAGTCGACTTCAGAGCGGAAACGGACGCCATAGCCATCACAGACTTCAGTGGCCGTGCCTCGCTCGCAATTGAGAGCATCGCCCCAAAATCGCTGGCCGATGGCTCCGTGCGCAAGTCGCGCAGAGCTGCCGTCACTCAGGTACGTAGAACGTCGATGGCCTAAAATTCCGTCTCTGGAAGACTGTCGACACGGGGATCACTCTCCATGGCTTCCACACCATAAGCACCATCAGATTCTTCCAGTTACATCACGACGACATCGTCTTCAGCGGCTGGAGCTCCCGATATTTGCGTGAGAATTTACTTGGCGTGCGCTCCGCTCCGCAATTTGAAATTCGCTTGCATCGGCGGCTGGAACGAAGTATTTATCTATCTGTCGTGGGTCCCAGAGCGAAGGTCTGCTAGGTCCTCGTCGGAGAAGTCATCTGAGGACGAAAGGAACTCACTGCGCAAGAGGAAATGCACCTGACGACGTTTTGACGGAGGCAGACGGCATTGTCGGCGCGCGTGTATTTCCGTAAATTTTCGATCGGGCAGTTCTCAATGAAATCAAATGGGACACGCGTAGATCTCTTCAGCTACGGATAGGATCATACCTAGGCTGTGTGAGGGCCATGGGAAATCGCCGTGGGCTGATGCTTCCTGTTATACCAGGTGTGGTTTTAGTATGCATGTCGAATACGTCGTTTACGACGCATTCAAGTATGGGGCTGCCGGTAAAGGGTTAAGGGTGTACCGTCGGATTGCACCTGCCACCTTTGTTGTGTTGTCAGGGTTAAATATTTTCTATTTGAAGTTTACATACCTGTCCACCAATGAACTGCTCAAGGCTACATTGACTTCTGTATAGTGAAGAGTGCTTGCGAAGCCTTTATCAGATCCACTCTGATTTAGCAATCCACACTAGAGCCAAAGTATTAACGGCACCGGGGACAGGGGTAAGTGTTGGATACCCAGTCTTCTTTCCTAGATTTTTTCTGTATCTCCCTCCAATCTCCCAGAGGAGACCCACACGATCAGTTTCTGGCAATGAGCAAGTGTAAGTGTGTATATGTGTGTGTGTGTGTGTGTGTGTGTGTGTTTGTGTATGTGTATTTCAATGTGAGTCTAGCTCTTCTACCCCCTCTCTCCCCCCCCCCCCCCTCCCTGCCCAACGTACACAAACCCTGGGGCGGATGCATACATGTATGATCAAGGTGCATGCGCTACCAAAGCTGCAACAACAGTACACCGTGTCTTACCGATCTGCCCGGGAGTTGTTATCAACGCACGGCTGTTCTGCGGGTAGGGCTCAATTTCCATGTCCTGCACAACACCCCGGCCGGGGAAAGCAGCACCGAAGTAAAACTTGATGTGCTCTTCATCTGCTGCTGCTGGTATGTCGAACAGGATCACCTTGTTCGTCTCGTATTCACCACTGTCAGGACTTGCTTGTGCTGCGGAGGCGTCCCTGCCTGTCATGTTTGCACTGGTTGTGGTGCCGTCACGCGTGCCCAAGGCACTTTCCACTTGTAGTCGCTGGTTACAGAGGGTGTGAGAGCGGTCAGCAGCCCGCTGGAGAACTGTGTAGGACAAGCAGAGAAAGAGTGGATCGTCAAGTTAAAAAAATACTTGTGTCCATGCTGCAAACGTGCACATGTCAATTAACACGCATGCACTCGCTATTGCAGACCAGTGGAGAGCACACATCATATGGAGGATTCATGGAGTGCTGGGCAACCGAATCTGGCATGTGATAATCATGTAGGATAGTCCACGCACGAGGTGCAGCCCATGAAATGGGCACCCATGAACTGGGCGGAGTGCGGACGGCCTGTATGATAGTGTGTATGTATGTCCACGCACAAAGTGCAGCCCATGAAATGGACGGAGTGTGGACGGCCCACGCACGAAGTGCAATGCCCGTTAGGAGGCAGGAGTGTGGGAGTATGAGTGTGATGGCCGAAGGCCGTGATAATTGCCAGATGAGAGGAGATAGCTGGCCCAGCACTCCTATTTATTTTCGTCTTGTATTAATGATACCTGTGTTGAATCAAGGATATCAATATTATTCATAGATGGGAAGAGGTGGGTGGGTGAGAAAGGAACAAACCGGTGTTCTTCTCACCACCCAAGCAAAGCAAATATGAAGTAGCAATGCGGCCAGCGCGAAGTATGGTGTATGCGTTACGGGTTCAAGCTCCGATGTGTGCTGCAGCCGCATATGGCTGGTTGGCTGGCGAGTTCAGGTGAGTTCCGGCGTACGCATGTTACATGCCACCGCAGCGTGCATGTACGTGTTACTTGACATGCATCAATGAATAGCGTGGGATCTGCGGGCTCTTTGGAAGCCGCTGGAGCGCGTGTGAAGTGGTGGCTTGTGCAATGTGTTAACCTACATTACCGCAAGCTCTAATGTGCTACTAACAGCGCAGACAAGGCATATATGACTGTACACATAGAGGTCTCTACTAGTACAGGTGGAATCCTGATAATTCGAATATGGCTTAATTCGAACATACCGCTTAATTAGAAGTTTTTCCAGGACCGATTTCTATCATTACGATTCCCACATAAAAAAATCTGATAATTGGAACCTCGAACTGGATATGTCCGGTTAATTAGAAGTCCCACAGATTCCACATACATAGAAAATGTGTGGGATTTGTGCTGATAATTCGAAGTTAGCAAAGTGTAATTCGAAGTTCACTGTACATTGTACTGGTCAGTTCAGTTTGCATGAGCAGGCTGTGCCGGTCAGTTCAGTATCCGTGAAATATGTGGCTAAGGTCCATAGCGCAACTTCACTGGATACTGGCATAGCTACTGTCGTGGAAATTGAAATCCGATGGGATGACCAGGGCCGACGCCCTTACTGCTTTTAGCGCGTACACGCACTGTACATCACACGTACGCCCCTGAGACTGGACCAGCAGTGCTCGCGGCTGCAAGGCCAGCGCCCCGTGGCCACTGGCCTTTTCAACGGATTTCTATGTCCGCAACGGTAGTAAGCACACATAACGTGACCCCCATTACACCATGAGTGTTTTTTTCATTAATTCATTAAATTATTTCATAAAAGTACGGTATGTTACACCCGGATACTAGTTGTACGTTTCATCAAGAGTCCATAAACAAGAGTATGCAACTGTGATCTCTTTTCTATGGGCCAGATGCGCGGCGCGCTGCCTTCATTACATCATTCAGCTGCAGTCCGCGCACTGCGGAAAATCAAACACCGCACTTTCCCTCTGGTTTGAAATGAACTTTCGTACGGAACTGGAGTTGACGCGCCAGAATTTAGAGATCGCGTAGGTACTGGAACGAATCGAGCAAAAACAGATGGGCTCGTACGAGAAATTGTGAGTTTGAATGCATGCTTTCAGAGGGTGATGATGAAGGCAAGTTACGTAATGAAGGCAGCGCGCCGCGCACTGACCCATAACCACAGTTGCATACTCTTGTTTATGCACTCTTGGTTTCATGCATTATTCATAATACAGTAACGGAAGGCAGGGGATGATGCACTACCTGTTCAACTTACCACTTGGTGATTCGAAAAAGATCATGGCTGTGCTGCTGTCGCTGTTGAAGATGAAGTCAGCCATCTCCCCGCCGCCAGACTTCTTGGCGCTCTCGAAATACAGCTCCAGCGTGTCCCTGTCCATGCTGTCCGTGAAGCCGGACACGATCAGACACGGCTCACCAGTCGTGTGTGCGGCAAAGGGTTCTCCTGGGGATGCCCTGCGCACCGACACTCTCTGTTTGCGAATCACATGAGAAGGACGCTCGCACACCGAGGCAGCCACTATAAAGAATAGCACCCGCACAGTGGATGGTAGGCAAAGAAAAGAAAGCAAGTAGAGAAACAGGATCAGAACATGAACTGGGTGTGGTAGTTGAAGTTTAACCGAAGTCCATTTGCTGATTCACTTGCTCCCAACATTCTCTTGGCACGTGTGTGCACGTGCACGCGCGTGTGCGTGTGTGTATATATCTGTGTGTGTGTGTGTGTATGTGTGTGTGTGTGTGTGTGTGTGTGTGTGTGTGTGTGTGTGTGTGTGTGTGTGTGCGTGCGTGCGTGTAGATAAGTATGCACGTACAACACAGACTGCATGGTGTACAAATAAAAAACAATACTACATGTCATGGGCTGCGCGAGAGTTAGCCAGACTGATCTTTCCACGTCGATAGGAACAGCACTACCGGTACCCACAATCATCAAGGTGCCAGATACAGCTTCTTTATAGTAGTGTTTGTGGGGAGGGGAGAGGTTGATTCATGAAGGTCACACTAAAATAATAGATTCTGCAAGGCTCCAGGCCTTGCTTTTGCTCTGCATCAGCTTGTCGAGCAAGTGCTTTATCGAAAGTGTTAACATAAGCAATGCTGACGGAGGCCCCCTTCATTTGGCTATGCGTGTGGGTAATCGGTAGTAGTTTGGCGAGTGTGAATCACATCAAACAGCAGCTTGCTCACCTGCGGGATCTGTGAACGTAACAAGTGCCTCGGTGCCATCACTGGCCATCTCGACACGTGACACATCTCCTCCACCAGAGCGTTTTTTGTTGTCAAAGTACATCTCCAGATCGTCCTCGTCAACATTCTCTGGTAGAGCACTCACTAATATTGTTGCCGACGGCTCCTCGACTGCAGCTGGCTCTTCTGCTACTAAAATGGCCACCGTCATCTCGACCCCTTTGAATTGGTGCTCACGTTGTGACACACGGGTAGCCGCTGCAAAAGGATAAAGCAAGCCATAATCAACAGAGAGAAGGCAGTGGTCATACAAACAGACCAACCAGACACACGGGAAGCTCAGGGCAGATCACACCACGTCACATCACATCGCAGCAGGGCACGAACGACACGACATTGCACAGCGCAGCACTGACCAAGGCGCAGCACAGCAGTTCAATACACGTGATACCGGCAAAAACCGCCACTGCCACCACGTCAGAAGGCAACACAGCACACATGCGCATGGGAAACATTTCAATCCCGCCACTACTCACTTTCAGCACTTTCAAATTTGACGTGTGCTATGTTGGTGGAGATCTGATGCACCTCAGCTCCACACCCGCCACCTGACTTTCTGGTGCTTTCAAAGTACATCTCAAGTGTTTCTGCATCGGGTAGGTCTTTGCCAGCAGATGAAACAACCACAGTGCATCCAGCATTGCTTGTTTGATTGCCACCACGCGGTGGAGTGGCCATGGCACCAGCATCTTGCAATACAGCACCGCTCGACGCACTGCTGACGCTGGCATAACCCGCTGCTCCAGCCATGGCACCAGTTTCTTGCATTGCAACATGGATGTTGTGCGCTTCACCTACACAGCACAGCAGTGGACATCACACAGACAGCAGCCGGGTCAAAGGTGGCACATTTCACAACAGTTTGATACAATGCGCTACTTTTCAAAGTACATGCATTTTCATATTCGGAGCATAGTGCGCCCCTGCGATTTGGGGCCTGAAAATAGTACATCTAAAGAGTGCACTTTACTCCGGAAAATACGGCAATATAAAGGTACATGTACCTTGAGGGCGAGGCCGTGGGAATCCAATGGTACCATCGTGTCTACCCAGGGTATCCTGCTGTTGACTGACAGGGCCTCTCTGGCCAAGCTGTTGTGGAAAAAACCTGTGTGGCGTGTCCTCTATCTGCTGCATCTGCTGCTTCTGTTGATGTCCAGATGTCATGCTTGCAGTCTGACTGCCGGAGGATCCTTCCGAACGTCCGCCTTGCTCCAAAGCATTGAACTTTGCTGTCCAAGAGTCGACAGCAGCTCGGCCGGCTTGACTGGAGCCAGGCTTCAGACCCGCGGTAGGTTGCTGCATTGCTGGATGGACTGTTGGCGGGTAGTACGGCTCTACCTTGATCTGCATGCCCTTGATAATGTGCGATTTCACACTGACTACACGTTGTGCATCTGCAACAGACCAGCCAGAACGACACCGGAAACGACGGTGAGGACTAAGCAAACAAAAAAGCTATGAATTGGTCAGGCTTGTGTTTTCCGCCATGGGAGTCATTTTTTCTATCATACACTGTTTTAACATCGTCTCCAATAAAGGAATGCAACATACGCGTGCATACAAACATAATGGGCAACCCCTTTGGACAATGGCACACCAAATCCTTTTTTAAAGTTGGTCACGTGTCCCCTGTGCCGAGCATCCGAATGCAGATAGCCGCTACTATAGTTCCAACCTGCCTTCGCTTGATCACTGAAATGGGGATATTCACGGTTCCATTATTTAATTTATTTCTGACGTGACCCGGCTGCTCCACTGAATATCTAACACCACAGTACTGCTGACGCCACTTGCATCGTTTCTCACTCAGTTGTGAACATCTCATCAGAATCATGACGTGCTAGAAAAGAGAACATTTTTTTCATTTCAGGCGTACTCCGTGTACACAGTGACAAGGAGTTCTCCTCTGATGATAACCTGGCAAGCGATTGGCATCAGCACTGACTTGGGAGGTGAGTCGGCCGATGATTTGGCCAGAGTGCACATCGCTGGACATATCCGGGACAATGCCAGTATTGGTTGAAAGTGCAAAACAATCACTGGATTCCGCTGCTGCTTCCTCAAGTTGATGATTTGAGTGCCCTTATGCGGGACATAGCTAACATGAGCAGTAGGCAGCGAACGCAGTACTCCCTGGTGAGCGGAGCAAACCGTGTGCAAATGGGCTTTGGTGTGGGGAATACGATTCAAGTAACGAGTGCAACGTACAGTATGTTGAGGAAGACTGTGTGCCGCAGTGTAAATCTGAAAGCACAGGTGGATTGTGATGGAGAGGAGGACGTGGAGTACCAACTTCTTCGGACGTCTACAGGTGTTAAAGGGGAAGTTAAGGCAAAAATTAAAATTTCACCAGTTGTAGTCTTCGGGGTGCTGAGTCGAATGGTCGTGGTCCGAGGAAGCTGAGACGCTCCCTTCCTACTTGAATCCCAATCGAACTCGCGCACTTCCACCGAAACTGGGTGACTGCGCCCTACTAGATGGGGATTTGTATGCAAAATGTCACTAAAAGCGCCATTTCGTTCTTATAAAAGCACGGATGACCGCGATTGGCCCATATGCTGTAGTCTTTTGGACGCTGAGTCGACTGGTTTTGGTCCAAAAAGGCTGCGATGCAGCGTTCCTCTTTTATTCCCAATCGAACATGGTTGAACAAGCGGTCACGTGCTCCTGCGTACACCAGTCACCTGGTCACCGCGCCTGCAGGGTACAACTTACTACCCTGTTTGACCTTTTTTGGGTGCAGTCCTGTCACTCGAGTTGAACTCGAGTTGAACCTTGGTGTGAAAGTTGTCGCCTGCTGGCGCGGTGACCAGGTGATTTGGGCACCCAGGAGCACGTGACCACTTGTTCAACCATGTTCGATTGGGAATAAAGGAGGAACGCTGCATCGCAGCCTTTTCGGACCAAAACCAGTCGACTCAGCGTCCAAAAGACTACAACATATGGGCCAATCGCGGTCATCCGTGCTTTTATAAGAACGAAATGGCGCTTTTAGTGACATTTTGCATACAAATCCCCATCTAGTAGGGCGCAGTCACCCAGTTTCGGTGGAAGTGCGCGAGTTCGATTGGGATTCAAGTAGGAAGGGAGCGTCGCAGCTTCCTCGGACCAAGACCATTCGACTCAGCACCCCGAAGACTACAACTGATGAAAATTTGATTTTAGGGTATACTTCCCCTTTAACAACTGTAGCTCGTTTAGTACAACATGCTCACATAGGGAAAGTGCAGTACATGTACATGTACAGCTCAATGAAATCCAGTTGCGTTACTCAAGTACGCGCCGGGCCTTGCGCAGCGCCCTAGACGCGTACCCGCGAACACCAGAACACTGTGCTGCGAAATCGTGCGCCTGCAAGGCGCAAACTAATAGGGCTTGAAAGTGATGACGTCAAAACGGCCAGGGAGTAGTAAGTTGACATCAGATTTCTATTTTTGGATCCACTAAGGTGTGACTTCGCTATTGCCTAAGTATGTGGGTGCATAGCAACCCACTCATGTCGCATGCAGGTGTGACTTTTATTTCGCCACCAGTTGTAACCCCGCCCCCAGTAGCCAAATCAGTCAGTTTCACTGGCTACATCACCATGCTGTGGGTACGACGGCTTGAAATGTGCTTGGATCCATACAAAAACTGGATCCAAGTGGATCCAGTTTTTGAATTTTTGAAATTGTTGCTATGCTGTGACGCAGCACTTTCAAGCCCTATTACTTGAGTGACTGGATTTCATTGAGCAGCACTGTATAAGGTCATTGTGAAATAATTACAAAATTTGGCATCTGGACTTCGAGAACAAATCGACCACGTACCGTTTGGATCCTCGAAGGTCACATGGGCTCGACCTTGCCCAGCCATAGTCAAACTCTCAACATCCCCTTGAGCTCCTTGCTTGCTGCTCTGAAAGAAGGCCTCCAGCTCATATTCGTCCACACTTTGCGGCAAGCCACGCACCAAGACGGTCCGGCGCGCTGTCTCTTCATCTAGCGAAGCCATCGCTGCCAATGGCTGGCTGCTCCCTGAGAGCGAGAACGACCATCAAGACAAACAGCGCACGCGAGAGATTTAGGAAGAATATAGCCTCAAACTCCAGCTATACAGCAACATGATAATTTCGTACTTTCGGTCGGGTTTTTTTAGAGGACAGTGGTCATGATCTGATCGTTGCATACAGTCTCCACGGCTAGGGCCGGCCACGGACTGTATCCACGTCCACGCGAAACGCAACCCGTTCCGACTGACAAATTACGCTGCGCGTTGTTCCGAAGATCGAAAGACTTTCGTTCAGCGCTAGCTCGGCGCGTGACTCCGTGAGGCTACGAAACTCAGCTCACTCGCGCGACCACCAGTTTCGACTCACTTGTTCAGTGGCTCATGATTCGCACTGAACCTACTGAACCCGCGCTAGGCTATGCTATTGCTAGCGCCTAGCGATCGTGGAACACCTGGACCTCGATCAGGATCATGCTACATAGCAGACTATGCATGCAATGACTGCAGCTACACCGTAGATCTACCACGAGTCATGCAAGAGCCACGCGCCACTGTCTTCATGCCAAATCATGGTCTTTATGTCTTTGACAAGGGACTCGCGCGCCAGGCAGGAGGGCGCATAGCGAACGATCAAAGGGAATTCCCCGAACTAGACAAGGTGACAGGCTTTCGATTTCGGTACCGCAACTGGTAGTGGTAGTATCTGACCTCTGCCAGCTCTGACTCTAGTCTAGTCTAGGCTCTACTGTGTAGTACTGATGTTATCTAGCTCTACGTCGGGTGAGACATTTACTTTTTTTACCTTCGCCGTTCAACACTAGTTCACTGCATCTGCCACCATGTCCCTGATGATCAGGCATGGTGGTGGCTTGGCACGAGCGAAACTGTTTCCTAAGCTGGTTGTGTGTCTATACCAGGCCTCTATAGGTCTAGCTTTCTCCCTATCCAAGCCAGGCAGCACAGTGAAGTCATCATCAACAGGGAAATGATGTACAGGAAGGAAAGTGTCCCTGGTCCTACCTGGCTCTCTCTCTCTCTCTCTCTCTCTCTCTCTCTCTCTCTCTCTCTCTCTCTCTCTCTCTCTCTCTCTCTCTCTCGCTCTCGCTCTCGCTCTCGCTCTCTCCTCTCTCCTCTCTCTCTCTCTCTCTCTCTCTCTCTCTCTCTCTCTCTCTCTCTCTCTCTCTCTCTCTCTCTCTCTCTCTCTCTCTCTCTCTCTCTCTCTCTCTCTCTCTCCTCTCTCTCTCCTCTCTCTCTCTCTCTATCTATCTCCCTCTCTCTCCCTCTCTCTCTCCTTCTTCCTCCACCATGTCCACGGTGCGTGCTGTGTGCCTTGAACCCGAGGAGATAGTGAATAGTAATCATTGGGTAGCCCGAGTCTATGGGCCAGTACGGATACTTCGAAGTACATCAGACACTCGGGATTGGTTCTGATTCCCTACAAGCAATGCAACACCTACTCCCCTTTGTCTTGTTGTCCAGTGTCATTTCAGTTGTCCTCTTCCCCTGATTATTAGTAGGGCTGTGTTTGCTAGTAAAAAATTTAAAAAATAAAATAAAAAACACCCCCCCCCCCCCCCACATTTATTTGTTCCAAGCACGTGTGGTTCACAGTCATTATCAACCATAGGCATATATGCCCAGTCCCCTTGTTCTACCTACTTTGAAGACTCCAGTTCAAGTAGTCAGTGATCGTCTCATATTCTCATAACCATTCCCGATCTTGGCCTAACGCTTCTTGGATTGTGACTCTGGCCGCTTTGCTTCAGTAAATCTCTGAAAGTAGTTTATTCATGTAGATGTACATGCAGTAAACGATTATACTATCAAGGGCACTGGAATGAGCATGGTGCGACTCTGTGATCGTCAGCAACGATTGGGGCTATGAGCCGAGTATCGGAATGGACATTTGAGTGCTACAGGCACATATACATGTACTGTACAACTACCGGTAACTCTCTTTAGTCAGAGTAATCACGGGACAGAGACGATTCAGACTCAACGATCTTCCATATTGAACATTATGATGTTCGTGTAAAGTCTCTACCATTAGTACCAACCTGGATGAACATTCAAACCACACACAAACACATGCGCGCACACACACACACACACACACACACACACACACACACACACACACACACACACACACACACACACACACACACACAGGCACATCATTCTGGAATATTTTCACCAGCCCAGTCTTTGCATGCCTTGAAGAGTTGGGGATGACACGAGTCGTGTTTGCTTTGCGCGAGGTACATGTACACGCCTCCCTAGTCATTGATTGCAAGCACCAATGAAAATAATTGCCTGAGTCTGAGAGCTCCTTACCATCCCGTTCTAGTTTGCCGTCTACTCCATCCATTGTCGTCGTCTTCTCGGTGGCCGTGTCATTGTAGGGCACCGGTTGGCGTGCGCGCTTTGCTGGTGGTGGAGATGGCCCTCCGCTTGATTGTGGACTGGAATCCACCTGAGCACCGGATGTATTCATCGTCACCGTTCCTGGACTGTAATCCTGATTCTGAGGATCAGGACTGCCTCTACCAGTAACCATGGTAACAATGCTGTCAGGGCCATCGCCTGCTCCTGTGATTGAGTCATCCGACTTTCTCTCAGGTGTTGCTGCCTCGTCCACGCGTTGATGATTGCGACGTTGCGAACGCTGCTTGCGCGCTCTACCTCGCTGTGAAGAGGACGTGCTGCTGGAGGCGCCGTTAGCGAAAGAGCTCATGTCTTTCCCGATCGTCTGTGTACTTTTGTTGACTCCCTACACTAGGTTACAGCCTACAGGTCTGGTTTTGTTGAACGCGTCCGAATGAGTGGAGTTGGTATCCAGCGCCAGTGCGAGGAACAGCGGCAAGCCAATTTGCAAATGCTAGTCGTAGACTAGTTATCAGCGTTGCTGGGTCATCATCACTGCCCACACTGCAGTGGGCCTGAAGTCGCGGTGTGGAAATGAATAGTAAATGTCCTTGGTCCAACTACTTGGTACTGTAGGTCTACTCTGTAGTTGTTTTCAACGTTACGGTTGCCGACAGCCACATAACAGCATTGACAGGCCCACAAAGTCTGAAAACCATGCAGAAGTCGAGTCAGATGTGCTCACATTGTAGTCACTCTCAATGACAGCGATACCGCGTCTTCTACGGTCCACCTGTCCTTCGCCTTCCGTCAGCTTCAAACTCAAAGTACAAACCCAGGGGCGTACATAGGGCGGTTCCCGGGATGCCCGGGAACCAGTAAAATAATTTCGATGTGGGTAGATCTACGGAGAATGTTTTGATCAAGGCCCAGCGTGCATACAGTGCATGCATGCCTAGGCGGCGTAGTCGCCTGCAGTCCGCCTGACCGTCCGAGGACGGTGACAAGGCAAGGTGTAAAACTAAAAGTGCTGCTGAGGCATTTTTGTGACACAGCGTAGATCTACTGAACTAACTATTACTTACTGGGTGCAACGAAGTCTCTACATACAAGTTACAGCGATTCCTCGATCTCAGAGTCATTTCCTTTGCAGTTTGTTTCGACAAAGTTGGTTACGTTTTTGACGACGCTTTCGCTTTGTGGAAAAGAAAAATGAAGAGTCGACATCCAGAGGGCCAGCGCTCTATTCAGAGCTATTTTGAGCAGGAGGCAAAGCGTGTAGCCAGTGACGAAGGTCAAGCGATAGATGAGATTGCGGACGCACCTGACTTCCAAGTGGAGTCTGCAACGAGCAGCACAGAGGACGGAATCGTCGGCGAAGCTGTAGAGCGACCGTTGTTGGAAGCTGCTGGATCATCCAAGACTTACTTCAGTGACATTGGAGTGTGTTGGAAAGGATATTCTGAAAGTGTACCTCCACGGTGGAATCCCTGATTGACTCCGAAATTTGCCATACATGGAAAAGATTTCCGTCATTGACAATCATTGTGCGCCACTAGCTGCACTGAAGGCGAAGGATTTCGTTTCCTGTGCGTGTCCAGACGGGTGGCAAACAGCGCCGCTTTCAACTATCCTGGTTGGAGGAGTTTCCCTGGGTAGTCTTTTGACCGGCGTTCCATGGTGGCTTCTGCTTGCCCTGTGTAATGTTTGCTCCAGGTGATTCAAAGTTTGGGCAGCTTTACCGCAGTCCTCCCGAGAATATAACCCGACTCAAGACTGAGCGTGTGGATGTGCTTCAGCGACTCGTTTCACGGCATAACATGAAATCGTCCTGCTGAACAAAACATCCATAAAAAATGCCTTGGCAAAGTTCAGTCTTTTTGAATCAAATATGCGTAGCAGTGACATTATCCAGCAGTTTATGCAGAAACTCCATCGGATACGTATAAGAGCACTAGCCGTGTGGAATTATGTTGGCTGATCAGTTTGCATGGGAACCACTCCTAGAGGCGAGCGGTGTACGCCCCTGAAACCTAACGAAGAACTCATTACCGATTACCTGATTACTACTACTAGCCGAAGTTTTTACTAGTACCGGTAGTGTACTTATTTGAAAATAGAAAAGTTTCGTCCCGAGAGCGCGCGCGGTATACTCGAAACTCATGCATGAATCATGCATGAGCGTAGATCAATCACCAGTAGATAAGACGAGAGTGTACGTACGTGTAAGGTTTCGATTTGAGGGGACAAAAGGGTTGAACACCCGCCGAACACAAACATTGTCCTCTAGCTCTACTCCCATACAACCCCCGCGCTGCCACATCCAGCCTAGCATGGTCTTCGATGTTGGTCGACCGAAGAGGGAACATTTCACCGGACAGGGTCAGGGGCTCCAGTGCAGGCTCCACACAGACATCGTGGGCTACTTCCCGCAGCAAATTGGCGGTGAGGTCGCGAATCTCATTGTGCCGCATTCCAGGGAAGCCACCAACTGAACACGACAGTGCATGCGTCGTGTCAAACTTCTTGCCGCAGACGCAATGGGTTGGCAGTCGGGGAGGGGTCCAGCCGTATCGTAGGCACAAGGCATCGCGAAATCCCGACTTCGGCATCGTGAACTGAAAGCGGCGAGATGGCCGACACGTGAGCCAACTTGAGGCACCCTTCTCCGCAGCCAGATCCAAGATCCTTTGGTCGTCCAGGCTGAGCTGGTCCCTGAAGGAGGACAGGGCCACAACTTGATCATGGCGTGCGGTCACACGTACATCCAACTTGGCGGCTTTGATGGCAGCAAACACGTCTTCAGTGGATTCCTCCTGCTTCAGTAGCCTCTCCACTAGTGGTTTGGTGATGGAGACAGAGGCGGAGTACTGGCTGGATAAACCGGTGGGTTATTGTACTACTATTATTTTAGTACTCCCTGGTCCGTACCGTACATGGCATAGATTAAAGGGGAAGTAAGTTAAAGGGGAAGTATACCCTAAAATCAAATTTTCACCAGTTGTAGTCTTCGGGGTGCTGAGTCGAATGGTCTTGGTCCGAGGAAGCTGCGACGCTCCCTTCCTACTTGAATCCCAATCGAACTCGCGCACTTCCACCGAAACTGGGTGACTGCGCCCTACTAGATGGGGATTTGTATGCAAAATCTCACTAAAAGCGCCATTTCGTTCTTATAAAAGCACGGATGACCGCGATTGGCCCATATGTTGTAGTCTTTTGGACGCTGAGTCGACTGGTTTTGGTCCGAAAAGGCTGCGATGCAGCGTTCCTCCTTTATTCCCAATCGAACATGGTTGAACACGCGGTCACGTGCTCCTGGGTGCCCAAATCACCTGGTCACCGCGCCAGCAGGCGACAACTTTCACACCAAGGTTCAACTCGAGTTCAACTCGAGTGACAGGAGTGCACCCAAAAAAGGTCAAACAGGCTAGTAAGTTGTACCCTGCAGGCACGGTGACCAGGTGACTGGTGTACGCAGGAGCACGTGACCGCTTCTTCAACCATGTTCGATTGGGAATAAAGGAGGAACGCTACATCGCAGCCTTTTCGGACCAAAACCAGTCGACTCAGCGTCCAAAAGACTACAACATATGGGCCAATCGCGGTCATCCGTGCTTTTATAAGAACGAAATGGCGCTTTTAGTGAGATTTTGCATACAAATCCCCATCTAGTAGGGCGCAGTCACCCAGTTTCGGTGGAAGTGCGTGAGTTCGATTGGGATTCAAGTAGGAAGGGAGCGTCTCAGCTTCCTCGGACCAAGACCATTCGACTCAGCACCCCGAAGACTACAACTGGTGAAAATTTGATTTTAGGGTATACTTCCCCTTTAAGGCAAAAATTAAAATTTCACCAGTTGTAGTCTTCGGGGTGCTGAGTCGAATGGTCTTGGTCCGAGGAAGCTGAGACGCTCCCTTCCTACTTGAATCCCAATCGAACTCGCGCACTTCCACCGAAACTGGGTGACTGCGCCCTACTAGATGGGGATTTGTATGCAAAATGTCACTAAAAGCGCCATTTCGTTCTTATAAAAGCACGGATGACCGCGATTGGCTCATATGTTGTAGTCTTTTGGACGCTGAGTCGACTGGTTTTGGTCCGAAAAGGCTGCGATGCAGCGTTCCTCCTTTATTCCCAATCGAACATGGTTGAACAAGCGGTCACGTGCTCCTGGGTGCCCAAATCACCTGGTCACCACGCCAGCAGGTGACAACTTTCACACCAAGGTTCAACTCGAGTTCAACTCGAGTGACAGGACTGCACCCAAAAAAGGTCAAACAGGCTAGCAAGTTGTACCCTGCAGGCACGGTGACCAGCTGACTCGTGTACGCAGGAGCACGTGACCGCTTCTTCAACCATGTTCGATTGGGAATAAAGGCGGAACGCCGCATCGCAGCCTTTTCGGACCAAAACCAGTCGACTCGGCGTCCAAAAGACTACAACATATGGGCCAATCGCGGTCATCCGTGCTTTTATAAGAACGAAATGGCGCTTTTAGTGACATTTTGCATACAAGTCCCCATCTACATGTAGTAGGGCGCAGTCACCCAGTTTCGGTGGAAGTGCGCGAGTTCGATTGGGATTCAAGTAGGAAGGGAGCGTCTCAGCTTCCTCGGACCACGACCATTCGACTCAGCACCCCGAAGACTACAACTGGTGAAATTTTAATTTTTGCCTTAACTTCCCCTTTAAACATCACATATAGATTATAATACATGTCAAACTGTTCGTCACTTCGGTAGGCCTTGACAGATTATGCTAGCATAAGTTTTCGCATAATTCCTACCAAAATCGAATAATCGCATAATTCGAGGCAAATTGCATCCGAATCGCATCAAATTGGAAAAATCCGCCTGTTCGCATCAAATTCCATACAGTTGTATTGTCATGTGCAAGCAAGAGAGGTTATGCGATAACGTCAAATCCGCCATATATTGGAGCCAGTTGGGGTGGCAAAATGCCGAAAGCGGGTACAGAAACCCCTTATATAGAAGAATTTGGAGTGGCAAACGTACTATATGACGTGTATCGCATAACCTCTTAGGCCGTCACCACACCACGTTCTCCGACTCCCGTTTACGTCTACGTCTATGGTGAAAAACCCAAAACGGGTGGTCGTGTCATCAGACAGGCACAGTTCTTGACGCGTACACGCAGTCAGGTTTTTGGAGAAATTTGAACCCACGTACATCGAAGTACAGGGTCGCTCGGAAAAAGGCTGGGGGAGATACGCACGTTCATACAAAAAGTCGTATACCCCCCCCCCCCCCCCCCCCCCTCTCCATACCATGTCTACGTCTCCCGTTTTGTACCATGGTGTGATGACAGCCTAAGCCTAAGGCTGTCATCACACCATGGTACAAAGCGCTGCGTCTACGTCCACGTAAGGAGTTTTTGGTCGGTTGTCATGATGATCCGTATACGGGGTGAAAACGGGAGCAGAGGAAACGGGAGACGTAGACGTGGTATGGAGAGGGGGGGGGAGGTATACGACTTTTTGTATGAACGTGCGTATCTCCCCCAGCCTTTTTCCGAGTGACCCTGTACTTCAATGTACGTGGGTTCAAATTTCTCCAAAAACCTGACTGCGTGTACGCGTCAAGAACTGTGCCTGTCTGATGACACGACCACCCTTTTTGGTTTTTCACCATAGACGTAGATGTAAACGGAAGTCGGAGAACGTGGCGTGATGACGGCCTTATATACCCCCCCCCCCCCCCCCCCCCCCCGGGGGTTATATACTCTTGGTACAAGTACAATGTAGATGCACCAGGAAGTCGTAGGTTTACGACTCCCTTGATAACATTTCCAGTCACCACAACAAACAGTGACGGTCGTAGCTAGGTCGGACGGTGCGTTGACCCCGTTGAACTTTTGCTACTACAGTACAACGCCTCTACTAAAAAAGCCCCTGTTATTTTGCACAGAACCATATGTGAGCATAATGCGGCATAAGGCCATGGTAAAAAAATAAAGTTGGTTCTCAGGTCATGAGCCTGTGAAAATCGGTGCGAGCGAGCGATTTTTTTATTTTATTTCCCCCAATTTTTTTATTTCCAAAGATAGGGTCACACATATGTACGTCACACGTTCATATAATTATTTTTTTATTCAGGCCAGGGAGTAGAAAAATACCTGTATTTTACTACTCCCTGATTCATGCCTTTCGTATTGACCGTTTTCATGCGCGCATATGCATGCATAGAAATAAAAAAAATCGTCGGTGCGCCACCAAAAATCGGTGCACGCGTACTTGAGAATCAAAGATAATTTTTACCATGGCCTAATATGATAACTTTTTATAGCATAAAAATAGCATAATTCTGCAATTTTTTCAGCAATGCGAAAAGCATAATTTCACGAAAACATTAGCATAATCTGTCAAGGCCTAGCCTTCGGGCTCAAGTCTAAGTTTGGCGAGTTTCAGCACTGCCTGCAGAGTACCCAACCGGATCTTGCCGTTGTTACAGAGACAAAGCTAACTGCCGACAAAATGAGTTTAGCCGAATGGACAATCCCGGGTTATGCAGCACCAATCCGCTGTGACCGCACAGGCCAAGGCGGTGGAATTGCAGTGTGGGTAAAGTCAGACCTGTGTTTCCGCCATTTGGACTCCATTGACTGCAAATGCTTCGAAGTCATCTGGCTTCTTCTTGAGACGTCTTCCCATGGAAAGATCATAGTCTGCGCAGTGTAGATCTACCGCTCTGGGAGCACCAGTGGCTCTGACTGCAGCCTTGTGGAGTAGATCTACCTGGAGGACACCTTGGAGGACACTCGGCACCTCGGAGACTACTTGCTGATCACTGGGGATTTCAATGTGCACAGCACCGCCTGGCTCAACTGTCACAGGACTACCCCAGCAGGCGACGCATTGGAAACTTTATGTGCAGCGTACGGCCTTGACCAGCTCGTCACTGAGCCTAAGCGTGGAACCGCCATCCTCGTCGACCTTGTTCTCTCCGATCTGCCTGGAACAACCTCATCCACAGTAGGAAAACCTCTTGGCCGATCGGATCACTCTACGATTACCGTGGACTTTTCCAGTGTGCTCCCCCAGTGCGAGGAATCGTCATCCAGGACTGTGTGGCGCTACAGGAAGGCTGACTGGCAAAGGCTCAGAGCGTTTTACCGCTCCACAGACTGGCTAGCTATGACCACTGCCAGCGATGATCCTACCACCGCATAATACATGGGCTAGTATATCGTCTAGAATACATGATGGTATGCACCGGTTTATTCCTCACAAGGAGCTTGTGACCAGGGCTTCTGATCCCAGGTGGTGGACGCCGGAATGTAGTAGTGCAATCGCACACAAGCATTCAGCGTGGAAGAGGTGGAGCCGCTCAAAAGCCAGTGAGACACTGAAAGCAGCCTATGTCCAGGCAGTTACCAATGCTGTGTCAACTCTGCAGCAAGCCCAACTTTCCTGGGAGGAACACCTCAAGCAGAAGCTTCGAACAGGCAACTTGCGTGACAAACAGTGGCGGAGTACCATTAAAGCCGCCGCCAGGAAGGAACGACACTACTTGCTTGTTGATTCCAACCAGCGTGAACATCTCACAGCTCGCTCCAAGGCTGAGTGCTTCGGTACCTAATTCTCGCAGAAGTGCAGTCTTGGTGGTGACGACTTGAGTCCCACTGACATTCCAGACCATATTCCACCTACACCATATCCTATGGCCGGCTTTGGCCATGGATAGAGGTGCACATGCAAGAGGATGCAGCGATAAGAGGGGGAGGGGGGGGGGGGGGGGAGGGCTGTTTACAGCTCTGCAAAACAACAGATGTTGCATGCATGCATGCGCTGGCAGCATTTCACATGCTACAGACAGTGTTGCGCAATGAAATCCAGTCGCGTCACTCAAGTATGTGCCAGGCGTTGTGCAGCCCTAGACCTGCAAACACTGGGCTGCGGAATGATGCAAGGCACAAGCTGTCACTTGAGTGACGCGACTGGATTTCATTGAGCAGCACCGTACACGTACTTTAGTCGCTAGTTGAGCGATCAGCACGACTAATTGTACATGACTGTACAATAATCACCACACATGCACATGTTGCTACAATGTCATCTACCAAAGGGCTTATTTTCAATTTATTTCCCTTGGCCCGGATATTGCCTTTATTGTTCCTTTGAATTGCATGAATATGAAAAATAAAGGACACAGTGACGAGCACGAAAAGAGCTCCATTATGTGTACATGTCATACTATACACGTCGTTACACGATAATTACAGGGTCATCAAATATTATTATGTTGCAAAGGGAATTCGGGAGAAACGACATTATTCTGGCTGGATGCCGTTACTCGCGAAGTTGAGTGTAGATAAGATCAGAAAGGAGTCCTTTTGAGAAAAATCCAGTTCACAAATTTTGAAAGATGATATTACCCTGGAAGAAAATGATTATCATGATTCATATTATGTACAGCAGTGGAGGCAGCACTATAGAGAAGCATGTGCATTGCAGTTTAGTTAGATACACCGTGTCAGTGTGCGTGTGTGCGCGTGTGTGTGTGTGTGTGTGTGTGTGTGTGTGTGTGTGTGTGTGTGTGTGTGTGTGTGTGTGTGTGTGCATTGCATGCTGGCCAACAGCCACATACTTGGCTTAGTGTTACACTTGCCGTGTGGGGTACAGGCACGGAATGTCCAGCTTGACGGGTTAGTCTCGGTGCCGGTGGTCCACACCAGGAGAGGAGACCGGGGATTGTGGTGAACAGATACCGGTTGTGCACAATGGGAGTTGGCGTTAATCAAAGGCAGTTTGAGAACAGAGGCTCGACACTGGGTATTGGTTCGGACTGCCCAGGCGCGCGCTGCTGCTGGAGCTGGCAAGATTATTCGCCACTGTGGAACAATTCTGCGCTTCTACACCAAGTTGGCAGACAGCAGACGCCATGTGACGCACTGGTGGTAGAGCATCACTGAAATGTTATGACAAACTCGGGATACATCTGTGCATCATGGTATGTGACAAAGATTGATGGGTTAACCTCGTTGTCAACTGTCGAATCCATCAGCTCTAGTGTGTTGCCGTTGCGCACATTTGGTGCAATCAAGCCACCGGAACCGTTGTGATAATCACCCACCAAGACGCGAGCTAGAATCATCTTGTGCTGTCCATCAAACGAATACCCAGCTGCATATGAGGGATACCTAGTGAAGTACACACCTTTGCCGTACGCAGTCCCTGTACCAGCCCATGCACACACGCACGCACGCACGCGCGCGCGCGCACACACACACACACACACACACACACACACATATACACACACACACACACACACACGCATGCACGCGCACACACACACACACACACTATTACTACTGCTGCTGCTGCCGCCACCGCCACTACTGCTGAAGAAGGCACTTGTATGGGCAGACAACCAAGAGGCCCGAAGAACTCTCATTATAGGTTAGTGAATGGCATGGAGGGCCTCACGGCTTGTTAGAACGAGGTCTGTCTCGTTGTCCAGGAAATGACCAATCAGCTACATTCCCGCCAAGGGCCTTATCAGAGTTTAAAGGGGAAGTACACCCAAAAATCAAAATTTTACCAGTTGTAGTCTTCGGGGTGCCGAGTCGAATGGTCTTGGTCCGAGGAAGCTGAGACGCTCTCTTCCTCCTTTATTCCCAATCCAACTCGCGCACTTGCACCGAAACTGGGTGACTGCGCCCTACTAGATAGGGATTGTATGGAAAAAGTCACTAAAAACGCCGTTTCGTTCTTTTAAAATGCACGGATGACCGCGATTGGTCCATATGTTGTAGTCTTTTGGCCGCCGAGTTGACTGGTTTTGGTCCGAAAAGGCTGCGATCATGCAGCGTTTGGCCCTTATTCCCAATCGAACACGGTTGAGTAAGCGGTCACGTGCTCATGCGTACACCAGTCACCTGGTCATCGTGCCCTCAGGCTACACTTTACAGCCTGTTTGGGCCCGTTCCTGTCACTCGAGTTGAACCTTTGAACCAGGGAGTCGTAAAAAGCCTCTTACGACTCCCTAGTTTGAACCTTTGAGTTGAACCTTGGTGTGAAAATTGTAGCCTGCAGGCACGGTGACCAGGCGACTGGTTTACGCATGAGCACGCGACCGCTTACTCAGCCGTGTTCGATTGGGAATAAGGGCCGAACGCTGCGTTGCAGCCTTTTCGGACCAAAACCAGTCGACTCAGCGGCCAAAAGACTACAACATATGGACCAGTCGCGGTCATCTGTGCTTTTATAACGAAACAGCGTTTTTAGCGACTTTTCCATACAAATCCCTATCTAGTAGGGCGCAGTCACCCAGTTTCGGTGGAAGTGCGCGAGTTCGATTGGGAATAAAGGAGGAAGGGAGCGTCTCAGCTTCCTCGGACCAAGACCAGGACCATTCGACTCAGCACCCCGAAGACTACAACTGGTGAATATTTGATTTTATGGTGTACTTTCCCTTTGAAGCCCGCTCAATCGTAATTTTACTACTCTTGATGACGCATCGAGGGCCTTGGATAAGCCTTTTGCACGTTGTACAGATGCACGAAATCGCATAGAACCTATTATAAATGGGTGTTGAATGTGCAGGACCCTATTGTGTTTTCTGCTATTTCCACTAAGAAATAGGCCCTGAAGGCATTTCAAATGAAAACCTTTTCTGACAAAGATCTAGCTAGTCATTAGTTCTAACCAAAGTGAAGAAGTTAGTTGGAAAAGGGATTGTTTGCCATTAATTATGAGCCTAAAATTGGTCGAATGCGCATGCATAGGTAAAGAATATCTCATGAGTACGAGGGTGATACCGGCGAATATCAATCCCGACTGCGAAGCAGAAGGGATTGATATGAGGGTACGGTATCTCCCGAGCTACGAGGGTGATATTCTACTTATCACATATGACCCTACACCATGTACACACCATGATTGTGTCTTATCCCATATGACCCTACACACCATGTGCACCGTACTTCATGCTCTTCCTGCTACACAACTACATTCCCACAGTAGAGTTTAGTTTGAACTTAGGTAAAGCATAGGGTAGGAAGGAAAAGTATAGAGGAGTGGAAATAGAAGAGTTGATTGAAATGGAGTATTGTAAATTGTAAATGGAACACTGCATTGCAGAAATGAGCCAACTTCAGCGCAGTTCCTTCACATCGTTCACATGTATGTGAACGGCACCACTGAAGTTGCCAGAGAATATGAATTTTGCGCTATTCTCCGACGTCACCGTGGATGAACTGGTAGTGACAGAAGCTGACGGGGGAGGTGCCTGAGGCTCTTCCAAGGCCTGCAGTTCCTCCGGAGTCGCGCACTGCAGTGCTTCATCAATGGCGTCTACGTCCAACAGGTGAGCAGTTTTCATCTTGTCATGCTCGCTTGGCTGCAAGTACGAGTCTAGGCTTTGGGCATTCCGATGGCCGGAAGTACGCATGATTGTAGTAGCACTCACATTTTGCTTAGCCAAGGTCGTAATGGCGGTGGCGCGCACACTGTGGTTGGTGTAGATCTGGCTTAGTCGCGCTGTTTCGCTCATCTTCTTCATCATGCCATCGATTTTGTTTTTACCAAACACTTGGCCTGTGTACCATTCTGAATCCTCTGGCTGGTAATGTTTGCGTGGTATCTGAAAGAGTCGCTTGGACTTCACAGACAACTTTGAAGTGAGGAGTAGGACGACTTCCACCTGCCAGTCGGACACTATCATCCCATCAGACACCGTGTCCTTTCCTTTAATGCCGCCTTGCTGGTTCTTCTGGGCGAATGCTGTGGCTAATGTGATGTATCGTTTGCCTTTGTCGTTGGTCTTCACATCCAGGTCGTCGGATGTTAGATACGCCTGAATCTCCGAACCACGCAGACAGAAGTGGTAAGTGATGACGAACCAGACAAGGTAGGTGAGGTGATCCGCATTTGTCTTCCAGTCACCGAGGTGCTTGTAGATCTTTTCTTTGTCGCTATCGGAGATGTGAGGCTTGTGCTGCGTTGGTGCTACCAGGCCGTCTTTCTTTAACTGCTTTAGGTAGCCATCAAGTACTTGGTTAGCCTCGATAAACTCACTATCAGTATAGAGATTGATGGTGCGCTTCAGCTCTTGCAGTTCATGGTGAATGGCACTCTGAAACTGCAGTAAGCTGTTCTTAGAATACGGCTGTTTGTTGACTTGACGGATTTCAACATAGGCATGCTTCAGGATAGATGCTAGATCAGTCGCTTGTATTGTTTTCAAGTCGCACGTTTTCTTGTTCTCCACACACCAAGTGTCAAAAACACGCATCCAGTTCTTAGTAGCTCGTTTGGTGTTTGCGGGAACACGACTTTCACGTATCCTATCCAGATCTGACTCAGACACCTGCACAAATCGCTTAACTCTTTCTTCACTGCTGTGCTGTTCTGATGAAACGCGCTTTTCAGTAGTGGTCTTTTCCACTACCTCACCAGTTGCTAATGTCGCAGTTGCTGTAGATGATAAAGAGAATCCTGACATGTTGGCTATTTCATCCGTAGATAAAAAAGTTGAAGTAGTTGGAAGCGGCATCTAAAACTTCTGCATCTTCCAAGTCAATATCACTTGCACCCAAGTCAAAGCTAGCCATCTTACTGGTAAGAATACCGAAAGTGACCAGACCCAGAAGTATTGTCAAGTATTTGTGCTTTCTGTGTACGTGTGTACAAACCATGAGGGTCCTTGGCTCATTGTTCTAGGAACGGAATCAATGACTCCATTGCTTGGTAAGTGTTTTCCTTGGTCATGTTGTATTTCCTGCAACTTAGGCGTACTATTCTCGGAATTCTTGTTTACTAACTTTTAGTATAAATTCCAATTCCTCGAAAGTGTACTATATTGCATTCCATATTTAGCATAAATTTTGATTGCTCCTTCTAGCCCTATGTTTCAGGCTCTACTGAGCCTACCTGCTAGACCCCCCCCCCCCCCCCCCCCCCCACCGCTTTCGCCAGCAAGGCCAAAGGGGTGGGGGGGGGGGGGGGGGGGTAGGCGCGGCAGTAGGGCCTGTAGCGTAGGGCCTAGCAGGAACAATCAAGTGCTAAATATGGAGTGCATTTATAGTACGCTTTCGAGTATATGCGTACAGTGTACGCAGCAGGGGTGATATAGAGCAGCAGGGGTGATATGGGCTAGGCGGGGTGATATCGGCCTATATCACCCGCCTACGAAGGCCTCTGATTGGTTCAATCCATGGAAACCATCACCTGATATGTGATAACACACAATGAACACCGAATCGGGGCTGTACACACCTATGCCCTAGTACTGAACTTCGTACATCTAGCTATACAACGCGCAAAAGGCTTATTAGTTTAAAGCCCTCTGAATATACTCACTTTCAGCTCGTACAACTTCATCTATGCATTATAGTACGGTGCAAATAATGAACTCTGCACAAAATGGACGGTGTGCTACTAAAAACTACCCCTTTCAGAAGTGCGTACGGTTTTTGCCTCCCATACTCTTTCATATGTACGATTTTCCTTTCTCAACAGCTGGCGGAACCCTATAAAAACAGAAGATCAAAAGTGTGTACGGTTTTTGCCTCCCGTACTCCTTCATATGTACGGTTTTCCTTTCTCAACAGCTCGCGGAACCCTATAAAAACAGAAGATCAAAGTCATTATAGGTATCAAAAAGGGCTCTCGAAGCCCCCTAAATAGCTCCGCAAGCTACGAATACTTGAAGAATGAAGGTCGCAATAAATTAAAAAAAATTCACGGTTCGCGTGAGACTCGGCTAGAGGCCAGGTTTTCCGCATCCGTAGGAATGCCATCACCCTTCAAGGATCAAGGCGCAGGTCGCAATAAGAGCCCAGCATTTCATTTGCTTCTATTATACTTTTTTGTAGTCCCCAGCGGTGCTGAGTTACCAGAAGAAAATATTCTATCATACCACACCAATTCTCTCTGCACACACACCACAAAACTACCCAACATGAGGGTACACAAGCATAATGCAATTGAGATAAAGCATGTAACCTCGTTCGAAAATAGTTAGTGCATGGCAGGGAGGGCCTTATGGCTTGTGTGCGCCCTTCAGGTTAGGCACTAACAAGCCTTAGAACGAGGTCTGTCTCGTTGTCCAGGAAACGACCAATCAGCGACATTCCCGCCAAGGGCCTTATCAGAGTTTAAAGCCCGCTCAATCGTAATTTTACTACTCTTGATGACGCGTCGAGGGCCTTGGATTAGTTTAAAGCCCGCTGGATATACTCTAAACTGGTGCGTACAACTCCCTGTATGCATTATAGTACGGTACAGATAATGAACTCTGCACAAAATGTACGGTGTACTACTAAAAGCTACGCATTTGAGAAGTGTGTACGGTTTTTGCCTCCCGTATTCTTTCATCTATACGATTTTCCTTTGTGAGCAGCTGGCGGAAACCTATAAAAACCGAAGATCAAAGTCATTAGAGGTATCGACAAGGGGCTCTCAAAGCCCCTAAATAGTTCCACAAGCTATGAATAAGAATGAAGCTCGCAATAAGAGCCCAGCATTTCATTTGCTTCCCTTCTACTTTTAGTAGTCCTCAGTGGTGCTGAGTTACCATAACTTACCAGAAGAAAATATTCTTTCATACCACACCAAGTCTCTCTGCACACAAACCACAAAACTACCCAATATAATGGTACAAAAGCATAATGGAAGTGAGATAATGCATGTAACCTCGTTCTAAAATAGTTAGTGCATGGCAGGGAGGGTCTTATGGCTTGTTTGTGCCGCGGGCCTTCAGGGTAGCCTTCGGGCCTACGGCCCTCAGGCTAACCTGTCGGGCACTAACAAGCCATAAGGCCCTCCCTGCCATGCACTAACCTATAAATAAGGCCCTCCCTGCCACACACTGACCTATAATTAGTGCCCGACAGGTTAGCCCTCAGGCCTACGGCCCTCGGGCTAACCTGAAGGGCGCAAACAAGCCATTATGCCCAACCCGCCTTGCGCGAGCGCGAACTATTTTAGAACAAGGTTATTATCCCTCTTGCATAGGAGCTGACCAAGCACTTAATTCTCAAGCTATGTCAGGAAAATCTTTGGTACATGTAATTGAGTTTCAATGTACGGACCTAGAACGCATTGTACTTGTGTGCTCTTATATTGGGTAGTTTTGTGGTTCGTGTGCAGAGAGAATTGGCATGGTATGATAGCACATATTCTTCTGGTTACCGTAACTAGCAAACGACACTGATTACCACAAAGGGGAATCGAAGCAAATGAAACGTTGGGCTTTTATTGTGAACCACATTCCTATTGATAGCTCACGGAGCAATTTGGGAACTTCTAGAGCCGCTTTTCGATACCTCTAGTGAGTTCAATCTTGGGTTTTTATAGGGTTCCGCCAGCTGTAGACAAAGGAAAATCCTAGAGATCAAAGAATATGGGAGACAATTACCGTACACACTTCTGAAATGCGTAGCTTTTAGTTGTACACGTGCCCACCCTCGACGCGTCATCAATGAGTAGTAAAATTCTAATTGAGCGGGCTTTAAACTAATCCAAGGCCCTCGGCGCGCCATCAAAGAGTAATACAGTTACGATTGAGCGCGCTTTAAACTCTGACAAGGCGTTCGGCGGGAAAGTCACTGATTGGTCGTCTCCTGGACAGCAAGACAGACCTCGTTCTAAAAGACAGTAGGAATAGTAGAGCATTAGGAAAAAATATGACACCACTACTGCTACCTATTAGAAGCACTACTGCTGTCGCCGCTGGTGCTAACTTACTACATGACTAACAAGTATAACTTTGTCGACCTCCGCCCATGCAGGACTTACACTTGGACACATACACATACACGCATGTGAAAGCGTGCACACGCAGACATTCACACACCTGTACACCCACCCACACTTATTCACAGACACACGGACACAGGCACACGGACACAGGCACACGGACACACACACAGGCACACAGACACACGCACAGACTCACGTGCACATGCACACTCACGCACACACACATACACAAATATCCTGGATACTGCCTGTGAAACCGAAAATTACTTCGCAGAACGAAAGATCGTAGAACGACACGCCATCGAAAGACGATTCAAGGAGTTTGTGCCACATCAAACGGCCCTGTCACCGAAAATGGAAATGTATTCATTTTCAATGCATGCCATATCAAAATCTATTTGTCAGCAAATCCTTTCACTGTAATGTGTAATTGTTCGCTGTTTTTCTTTGCTTTAATTAATGCTAGTGTCGAAAGTATCAGGTTATTTCATTTCGCAAATTTGGCACCCCGATCATTGTGGAAATTTGGTACCCGGATCATTGTTGAAATTTAGTACCCCGATCATTGTGGCTGCCAGGTATAAATAGGTACTAGGCACCCTAAGTTGACTCAAAAAACACAACCGGTACCCCAAGGAAGAACTGCTCTCTGCCACTCCGTGCGCCTTTGCTTAACCCTTTACCGGCAAGTGCATTTTGTATATGAAATCCATAACATTGAGAAGGATGCCAATAACTCACAACGAGGGCACATTTTGTATGTGCAAGTTATGTTTTCTTGGAAGTCTGGTACTACTTCCTGACCATGGAAAAATTATTTTCACATACCACACACATACGCTGCTAAATTGGCACCTATACGTCTAAACACAGAAATTGTACATAATGCAAATCGTCAGATTCCGACATTGACATGAAACTGCCAAAACAAGTCGACTTCGGAGCGGAAACAAACGCCATAGCCATCACAGACTTCAGTGGCCGCGCCTCGCTCGCAATTGAGAGCTGCATCGCCCCAAAATCGCTGTCCGATGGCTCCGTAAGGTCGTGCGCAAGTCGCACTGCGCTGCCGTCACTCAGGTACGTAGAAAGTTGATGGCCTAAAATTCCATGTCTGGGAGACTGTCGCCACGGGATCACTCTCCATGGCTTCCACACCATAAGCATCATCAGATTCTTCCAGTTACATCACGACGACATCGTCTTCAGCGGCTGGAGCTCCCGATATTTGCGTGAGAATTTACTTGGCGTGCGCTCCGCTCCGCAATTTGAAATTCGCTTGCATCGGCAGCTGGAACGAAGTATTTATCTATCTGTCGTGGGTCCCAGAGCGAAGGTCTGCTAGGTCCTCGTCGAAGAAGTCATCTGAGGACGAAAGGTACTCACTGCGCAAGAGGAAATGCACCTGACGACGTTTTGACGGAGGCAGACGGCATTGTCGGCGCGCGTGTATTTCCGTAAGTTTTCGATCGCGCAGTTCTCAATGAAATCAAATGGGACGCGTAGATCTCTTTAGCTACGGATAGGATCATACCTAGGCTGTGTGAGGGCCACGGGAAATCACCGTGGGCTGATGCTTCCTGTCATACCAGGCATGATTTTAGTATGCATGTCGAATGCGTCGTTTACGTGACGCATTCAAGTATGGGGTTGCCGGTAAAGGGTTAATAAACAACAGGGCACATACAAGAAGCTGTTGCAAGTTCTGCTCGATGTCAACTCCAATGTAAACACTGAGAGTGACGCCATCAGCGCTGACTTTTCTCTTGCAGCGATATCTGCGATTGTTCGTAAAATTTTGCCAGGCCACAAATTGCGCATGCTACAACCTCGCTGGGAGGTAGCAGTCTGATGTGCCCTCAGAGCACTCCGCCACTAACGCGCGTGTGTGTGTGTGTGTGTGTGTGTGTGTGTGTGTGTGTGCATGCGCGTGTGTGTGTGTGCACGTGTGTGTGTGTGTGTGTGTGTGTGTGTGTGTGTGTGTGTGTGTGTACATGGGCTATCCAGGCTTTGCTACACAAAGCCCACATTTATGACTTTTATGTTGAGAATAGAATCCGGCATCGTTTTGTATATTGGTGGGAAAAGCTCAAAACAGTTTGCACCCCCTTCCCCTCCTATAGGTACTTCAAAGATCCCAAGGGCAAATGGCTCTAATGGAAATGTACTCTTTAGGAGTAGTCAAAGTACAAACAACGCTTCAGACCATGACTAATATACATCTTACCATGTTTTCCAGCGAAGCTACGGTTGAAGCCTTGTGCACAGATGCTTTGCACACTTTCACTAGTAGTGCCATGAAACAGGTGCTGCTCATTGCTTTTGCGATTGCTCGACGGATTGCGTTCCATCGACTCCTTCTTTGCTTGATACTGCCGATAGAGTGCTTCGTTTTGAACACGTTGGATGCAAGAAACGGCGAGTTGGCGGCCATTCCTACCAAGTCCGCCTGGGAAGACTTGCTGCAATGGTGTGCCAGCAGGGAGCTTTGTCAGTGCTTGCCTTTGCAATGAATGGTTGTGGTAGGCACTCGTGAGGAAAATGCCTGCCGCGTCCACATACTCATTGCTCCATTTATTCAGATTCAACAGCAGGCCTTGTGACACTGTGACATCCCAGTGGGAGGGAGCTGCGGGAAGAGGAGGAGAACCCGGAGAGGTTAAAACAAATGAAACACAAGTATCCTCTGTCATGGGTACAGAAACGGTGCAAACATTGGAATCCTGGCTAAAATTTCTGCCACATATTGCCACTTGATCAGTTCGAAATAAGGTCCGGCCACTACAGTGGCCGGATAGGACCCTGGCCTATATTTGAAAGTTGCCAACCAGGGCTAAACAGGCTGATGCAGATGGAGGAGAGAAATGCCGTTGCATCTAAATATGCTGCTGTTTTGGCATTCCGCATCGACAGGCACTTCTATTGCTTCCACAGAAGCAGCAAGGATATGGGGATAGGACCTGGTATTGCTAAAGCGAGGTAATAGTCTGGATACATGATGCGATGTCATATCACCAGGACTTTACTCCACATGCACATATTTTAGAACTGTCATAGTATGGTCACAGCCATTCACGCGACAGGCACTGGTACTGTGGTTGATGTTTCGAAAAATAAATCACACAGGCATCTTCTGGCTAACGTAGCCCATAGTTAACATTCTACTCCCCATGCTAGAGTATAGAGTAGACACACACGTGTGCAGGACGCAACACACCAAAAGACACGAGAGTGAGTTTGGAAGAATGGAAATGTCGGGCAGAGTAGCTGGCCTCAATTGAGTGCGCGTTGACGAATCGTGTGGTCGGCCTACCGAGGGCAGGAGCTGTATATGACCAAGTGGGTCGGCCTGCGCTGAGCAGGAGCGGTTTGTGACCCATGCGAGTTGGTGGGTCGGCCTGCGTTGAGCAGGAGCGGTTTATGACCCATGCGAGTTTAATAGTAGTGCGCGAGAGGCCAGTTACGGAGGAGTGCCCGCATCCGTGTGTTTCAAAATATGTGGAGTGGAGTGTAAGAGTAAGAAATGGGATGAGGAGGGTGGGTCAGAATTTGAAAGCTGACTGCAGGCAAGGAAACTGAAAAGACAGCAAGCTCTGTTGTGCGCACAGGAAATCTGCGCATGCGCAGAGCGTGGGCATGTGGTCTATGATACACAGCAGTATGTAGAGAGAGCAAGATTGTGCACACACGTAAGGAGGGTTATGCAACCCGTTATAAAGGCCAACAGCGAAGCAATGGTACGTGACTGTTAACAACGGTTAACTCCTACGTTAACCGAACATTTAATAGCCGCATTATGTATTACAACATGTTAAAAATTCCTTCCCGAGTTCAACGAAAGTACAGTGTCCACACATTCCTTGTGCACTGTTACAATGCCAATGCACCAGAAGGCAGCCAGTCACGGTCCAGTCAGCTTGCGGCTGCATACTGTCAATTGCGCTTGACTCAGGGTGCATGCAGTGCAGGGGCATGCCAAGAGTCGGAATCATAGCAAGTACAGGACGTGTAGGGCCAGCACTTTCAAGAGAGACTGAACAGTACGTTTCACAATCTGCACGTGTTAGCAGGGAACGTGCAGTCCGAACGGGTTTCTGAACCCAAACACCGCTGATCTGTCCCGTCTCCGATTTCCGCTCCCTATTGATTGTTTGACCTGCAAAGCGACAATCTCTATCAAGAGTGCATAAACAAGAGTATGCAACTGTGGTTATGGGTCAGTGCGCGGTGCGCTGCCTTCCGAATACGTTACTTGCCTCCATCATGCTCTGAAAGCATGCACTCAAACCCACAATTTCTCGTACGAGCCCATCTGTTTTTTAGGGCTGAAATGAATGCTCAATGAAGCGAACGAATATTCTTTTTCCGAATACATGCGAAACGAAGAATATTTCGAATATTCTAAACCATACAATTTCCATGGATACCTAGTTTTATCCATGGTAACCATAGACCATTTTAACTGGCATACACCTCAATTACAAGAGAGACATTTGAAAAATCATTTGTCTTTCTTATTATAACACATCGAAAGAGGCAAGCCTACTTATATTTTGCACCAAATAAGCTTGATCGATGTCAAAAAGGCGAGTTTCTGTACATTTACGAATATTCCTATTCTACTTTAACGAAGAATATTCCTTTTCCGCTTTGCATATTTCGAATATTCGAATAATTCGAATATTCCTTTCAGCCCTACTGTTTTTGCTCGATTTGTTCCAGTACCTACGCGATCGCTAAGTTTTGGCGCGTGAACTTCAGTTACGGACGACAGTTTATTTCAAACTAGATGGTAAATGCAGTGTTTGATTTTCCGCAGAGCGCAGACTGCAGCTGAATGATGCAATGAAGGCAGCGCGTCGCGCATCTGGCCCATAGAAAAGAGATCACAGTGAGCCAGCAGATGCCCGCATGACAATGTGAAAAGCCTACAAGCGCAGATATTTCCGGAGACGGGACTGTGCACAATCCAGCACAGCAAGTCGGCATTATTCCCGTAGCTATGCAAAAGACGTTACTTCAGTAACGTCTGGCGCTAGCCAGGGTCCACACAGCTTTAATTCTGTGTTTGTTTGTGCCGTCGGCATGCCTGGCGTTATCCCGTACCTGTCCCGTACCGTACCATCAAAGACAGCTGGCCACACTATTCAAATAGGGCTTTCAAATGCAAGATCATAACGTGAAGCAACTTGGAAGAATGAATATGTTTGCGAAGTGTATTGGGGGGAATGCATGCATGGCGATAGTGCAGGTTTGAATCCCAGGTTATGTCTTGAAAAAATAGGAGAAATATTTTTTTAACTTTTGCCTAAAGCGGGATTCACAGAAGCTTTTTTGCGATGCGACGTGATTATTATTATTAATTCAAGATCTCCTGGCTCGTCAGAAGACTGCCAATATATATGAGAAGTCGGGTGGTAGCCAACCACGGCGATCTGCGACGGATGCGTGCGGTGCGAACTCACAAAATACCATTCACAGAAGAAGTTAGCGATGCGACGTCTTGCTGATTTGGGTACGTCACCATGATAATCGCGCGGTTTGGTACAACTTGTACACATTTATAGGCAACTCTTGAACCTTTGTACAACTTTGCTGTAGAAAAGGTCAAAATCGTACGCCAAATCGCTTGTCGCATCGCAAAAGTTGAGCCTGCGATGGCCCAGTTGCGGCAGTTGCGTGGGGTGCGAGATGGATGCGATTTGGGGATTTCCCGGTTTCACGGCAGTCACATCGCGTGTCGCATCGCAAAAAAAAGCTTCTGTGAATCCCGCTTAACTCATTTTCAAACTGACTGAAACGTTTTTGCAATACAATGATGTAGCCAGTCAATGGAAAAAAACACTTCCATCAGTTCTAATAACATGCATGATGAGCTAGGCAAAAAAAAGCATAGCGTAGGGACCTGAAGCGGCTTCCAAGCTCTCTCGTTATCTCTCAGATAAAGCAATACACTCGATGCGATATTCTACAATTTAACCTTGCCACGCCGAAAAGCACTGAGATGTCGGATTCTCCCATCGGAAGTATAGAAACTAATACTTGTTTCCAAAAAAATCAGCGTCTGGGTGCGAGGGAGTAAAGCCACTACCTTCTACTCTAGTACTCCTTCACTACTTAAAGTCTCATCCTGTGGTGGATCCAGTTGAAGCAAGGGTAGAGAGCACTGGCTGGAAGTGTTATGATGAAGATTGAAGACATGACACAGGTTTAATTCCCGTAGCTATGCAAAAGACGTTACTTCAGTATCGTCTGGAGCTAGCCAGGGTCCACACAGCTTAATTTCGCGTTTGTTTGTTTGTGCCATCGGTATGTCTGGCGCTATCCCGTACCTGTCCCGTACCGTACCATCAAGGTGTGTGTCTGTTTGTTTTTGCCGTTGGCATGCCTGGCGCTATCCCGTACCTGTCCCGTACCGTACCATCAAAGACAGCTGGCCATGGCCACAATCAGAATATTCAGGCGCGTCGCACCGACTTTGGAGGTGGGGCGGCCATGGAAGGGGGTCCGGAGGTCCTCCCCCGGGAAAAAATTTCAAAAATTGAAGCCAATTGCAAGCATTTCCGGGCATTTGGTGCCATTTCAGTGTACGGTAACTACAATGAAAGACTTTTTGATTCTGCAAAAAAACAAGAAGATGCTACGATCGGGGACAAACAGTACCCTCCCCCGGGAAAAAAATTCAAAAAATGACAAAAATTGAAGCTAATTGCAAGCATTCCCAGGCATCTGGTGCCATTTCAGTGTACATGGACTTTTGATTCTGCAACAAACCACAATCGGGGACAAGGATTTGCCACGTTTGCGCTGAGATCATCGCGCTTTGTTGCAGTGTGCTCAAAAAAAAAAAAAAAAACCGCCGAAAAAGTGGGGCGGCCATGGCTAGGTTTTGCCTAGGTCATCAAGGTGGCAGACGGTGTCGTAATACCCTCGAATGACAAGAGAAAGTTTATTTATTTCGCTCAGGGCCCTACGCTATGCTTTTTTTGCCTAGTTCATCATGCATATTATTCGAACTGATGGAAACTTTTGCAACACATTGATGTAGCCGATCAGTTCGTTGTGGTATGGTTGGGCATTGTAGCCGTCATGGTCGACGTAAAACACTATAGCCAATCAATGGAAAACACATTTCCATCAGTTCTAATAACATGCATGATGAGCTAGGCAAAAAAAAGCATAGCGTAGGGCCCTGAGCTTCCAAGCTCTCTCGTTGGAGAGGGGAGGGGGTATAAATTCCGCCACTAACCGGATTTCTTCATTTTTCAATTGTTTTACGGCCGGCCCATAACTCAAGTAATTGCTCAAACCTCGCTGCAGTGTCTGTACAATGTACACATACAAGTAAACAATACTCGCTGTCTCACCTTTAGTTGAGAAGTCCATTCTGGAGAGCAGGTAGTCTGCGTTCTCACTACGATAAGGCATCCGTAACGTCATCTTATGAAAGTCAACCTGTAGCTCATGGAAACGTCCCACTTGGTGAAATTGTTGACATCTATCCGTTGTCTTGAAGTCAACTTCCAGCCGAGGGAAACTTCCCGACTGGTGAAATTCGTTAAATCTTGCCAAATGGTGTTGATACGCCTCTTCAATCTCCACATTGACACTTGCTTCGAACATGTACTCATAACTGTTCGTATCCGGCTTCTTGTAGGACCATCGTACGGGCATAGGGGATTCCCCTGCATGCAGCTGCCACCACCACGTACGGGCAATTTCAGACCTGAATTCTTCAGTCAGGCAATGGTAGACATGTGCAGCCTGGCGATGCTCCCCACAGATGGTGAACTCATTGTGACGATAGCGTACATACACATTATGTTCCCTTCCCACACATTCGACAATTTGTACTCTCTCATGACTTATTCCAGAGCAGTCCACTGAAAAGCTCACATACTGGCATGAGCAGTTCTCATTCACCAAAGACTCAATCTTAGCCACAGCAGCTGTGCGTGATGTGTTTCGTTCGCCGTAAACCAATACTCTCATTAAGTCCTCGTGGCGAGCCGAATCAAGGGCTTCAATGGCTGCAGTACCATGTCCACAGATAGCGTTGAGCGATGTGGGTAGCTCGCTGGCGATGTCCCTGAATTCAAACTTATCAGCGGCAATCAGCTGCACTCTTCTGACAAAGCGCGCCATCGGGGCGAAGACCATCAGTGCACGGGTCAATGCACGTGCATAGACATCCGTTGACGTGTGGACAGCGCTGGCAACCAGGGTGGGTAAGGTAATCGTACGGGCGCCTAGTTTGTCAGCTTCCTGAAGGGAGTTCAGTATGGTAGCTTGCAAAGTCTGCGGATCAGTCTGCGGGTGCCGACTGCACACCGCAAGCAGGAGGTAGTCTGCCAAGTCATTCCCACCAATTCTCAGTACTGTGCTGGCTGGGAGAGGGCCAGTGATGGAGAGCTTGCTACACTCCGCCAGGATTATGCTCGACAGCTGGGTCAATCTATCCGAGGCATTCTCAGCGAGCGCCAAGGTAAGGCACTCGTCAGTAGGCACAACAACGGCATTCGCGTGATCTTCCATGATATCACCTTGCCTTAGCCATATTCGTAAACTTGAGTTTCCAGGTACAGTGCACACCACATGATTGGTGGTTATGAGGTCGCCAGTGATGGAGGATTCGGCTACTGGAGATTGAGGGCAGGCGAGTGAGTCAAGTTCATTTTGGTCATTCCAGGCCTTGATAACACAAAGTACACATACACACAGTGTACACAGCTTGTATAAACAATGCTAAAATGGACTCTCAACACACATCCATAAAAAGCTTCTCCAAGTCAGCAGTTATTATTTGCCAATAACAACTCCTTCAACTGACTAATAACGTAAAAAATGTGTTTGTTTTTAAAGTATTCAATCTATGCACAGCACTGTTACAAAGACGTTCCTACTAGCCAGTGGAGAGCGTTCAACACAAAAGGCACAACAGAGGGTTACTGGAGAGTGTGTTGCATCTCCGAGTTCCTTGCACAATGCAATCATCAAGTCGCCTGATGATTGCAATGTGCAAGGAACTCGGAGATGTGGCACACAGCATTGTGTTACTGTATCTTCCGGTGTATTAACCGCACCAGGGTCGAAGCTGCACCCCCTTTTTGGACCCGAAATGCGTACTTTTGTTGACATTTGGAGTATACACTTCACGCCACAGTACTTTTCGGAAGCGCAACCTAATGTGTAACCAGTACATACAAGCCGTTACAAATGGTTAAAACGTTACCAGTAAAACTTTCAAAGGAAGTGTTATATATGCACTCTGATGTAATATATTATGTACTCTGTATGCATTTGTATATACTCATTGCGCATGCTCTGAATCATGGTCTTACTCTACATGTATCCATGCCGGCTGGTTGACTCTGGTGAGCTGCGTGTGAGACTGCATGTAGGGTGTACGTGGATACACAACAAATGGCGACGAAGATGAAAATTTTGTTTTGAGATAATTTGTTTAGTTGAGTGCTTGCGAGAATTTGGTAAACCATGGCCTCTTCAGGGAAGGCCACCCTGGAGCAGTTTTCTGGCGGGGACTTTGCGGAGTACCGGGAACGGCTTGAGTTTTATTTTCTCGCAAATGACATCGGTGTTGTTTCAGCCAGTGCAAACTCATCGGAGAAAGAACGCGTACGTAAGAAGATGATTGCACATCTAATCTCTTCACTGTCGAAAGACGTCTACTCCACTTTGCGGAACCTCTGTCTGCCGGAGTCAATATCGGACAAGACCTTCGAGCAGATTTGTGACCTACTGAATGGATATTACAGAGTGGAGCGTTCCACGATGACTTCTTCTTTTCAATTTCGCGATTGCAACCAGAGACCAGCGGAAAAGCTGGTAGATTACGCAAATCGTTTGAAACGTGCGGCAGTAGCCTGCGACTTTGGGTCGCATTTAGACAGATTCCTAAAAGATCAATTTATGGCAGGAGTCTACAGTCAGGAGATCAAGCGGACGATTCTGACTAGTCCTGACAGCAAGACGAAGAAGTTTCAGGATGTGCTGGATATCGCTTTACGGGAGGAGCGCGCCATCATGTTTGCTGAGCAGCTTACTCCAGGTACTACTACTAGTACTAGATCAACATCTACGCCGTCCGAGTCAGTCAACAAGATGAGAGCTACCACTACCAGTAAATCCAAGTCAGCAAGTGCATCTAGAAAGCCAAATCACTCGCAGGACCAGAAAGGGTCAAAGTCGACGAAGGGCAAGGTTTGTTATCGTTGTACATCTGATTTGCATATGGCTGACAAGTGTCCTCATCGATCTACTACTTGTCGATACTGCAAGAAACGAGGACATCTCGAAAGAGCCTGCATCACCAAGCAGAAACGAGGTGAAATTCACCACGTGGATGACGAACCTGATGATCGAGGTGAGATCGTTTCTGATTGTGATGTTGATGATATGCCTATCTACAAGATTCGATCGGGTAGTGGAAAACACCCTCCGTATACTGTAATGGCGGAAATCAATGATGTTTGTTCACCAATTTGCATGGAAATCGATACAGGTAGTGCTGTATCCATCATCACCAAATCTGATTACGAGAAATTGGGTGCACCAGTGTCGTCTCTTGTAACTCAATCAGTCCAGCTCATTGGGTTTTCCGGTTCCATCATCCCCTGTTTAGGTGAAGGGAAATTTCCAGTGTCAATAAATGGGCAAAAGCACACTGTTCTCTTGCGCATTGTCGATACAAATGGTCCATCTCTGTTGGGCAGAGATCTTCTCTCACTTTTCAAACTAGAATGGAGGGAAATATTCTCGGTGAAGTCTGAAATTGATAATGCTCTTATACGCGCAAAGCTGCAGGAGGAAATGCTTCAGAAATTTGAGAGTTTGTTTGACACGTCAACTGTCGGCAAATTAAATTCAACTCAGGTCACTTTGCGTGTAAATGATTCAAAACCTGTGTACATGAAGGCTCGTTCAGTACCATTTGCAATCCGGGAGAAATACGAGCAAGGCCTCTCTAAACTGGAGGAGGAAGGTGTAATACGCAAAGTTGAATTTTCGAAATGGGCTTCACCTACGGTTCCGGTTCAAAAACCAGACGGAAATGTACGTATCTGTGCTGATTACTCGCGCACCATCAATGCTAATTCGGATTTAGAAAAATATCCGTTACCTACCATAGACGAAATTCGTGCCAAGTTGAATGGTGGGCAGAAGTTTACGAAGCTTGATTTATCTCAGGCGTACCACCAGCTAGAGCTTGATCCTAAGTCGAGGGGGTATACTACAATCAATACCCACCGTGGTCTGTTTGAATATGTACGTCTACCGTTTGGCATTCATTCAGCAGTCTCCATATTTCAGCGTACTATGGAGACTCTCCTGGCGGGTATCGATGGCTGCATTGTGTATGTAGATGATATTCTAGTCACAGGTCGAAATGATGCAGAGCACAAAAGAAATCTGGAAATGGTTTTGCAGCGGCTACAAGATGCGGGAATGCGTTTGAAAGCCACGAAAACCGAGTTCATGCTACCGCAAGTCTCGTACCTTGGTCATACTTTGAGTGCGAGTGGTATGGCGCCTTCGCCAGGAAGAATCGATGCTATGGTTAATGCCAATGCTCCTACGTCCGTCAGTGAGCTTCAATCGTTTATTGGGTCTGCGAATTATGTTCGCAAATTCATACCCAATTTTGCTCGGATTATGGCGCCACTTTACGCTCTGCTAAAGAAAGATACTGTTTGGAGATGGTCAGATTCTGAACAGACAGCGTTCCTTACGATAAAGAATGCTTTATGTTCCACGGAGGTTTTGGCGCACTATTCGGCGGGTCTGGAGCATGTCTTGCAATGCGACGCATCAGGAACGGGTCTTGGTGCGGTTCTTTTACAGAAAAACGAAAATGGTGATTACCAACCCATTTCGTATGCGTCTCGTCTGTTGAATAAAGCGGAGAGAAACTATTCAAATATTGAACGGGAGTCACTCGCTCTTGTGTTTGGTGCAACCAAATTTCGCCAATATCTCCTGGGAAAGAAATTTGTCCTTGAAACTGATCACAAACCTCTGGTGAAATTGTTCGGCATGCAGGAAGGTGTTCCGTTCCTGGTTTCTTCCAGATTAAAGAAATGGAAGTTATTACTTTCAGCGTATGACTACACCATCCAACACATTGCGGGAAAGGCAAATGTTCTGGCAGATTTCATGTCTAGAAAACCAATTTCTGGAAATCCTTCTACCCCGGAACTAGGTGACACACGTGTACTTTTCATTGAGGACGAGCTCATTGATGCTCAAGTTGTATTGAATGCCACTGGAGATGATCCAGTTCTAGAGCGTGTTCGTCACTACACTTTGAATGGTTGGCCAGAGCATGTGAAAGAGGTGGAGTTACAGCCGTACTTTGTAAAGCGCTGGGAACTATCTATTGTAAATGATGTATTACTCTGGAATGAACGAGTGGTAATCCCCATGGCTTTGCGCGCGATGCTCTTGAGTGAATTGCACTCGGAACACACAGGCGCTGTACGAATGAAACGTATGGCACGTCGATATTTCTGGTGGCCAAAGATGGATGACGAAATTGAAGATACCACCAAAATGTGCGCTACGTGTCAAGAACAGGCACGCAAACCTAGTAAATCCTATGCTACCTGGTCATGGCCGTCGGGTCCATGGCGTCGTCTGCACATAGACTTTGCGGGTCCATTCATGGGCAAAATGTTTCTGGTGATTGTCGATGCGTATACGAAATATCTGGAAATTGTCCCGATGACACATGCTACATCAACGGGTACTATCAAAGCTTTGAGACGTTTGTTTGCCACATTCGGTCTACCCACTCACATCGTTAGTGATAATGGGACCCAGTTCACTAGTGCTGAATTTACCTCGTTTCTCCAGAAAAATGGAATCGCACACACTCGTTCAGCTCCCGGCCATCCGGAGACAAACGGTCTCGCTGAGCGATATGTCGGTCATTTTAAAGCTAAAATGAAAGCAATGGGAACAGAAGGTGACGACCTAGATACACGACTACAACGATTTCTAATGACATTTCGGTCAACTCCTACGGCGAATGGTAAATCACCGGCAGAAATGCTATTTAATCGCCAACCACGACTACGTTATGATGCTTTGAAAACAACACGGAATGCGGAGGCACAATCTTTCAATCAAAACCAGCATTTGCTACCAGAATACAAACCGGGTGATGCTGTGTTTGCGTTACGTTTTCAAAACCATGGTACAACCTGGGTCCCTGGTGTTGTTCTCTCTATCTGCAGTGCTATGAATTACTCTGTCCAGGTAAATGATGTGGTCTGGAAACGACACCGTAACCAACTCCGGCCACGTTCAATACCACTTTCTCAGTTAGCAGAACAGACACGTTCTGCACCACAGCAGCAACAACTCCAGCCGCAGCAGCAACAACTCCAGCCGCAGCAGCAGCAGCAACAACAACTGTCACCACAACAGCAACAGCCTCAGCCGCAGCAGCAGCAGGTGCCACAGCAGTTGCCGCCTCAGAAGGCTCAACAGCCGACGACTTCACAGCAGAAAGAGCAGCCCATGCAACAGTCGCAGGATGAGCAGGGTCAACAGTCGTTAGCTTCTACAGCCCCAGCTGATGCTGTACCTGTTGACCGGCAGGTGACTCGATCTGGTCGGTCAGTCGTAAGACCAGCTCGGTATAACGGATGAGACATTTTATACATGTAGGATATGTAATTATTATATTATTTGCATGGATTGATTGAGATGATCGTGAATGCATGTACGTGGTTCTCTTGTTGCATTTGTATATATCAGTATAATGCTCTGTATAGTACATACCACACATAGAACATTGAACTTTGATAATTGGCACGTCAGACGATGGTACATTATTACATTGTCTGTTCTATGCTATTATTCCTTGTCATGAAAATGTTTTGTTTTCGGTGTTACCTCTTTTTGCGAGGGGGATATTGTTATATATGCACTCTGATGTAATATATTATGTACTCTGTATGCATTTGTATATACTCATTGCGCATGCTCTGAATCATGGTCTTACTCTACATGTATCCATGCCGGCTGGTTGACTCTGGTGAGCTGCGTGTGAGACTGCATGTAGGGTGTACGTGGATACACAACAGGAAGCATGACTGAAGCTCTGGCAAATGTTTCCTAGTAGTTTGTCCTTCACTCTGAACGGACCACTTTAAGAAGCTATGGTGTAATGATGGATTGCCTAATTGCACTGCATGAACAGATGTTCAATAACACCACACGGTGCATTATATGCATGGGGCGTCGTAGCGCTGGTCGATTTGCATTCAGCATTTGGAGTCACGGGGCGGAGTTGTTTTTATGCGTTTTCAAGTGCGGGCTAACACCTCAAAAGACGGTATATTGGGATCTCATCCATTATATTAATGCCTTTTATAACAAATAGAGGACATGCTGATACTCACCTGCAGTACTTCAGCAGACACAGACACCGGTTCATCCTCACGCCACTGGATAGAGAGCTCCTCGTAGGGCTGAGTCGGAGTACATGACAGAGCTTCATAAGGATTGACACATCTTTTATCGGCATCATCGTCATCATCAGTAGCAGCAGCAGCAGCAGCAGAATTGGCCGCAGCATCAACTGTATTGAGGACCACTGCGCGTGGTACCTTGTCCAAAAGGTAGACCAGTACGCTGTGCTTATCTTCTATCAGTGCTAGCTGGTTAATGATGTGATCGTTGCCGAAGAATTGCTGCAGGCCCGGGTGGGTGAGTGGAACTTCCTGCGACTGGATGGAACTAAGCAGGTCACGGAACACACCTCGCACAATATCAAGTTTGAAGGAGGCGCCACTGAGTTCAATACACGTATCAGTTATGTTCACGTGCGAGAGATGATACTGCACCTTGATCAGTTGAACTCTGGCCTGCAAGAATTTGGAGATGAATCGTGCATCAACCGGAGAAACTGGCATGGTTACTGAATGGATGGCATGCTTTGCCATAAAGGCTGCAATCTGCCTCTGGACATCTGCAAAATGTTCTGTTAGGCCATACAAAGTGATTTGACAGTCCGTTGCTGGGCCAGTCTCAATGCGAACGAGTGAGTTGTCGGACATGCCAGCAATAACCTGCTTCCATTCCTCTGAGTAGGTTGCTTCCATTTGACACGGCTCCAACGAGAGACACATGGCACTGTACAAACACTCCAGCTGGGACTTGAGCTGGACAAGCTCATCTGTAGCATCATTCCACCCTAACAAGCTAACTTGTGCAGTGGGTTGGTTTTCCTCACAGGGATCAACGTAGAGACAATGGTCCAACTCAAATCCCTCTCGTTGTACAACTTCATCAAGGACACCTTGCCCCAGTGTGGATACGAGGAGTGTGGATATGCCCAAGTGATCTAAGGCTAAGGGAGTTCGCAGTATCTTCCCTGAAAGCATGGACACAGCATTGGATGCCAGTGCTATTTCACTGGGAGTACCAGCCAGGAGGACGGATTCCTTCAACTCTTCTGTGTTTAGTAGTCGCACTGTAACGGAGGGGAAGTCCTCCATTAATATCTGCGCAATGCACACATTCTGAAAGAAGCAGTACACCTGGGGTGAGATCTTCAGAGATATCTCAGCTTGATCTTGTGGCATCCCTGTGAACGTGCTGATCATTTGACGAATTGCAAGGTATGCCTTGCCGGCAGAATGTTTCACTCCGACAATAGTCAGCAAAAGCTGCTCCTCATCATAAAAATAGATTGTGTCAGTTGAGAATTCTGCCAGAGTACCATTGAGGAGGTTACTACTCACAACGTCCTGATACACCTGTACTGGCAAATCCAAGCATACAGCGTCCAACTGCTCCAGGAAGCGGTGGATGTTAGTTGTGACGAGCCCCCTCCAGCCGAGGATATCCTTCCCACCTGGTGTAGCCAGGATCCGCAGCTGTAGTGATGCTGGGTCAACGCAATCAAAGATGGCATACGCATCCTCTAGTACAGACTTAAGCAATCCACGTACTGATTCACACTTTTCCAGAAGCACCAGATATTCTTTGTCCATGGCTATCACAAGTTGCTGACTGCTATGAGCTGAAGGCAAGTACGCAAAACTATCAGCATCGTCCCCTTCGGCAGGATAATCCACTCCGGCTATGACCAGGGAAAACTCCAGAGAATGGCCACCAATACAATGTTGGCGAGATACAACATCATACGCATCTGCGCAAAACAGGAGCAAAGATCAACAGGGAAAGAGAAACTCTATGAAGCTAGACCAGGGATCTAATAGTGACAGACAGATAAGCTAGACCAGGGATCTAATAGTGACAGACAGATAAGCTACACCAGGGATCTAATAGTGGCAGACAGATTCACTGCTCACTATTTACCTGTCAGTATACATTTCTGCCAATTGCTGGGCAACATCACTGTCATCAAGGGACTAGTGAAGAATGAGAATGAGTGGTGAATCCTTCTACAACTGTGGCAATGCTAGACTGTGGAACTTAGCCTCGTGTGTTTTTAAGAAACCTCCCTATTTTAATATCATGAGAAATCACATCACACGCCAGTGTACCCTGTGCACACAAAACACATGCCATGGTTCCGTTCACAGAAGGGAAGCATACGGAGATCAGAGAACAGAATAGTAGTCTTCATCGGGACAGAGCTTACACTGCCATGTTGAAAACTCCACGTCCAAAGCACCGGACGCACGTTCGTGGATGTTCACAGTGCCGACTGCGTGAGAACTGAAGTACGTCTCAAGGTCGAGAGCGCTGGTGCTCGCCATCTCAAGACTGCCTTTCAGACGGGCAACACACGGCACCTGAGCCTGGCGGATTGTCAACTGCATGTCCTTCTTAGGAGTACTGGTAATGTAGGATGATATCTTTCCAAAGTCTATAGCAAAGCAAAGCACATGCAGGCAGGACACAACCAAACAACACCTTCTTGAGCCAGCTAAGGTTTGCGCAACAACAGGGCGAGACCCAAAACTAGCTCACATCAACACAATGCAGTTGCTAGGTTGATGACTGCTGTTGCCATCACTATACTTCTCGTAAAATTGTGGTGTCACAGTCTGCCTAAATCTTATGCCAAACTAGCAGCGCTACCAGCAAAGAAAGTGTACAGCTCTGATGCATGTCCCCTGACCATTGCAATTCCTGATTGGTGCATTCTACCTCAGTTCCGCATTTCCACCGATTCGAAGTGATCGATTGGTTGAATCGGGATCAGACCCACTGGATTTGGATGCAAGCATGAACGAAAACACAAAACGTACACAACCCAACCACGGACACAGGATTGTGAAAAGATGGGGAAATGGGTCCAGCTCCCGAGTTGTCACTATGAAAAGGAACAAAATCAGCTTGTAATGTTAAAAAACGGGCCGTGCAGCAGATCTGTGTATGATGGTGATACCGGTAGCCGGTAGGACGTGGCCTACCCAAACTGTCCGCGAAAAAAGAATAAAATCAGCTTGCAAGTGACACATGCACTCATAGTAGGTCATACATTGTACATTGATATCCCTGCAAAATTATTCCCTGTAGTGGGCTCTGAAAACTTGTGAAAAGGCCAAATTCTGCTATTTCCAACCGGATGTTTCAAAAAATGTCCAGGCGAGATCCCCCGGACCCCCTCAAACCAGACCAACTTCGCATATGCTGTAAATAGGTAACCAACAATTTTTCCGGATGGCGAGGGATCCGGCTAAACTGAGACGACCGGATAAGCGAGGTCTGACTGTGCCAGAAAAATCTAGTTTTGAGTGAGTCGTGCACAGTAGAGTTGCGCGCCCCAGAACGTTGTTTCCAAGGGGTTAGCCTGGGGCGTTCTTATTTTTCAGCAGTCTGGCTGCGTTCTTATAGCACATTCTTAGAAACAATCCGTGCTGGATCATTTGTATCCCACAAGCTGCCGGAAAACCAACACCGCCGTTCTTAGCTTTAGGTTGTGCCGTTCTTAGAATTTCAGGCTGGACGGTCTTGGGCTCCGCGTAGGGAGGGCCGAAATATGCTCAAAATTTTTGCATATTATGCTTTTCGCATATTGGCCACTTGCTTCAAAATATGCTTCGAAATCACATAAAAGCAGAAAAATATGCTCGAAATATGCTCGAAATTTGCACTATTATCAGTGATAATTATGCGAATTCTTTGCTCCTTGTAGCAAAATATGCTACATTTGGTATCATATGCTAGATTTGCTACTTTATGCGACCTAGAGTCGCGGACACTCTCTTCTCGGGTCAAATTTTCGCATTTTCGCAAATTTTCGATGAGCAGTTTTTCCTTCCGGGCTAAGTTTGGAAATTTTCCCTGACCGAGCGTGCCATGGTAAGTTTCCTTGGCCATTTCCGCAATCTGCCCTATAATTATGCGAATTATTTGCTCCTTGTAACAAAATATGCTACATTTGGTACAATATGCTAGATTTGCTACTTTATGGCTCCAACTCTGGCGTACCCACTGTGCCTTATATTCAACCTTTCCTACTCCTCCGGCGTATTTCCTGATCGTTGGAAGATCGCTAAGGTCACGCCCATCTACAAGTGTAAAGGCTCCCGATCACAAGCCTCAAACTATCGTCCAATATCTCTTCTCTGCTGCCTTTCAAAAGTATGTGAAAAGGTATATTACGACCAGTTGTATTGCCACATTTCACCATGCCTTAGCCCTTCCCAATCTGGCTTTCGGCGCAACGACTCAACCTCTGACCAACTAGCTCGTCTAGTACAAGACATTGCCACCCTTCGTGATGCTCGACACCATATTGCTCTCTGTTTCTTTGACTTGGCAAAGGCCTTTGATACTGTCTGGCATCGTGGCCTCCTTGCCAAGCTACATATTGTCTTTGGTGTGTCTGGCCCTGCTCTGTCCTGGCTGGAGTCCTATCTGAGTAGCCGATCACAGTTTGTTTCTGCCCTCTCCATCAACTCTGATCCTCTACCAGTGTCTTCTGGAGTTCCCCAAGGCTCCATACTTGGACCTATTTTGTTCGTAGCATACGTAAATGATTTACCCTCTATAGACCCAGGTGTCTCGTTATTTGCTGATGATACAACCCTACTGTCAGCATCCTTGTCCTCAGCGGCTCTTGTACCTCGAGTGTCGGCTCAGATATGCAGTGTCCTACGCTGGATGCAAACATGGCGACTTAGACCCAACCTGACTAAAACCGAAATAATGTTCCTTCCCCCAATCTCATCCATGTCACTTTTACACTATCCTGATTTCCCAGAACCCATAAAGGTTGTTTCCAACCATAAACACCTGGGAATAATGCTTGATGATCGTCTCTCTTGGTCTTTCCATATTCATGCTCTTTGCAGCCGTTCAAGCTCTGCCCTAGGTGTTATACGTCCCCATTGTTTCCATCTTCCTTTCAAATGTAAAATTTTGTTTTACAAACTGTACATCCTGCCTCTTTTCATGTACGCTGCTGTTAGCTGGTGTGGCTTGTCCTCGGTTCTCGCTGAGCATCTCGAAATCCACCATAGAAAACTTCTTCGTATCCTGTTTAGTCTACCCCCTCTCTACTCTTCTGCTTCCCTGTATGTCCTTGCAAATGCTTGCCCACTGTCGGCCCACCGTCAAAAATTAATTTGCACTTTTGCTCACAAATTTAAACTAGCTCTACATCCTCCTCATCTTAACGTGTATAACTGGTTCCGAATCACAGATGGCTCCCAGACAAGATGCTCTGTTGCCCTCCCCTTGGCTAAAACGTCCTCCCTTGTACGCTCTCCACTCTTTGTTGCTTACTCTGCTTGGCTTGCGCTGCCCGCTACTACGCGCAATGCCAGTACCCTGGACGCATTTAAATCTGCTCACTAGATTCACCATCACCTGTCCCTCCCATGCTTCTCCGTCTTGACCATTACTTTTCTTCTTTTATTCACCATGGTTGGTTAACACCCACATCTCCCGTACTGGCTGATTTTCTTCTCATGCCATGAGGTGTTGTCTATAATAAGATAAATAATAAGATATGCGACCTTGTGTCAAAAGGACCAAATATGCGAAAATATGCGCAAGCATATTCAGGCCCTCCCTAGCTCCGCGTTCTTCAGCGCGCGACTCTCTGCAGGGAAGCACCTACATGTATCAACCAAAGATCCTTGTTGGGTTTGCATCGTTCTTGCCGCTGCAAGTCTTTTATCTGTGGTTGTCTTGCTCTTAGGGTAGTTTTCTCTGTTGGTTTTTCTTTTTCTTTTGATGTTTCTATGGACCCTTGTGCGATTTGCCAATTGGTTTATAAAATCTTGATTCAATGTGATCTTTCACTCTGTGGTCATCATTTCCATTTTACATCCTCCCCTAAAAAATTGCCTCTTATTTCTGTCCTTTCTACACCTGCAAATTGTTTCCTCTCGGACGCGTTGGTGCGAGCATGATCGCTCCAAGACCAGAGGTCGGAGGGGCCCGCACCCCATCCACACCAGTGTCCATGAGTGCCCTGCGCCCCTTGTCTTGAGTCCCCCCCCCCCCCCCCACCCGCCGTACACTTCCTCGCCGTTATCTCCGACGGGCTGTACGGGGATAAGCATGCACATTATATAGGTCTCCTGACAAAACTGCGGCCAGCAAAAACTACCACTCAGAGTACGGGCGCGAGTAGAGCTTTGGACCCCAAATTTGACGTGAAATTGCGTGTCACATCGGAAATAAGGTGCATCTTTTAAAACCTCTTTATTCACCGGTATTTCACGGCCACATCGTACAAAAACGCAGTGTAACACGGACAGCCTAGACACAATGTACTGCGCAGCATGCAGCCGCTAGCCGAGCACAAATTCATTCACCTACCGGTACCATTCCGACCCTCGAAGTGCGCATGGACTCGACTTCGCTCCACTACCGTCGTCACATCTTCAGCATCACCACGAACTCCTGGAGTGCTGTGTTGCAAGTGGACCTCCAGCTCATTCTCGTCTGCAGTTCCTTCCGGCATGTCGTACGCCCAAAATGTCCGACCCCGCACAGTGTCTTTGACAGCCTTGCTCGCTTAGCCTTTAGTCCTTTGGACTGCGTCCGTTATCTAGCTTTACCAGTGACCCAGAGTGGATCTGGCAGGTTGCTGTTGGCTTGAACAGCATCTACACCAAGGCAATGGAGTCGTGGCAAACTGCTACACCATGGGCTGAATCTGTCCTGGCCTTTGCACCAGTGACCTCAAATGATGCAAAGACTGACTGAAAGAGCGGTAGTGCTAGGGCAGGAGCAGAGCACGCAAGCGGACACAGTGGCCTGTCGAGTGGGTGTTGCTGCAAGGTATTTTGTAGTGCTCAGGCCAGGGTACTACATGTAGGGTAGAGTCTACGGCGGTAGATCTACTCGGTGCCGGACGGTGACTTCATGTGCACCATCTAATGACATGGCGTCCTTTCATGCGGTTTACCGCACGGATTTATGAAGTCAGACATATTCCGATTTATTTGCATCAATCGCACAAAATTAGGTACATTTCTCTTGTAAACCCTGTCAGTTTGAGAATTTAGACAAACACCGAACAAATTTTAGCCGCGACGAGGATCGGGAGGAATCCATCATTATTATTACATAGCTACTACCATCACGATCACGTCGACCGAGTGAAGATCGAAATGATAATGGAGTGGAGAGAAGAAGACCTGAACTAGAGTGCTTGAGAGACTATGTAGTGTCACATGAGAATTGCTTCGTTAGGAAGGCTCTACTTTTGAATGGAGAAGCCCAACGTCGCTGATTTGCATCGCTGTTTTCAAGCGCTGATCTGCAGTCGGAATTTTTTTGTAAATTATTCGTAGTTGTGGACGTGGATTGATTCAGCGCTCTGTTCTCTCAGCAAGCCTACTCAGTCCAACACGAAGGACTTCCATGAGCGAAACAACGTGCTCCTCGAGCAAGTGCAGCTCGGGGTAATATGGCCAATGCCACGGGAGACCACCTCGTGCCTGCATAAGGCCAAGAATTGATGGCAAGACATCTTTGATGAGCGCCTTCGACTTCAAGGACGCAATATATCTCCTCAGCAGTAACTGCAGCGCTCTTGCTGAAAATATCACTGCAAGCATGCACTAGGCATGATTTAGTGAAGAGCTACTTGTACTAGCGATTGGAGATTTGGTGTTGGCTTCCAGGGCTGGGCATATCTGCTCCATCATGGTAACTGGTGCGTTTGTCAAGGCAGTGCAGTTTCTGCTGCTGTTTCACAAGCCATATGTGCGTATGCGCAGTGAGTAGGAATTTGTTGTATGATAGCTGAGGATCACCAGCCTTCATGGACAAACCTATATTGGGACTGGTAGCTGAACAGTGCACACCTAAATCTCTCAGCAAGCTCTCTTGCTCAGCTGGTGACGAACACTATATACCCGCTGCTTTGGGCTTGCAGCCCCGTCTCCCGACCGTAGACCGATCGAAAGGCTGTCACGGTCCTGTGACCATCGGCGTACAGTTGACGCTGATGGGGCATCAGATAAAGTGCTGGCGTCAGTAATTGTCTGGTATACCTGGAATCTACATCTACAGCTGGTTTTGACTTCCAGCCATCCTTCGTTAGTTATGCTTGTGACTATCATGCCAGCAAGTCGATCAGCAGCATCACCTCGCATCTTTGATGGTGAGGCCTGCAAAACGTCACCGACCAGTGACGATGCTCAAAAGGGCACCCTACCAGAGCTGGCGCAGTGTATGGTGCAGTCTTTCATGAATCCATGAACTATGCTGTTTGGCTGCTGTAGCTCTGACGCTTGCGTGTGTGCCTTACATTAAGGGCAGCGGGCCGTCTGCTCTAGCCATTTGCCAATGCATGCACGGCTGAACGTCTACCAGCAAGCTGCATACACTTCTCTCCCTACCACACTGTGACATAGTGGACATTGTGCGTGTGTTGTTGCATTCCTATCTGAACTGAACTGTTCTGGATGCAGAGATTTACCCACTAAGCCCTAGAGAAATATGAATAAATACTATACTACTACTATTACTAAACTTGGTATGCGGGTGTGACGCGCTGCTGCTCATCAGATTCGGTCCATGCGACGCTCGTGTTTTTAGTTTTGTTATTTTGTCTGCCTTTTTTGAATTCCTAAACCGAACAGACTAAACTATCCAGTGATCAGGTACTGGTGTGGTGGGGCGAGGTTTTGTTGGTGATGCTGCTGTCAGTGGTGGCGGCGTGCATGTGCTCGTGCTTGCGGGCGATGGCCCGCGTTTTCTCCCATGCCGCAAGTTTGTCTTGCGTTTGTGTTCTGCATTTGGACTTCCTGCCAGGCTTGGGCTTGCATTTCAAACAGTTTGTCCCACTGTGTGGCTCCCAGTCTTTGAGCGGTGTACACCCACCTCTAGAGCTCCAGAGAATGTTGGGCCCCTGGCAGTAACAGTGCATTCCATGGCCAATTTTCAAGTGTGGCAAAAATGTTCAGGGTGTATTTGGTTTCATCCACATTGAGATGAAACACTGCCAAAATGGATTCAGTATGATCTGCCACACGATACTTCGTCTGTCCACTCCTTGACGCGAATTTCTCCCCTCCAATACGACAACACGACGACAGGAAGCTAACATGAGCCTCCATTTCTGAACAAAATTACGTCTCTAACATGGCCACGAAAAGCTACAGTTATGCACGTCAAGCTTAGGACTACACGAAATCGAAAGGCTAGGACATCGAGGTATACTAGAAAATTGTCTGCGAGGCGGAGAAAATTCGCTGACGAGGTTGGCGAGCCCTTGAAATCGAGCGACGATCCAAAAATAATTGCACCCACGTCGAGAAAGAAACCATGCGTAGCGCGTGGGTAACCCAAGAAGATCGCTCGAGCGGCGGCACAGTCGAAGGCAAGGCCAGTCCAAGCTCTAAACTCTATCGAATGACCTGGCAAACACCCGTGGTTTCGGTTGACCTTGCCCGTTTGAGATGGAAGTCGAGCGAAATTGCAAACATACGACTAGGCCAGATCGCGTAAAAAATGAAAAAGATTAAAATTTGGCCGCCATATTTAATGAACGCGCATCGCATGCATGGGACAGGCATGCATGCAATTTTAATTAATTAAAATTGCATGCATGCCGTGCAGCGCTGTTGTTGATCACACCATGTAGATCTACCAAGACGCAAGAATAGCCATCACAGTCTTGGTCACACTCACACTCTGGAGACTGGAGTCACCATGGCATGGGCATGGTCATGGTCAATGTTTGTTTTCTGTGCCTGATTAGTGATTACTGCCTGAAGTCTGCAGTGAAGACTAGTCTGTGAGTGTGAAGACTGTTACTGTGCCTGTGCCAGACTGTCTGTGCCTGAAGCACTCTGATCCAGGCCAAACCATGACACCATGCCAGGGGTAGGCCCCCGTGTTTATATGCCGGCATTTTTTTGAGCATTTTCGGTACAATCCGCGAACTTTGGCCCAGTTTGGGCTCGTGATCGATGCAGCATTTTGGTAGAAACGGAGCACTTGGCCGTTGTGTATCAAAATTGAGAGAAGAAAAACTTCCCAAACAAGAACGTCACTTCCGCATTCCGTGGGTTAGCTTCTTGTTGAGTAGAGTAGTTTTATGCAGCCTCGAGCAAGTCTCTTATTGAGTATTTTCTGACTCCCTGGTTTTGACGGCGTGTGTTGAGGATGACAAAAAAGTGAGCATTTTCCGAGCCGCATGATTTTCGGCGAGGTTTACGAGAATTTCCCAAAAGCATTTTCGGCAAAGTTTCGGGCATATTACACCGGGGCCTAGCCAGGGCCAAGCGATACAAAATTATTTTAACATTTTAGTTCCTGTAACTAGGCATAGCCGCATAGGGCCAGGGACGCTCCATTTCCAGCGCGACAAACACCTCGTGAAGCCCCATGCCGGACCAGGGTAGCAACGTGAGTCAGAGTCGCTCATGGAGTAGTGCTAGCCTAAACGGCTGAAGTCAAGAGACGCTGAGAGCATACTACAACTAACTAACTTAGATGTAGCGACTTCGGGAGGTATTAGTACTACTGCCAGTAGTAGTAGTATTAGTGACGAAGTAACAAAAGTTTGTAGTTGCCGTGATTGCTGCTACATGTACGTGGACCACAAGCTTCCTGCCGAACACGTCTCAAGACTACAAGTAGTCTACCTCAGCCTACTCAGGCTCAACCGATGAGGGGTGAATTCCCCGAAACAGCAGGCAGTGGTGCTTTCTTGCAGGTTTGCCGAGTACGAGTAGAGCTAGAGGGTGTGACTGGCTCCTCCTCGTGTCACGTGTGCTCCGGAAGGCAGTCGTGAGTCAGTCAAGTCACATAGACCACGTGATCTACGGACATCTCCCCTCAAACGAGGGGATCTCATATCCACAGGAAATCCTGTGGATCCCCTCGGACGGTGGGTCGGACCCAGTCCTTCTACCAGCATAATCAAGAGAGCTCCCTTGGCTGCTGTTTGAACATGCAAGAATGGCCCTTCGACATATTAAAGGTCTAAAAAGGGGAAGTGGCTTTAGTTGTCAAAAGAAAAGCATATTGGTGAAACACAACTAGGGAAGTGGCAATCTTTCTATCAGCAACAAACAAGAGCATCTTAATTTACAACATACTACATGAACCGGATGTGCCGAACACCGGTAACCATAGAGACAGACCACATTCGCATATAGATACTGGTGATACTGGTCATAAATAGACCGGATAAGGAAAATAATCCGATAGTCTATGAAGAGTAAAAGAAATTGAACAAATCACAACAAACAAGCTCGTCCAGCACACGAGTTGTCATAGAAACATTGCACGAATTGAAGGGGAAGTTAAGGCAAAAATTAAAATTTCACCAGTTGTAGTCTTCGGGGTGCTGAGTCGAATGGTCTTGGTCCGAGAAAGCTGAGATGCTCGATTGGGATTCAAGTAGGAAGGGAGCGTCTCAGCTTTCTCGGACCAAGACCATTCGACTCAGCACCCCGAAGACTACAACTGGTGAAATTTTAATTTTTGCCTTAACTTCCCCTTTAAGGGCTGATGGCTTTATTAGTCTAAAGCCATCAATAAATCTAGCTTACTCATGATATGTTTGAAAAAGAAAGGATCAAGATTCAAAATGCTACATGTTATCCGCCCGTGTCCAACATTGTTATAAGCAAGATGTTGTCACGGTAGTCAGAAGGTGCAACAGCTAGCACAATACTGGCTGATGTGATACTGACATTCAACGACCTGATGCTAAACTCTATCACTACACGTCTTGGACGCGCAAACCAACAGGCAACAGCCTTCCAACTACTTCGAAGGTCTAAGTTAGTTCCCCCTTCTTATGTTATTTTCATAACCTAGAACCTGTTGGTTTGCGCATTCAAGACGTGATGGAGCTTAGCAACAGGTCGTTGAATGTCAGTAACACATCAGTCAGTATTGTGCTAGCTGTTGCACCTTCTCACTACCGTGACAACATCTTGCTCATAACTGTTAGTGTTTGGCAGGGAGTCGTAAAATATTTTACGACTCCCTGGTGTTTGGACACAAACTACGGATTATTATACGATAACATGACATTGTAGCGGCATTCTGGTCCTTTCATTAATCCTTGGCTCTCCATCCGAGGCTTTACTCATGTATGTTGTCTTTAGCCTAATTACCGAGACATCTATAACACTGGTGACAAGAGGTTGCTTGGTTCCTTCTTGCCTGAATCTTGGACCTTACTCTCGTTCTGGCAGTTGTGTCGATGCTTCACCGAACAGGTACTAAGTATAGTCGATCATGTATTAGTAACAAGACTCGTTGACCCCGGATCTCCTCAAGTCCATCGCCGAGCACGCGGAGGGTTCCGCTCGCCCTTCCAGTCTGGACGCTGCTGCCTGGTGTCGCATATGTTTGGTGTCCAAAGGAGCCTCAACACGCCTGTTCGAGAGAGAGAGGGCCTGGGAAGCTATGAGAGAGAAAGAGAGAAAGAGAGAAGGAGAGGAGAGAGAGGAGAGAAAGAGAGGAGAGAGAGAGGACCTGGGGAGCTATGACAAATATGGGCATGTGTGCAGCTACCAGGCCAGCGGAACATAATGTGCCATACGGGAATGCGGGACATAAAACAATGTGCAGGAGACAGGGAACTAACATGAACTGTATTTTCCGGAGTATAGGCCGCACTTTGAACACTCAAAATTTGCCCAAAAGAGGGGGGGGGGGGACTTATATACTCCGATGATCAAATTAACGGTGATGAACAGGATAGATGTATGTATTTCGTGGCAAGAGGGGGGGGGGGGGGGGGGTGCGGCTTGTACTCCGGAACATACGGTACTCAACGGGGTCTCTCTCTCTTGCACTGCACCACAACAACCAAGTCAATGATGATGACGAAAGCGGTGTGATACACCAACAACAAGAATAGAACCAAAATTAAATCCAATAAATTGGCAAAGTAGAATCATGTAGATGCTTTTCGTCCACGCAGGACAACACACACAATTGTGTGAGTCTAGTGCGAAACAAAGCTGACCTCCTTTACAGGATGTGATGGACTTGAATTGCCACTTTTTTCATAGTCACCCTTCATTAACCAGTACAGAATCCCTGAACACATCGTAGTACTACGGACTGAGTGCGGTAGTTATAGTTGCTAACTACCATATCATTCCTGCTTCAGAACTATTTTAAAAAAGTATTGCCTGTGATAAGAAACAAAAGAGAAGAGAACCACGTGTACATGTAGAAGCCATGGAGTCGGGGAACTGTGCCCAATGCCTACAAAGACAATCAGTTTATTTATTTATATTTATTTATCGTCTCCACTTCATGGCACATAATAATACATAGCCAATACAAGAAAGGGAGGGTGAATCCAACCACGGAAAATAGCATTATCAAAAGAAGAAAAGGAAGGGAGGTGTCACCATGTGTCAACAGCAGGTAGCACCATACTATTTTAGCTGAAATGCAGTTGGATGATGGCTATCAGTCTGTCACTCATGGTTACCATGGAGACCACCGTAGAATGCATTGGCTATCAAGATACGCAAGAGGTACACAAAAGGATGTAAAATAGGGCTGTTTTGTTGTTACTCACTGAGCTTCCGATGGCATGGCAAAAGCCAATCATCAGACAACATAAGGAGATTAGAAAAAGCGCAGGTATATGAAGGCAAGCAGAGGAGATAGAATAATCCAGTGCAGACAATATTATAATCCACACCTCTCAGAGGCAGTACGCTCTGACGTGCCAGAATTCAAGGTGCTGGGTGCATATGGTGAAACATGAACACGCACACTCATCAACACACACACATTGTCTCACACTAATCCACACACAGCCTCTCGCTCTCACACACTCCATACTCCCGCACTATCGCACTTAAACACACACACACACACACACACACACACACACACACAAAACTGTAACACACACGCACCACACACGCACCACACACGCACCACACACACACACACATATACACACACACATACACACATACACACACACACATATACACACACACCATACACGTTATGTCACTTCATAACCCAGCAAAAACTTGCGCTGGTGGCGGCACTTCGATACCAACTCGCACCTTTTTATTTAGGCTGCGGTCACACTGAAACAAGCCACTTTGGGCTTATCGCTGGCGCTCAGCTGGCTTGTGTTCTCCCTGTCGAGCGGTCACACCAGACATCGAGTGCAAAGCTTGAATGGCTTGTTTTTTTGCCCGCCAAATTTTGAATATCGAAACGCATCAACGTTCGCAAGGAATCGGAAAGCAGAACAGTGGTGATCTACAACTTGTGTTCAGTTTTCATGAAGAAGTAAAAATCTACAACAACAACAAGCCTTGGAGCAAAAGAAGCCCGGACCCTGAATTGCGACTTCGTGCTCTTTTTATTTGTTCGATGTGCATGGACGCGCGATGGTTCGGGTGACGGTGTTTCCTGATGTTGAGCTTTCTGCTCCGCCGGTTGCTGTTCTTCAACTCCGTCGCAATCCACTCTCTTCTTCGTACCTTTCTTCATGAATTCAGCCGTGAGTTTGGTGCCTTTTCTTGGCCTCGAACCACAGCTCCAACAATCTACGCTCTGAGGCACAGTCCGGGAATCCATGGTCATAGGAGAAGATCAAAATCAAACTGAACTGTTGGATAGACAGACACTGTCAAAACCAAAAGCCAAGGCGAAGGCATACATGTAGCACGGAAACCAGAAAGAACATCGATATCAGTTCCTAGATCCTCTCCTCATCGACATCGGCTCATGTTCACTGCAAGTCTACAATGGTGTGTTCCAAGCGCACTCAATTTTTTTGGAATTTCGGCTTTCAGCCGCTTGTACAAGCTGTGGCTGAAACAAGCAAAACAACCCGGCTGAGAGTCAGCCACGGCTGAAAGTCGCTTGTAGGAACTTTTTCAGCCATTTCCATGGTAATCGTGACGTAAACAAGCGCTTTTTTCGGCTGAATGGCTGAATCGAGCTCGGTGTGACCGCGGCCTAAGGGAGATGGCTATCAAGGTAGAGGTGGTACATGACTTTGTACACAGAAGTTACAATATGCATAGGTTAGTGCAAAGGTATTGCTGGTGCTGGTGCTGCTGCTAGTCATGGTGGTGGTCATGGTGGTGGTGATAATGATGGTGGTGCCGGATAATGATGGTGGTGTGCTTACCCTCCACCGTGGACAAATTCCACTGTTCTATACCACGTTGGTTGGAAGAAGACGTGTGACACATTGGTGGCATGTACATCTCTTTGAAATTCAATAGGCTGTCTTGATATGCTACGAGGTGCAAAATAAATAAATAAATATCATGAAGTAACTCACCTCTTTGTGAAAACTCCACTATCTTGAGAGAGTAGTATGTACTGTTACTGTCATCAGACTTCTGTCTCATTGTTTCAAAGTCAGGTTCCAGCTCACAGAAACTTCCCTCGGTTAGCAACCAAATGCGATTCATCCTTCATATAGCATTGACAGGCATGTCCAATCTCCATGCTGACACTTGCAGTTCAAATTGGTATTCATTGTTGTTCGGTATCTGGGACGACCATGGTGCAATCCTGGGCGAACGTTCTATGTTCCGTTGTTGGCCCAGTCTGAATGCGAACGAGTAAGTTGTCGGACGCGCCAGCAATAAGCTGCTTCCATTTCACACTGAAAAAACGGCTCCAGCGAGAGGACACATGGCACTGTACAAACACTCCAGCTGGGACTTGAGCTGGACAAGCTCATCTGTAGCATCACTCCACCCTAACAAGCTAACTTGTGCAGTGGGTTGGTTTTCCTCACAAGGATCAACGTAGAGACAATGATGGCATACGGATCCTCTACTAAAGACACTGCGGAAGCAATCCACATACCGATTCACACTTCTCTGAAAGCAGCAGATATTCTTTGTCCATGGCTATCACAAGTTGCTGACTGTTAGGAGCTGATGACAAGTACAGTCAACTTCGCCAATAACGACTGCGGATATAACGACAATTCGCGAATAACGACCGAATTTCCATGCCCAGAGCAAAGTCCCATCTAACTGTATACATTTAACTTCGGATATAACGACTATCTGAATAACGACAATTCGCGTATAGCGACATGCTTTTAGTGCCCCCGAGGTCATATTCACTGCTTGAATAACGACTTTCTGGGCTTTTGACAGCTATTTCAAGTACCTGTCAGTCAAGTACATGTACCTGTCATGCAGAAGTACCAGAACCTATGGTGATGGATATTATTATTATAAAGGCACACATGCAAGAAAATGCAGCCAAGGGGGAGGGGGGGGGGCTTTTTCTTCCTTTTTTATGTTGGCTTCAAATTGTTGGATTTACCAGCACACCTGTATGTATACAATGTACATGTAGTTGTACATGATTGTACAGTAATCATCATACATGTACATGTACATGTCCCTGGCCCTGAAGATGGCTCAAAAAAGCATATTTTTCAATTGATTTCCCTTGCATATTGAATTTTTAGTTCCTTTCAACTGCAATATGAAAATAAAGTACACATTGACATAGAGCAAGAAAAGAGCTGGATTTTGATATGCATGTCATACTATACAAAATATGGGTTCACATACATTCAAATGGGACTTCGGTTATAAGGACACTTCGCGAATAAGGACACTTTTCTGATGCCCCGCCGAATGTCGTTATTGGCGAAGTTGACTGTACACAAAACTATCAGCGTCATCTCCTTCGGCAGGATAATCCACTCCGGCCATGACCAGGGAAAACTCCAGAGAATGGCCACCAATACAATGTTGGCGAGATACAACATCACAAGCATCTGCACAACCAGGAGCAAAGATCACAACAAACAGGAAAGGTCACGAAATTTGAGAAACACTTGCACGGTCATCCCAATGCTTACGAATTGTTTCCACTCAAATTCCATCCTCGACACAAAGGCTCGTGTTTCGGCAGCAATGTATAGCGTATCAAACACGTGCAATGCAATAACCAACAATTATGAGCTTCTGGCGTACTCTCGCACTGTGATGCGTAAACCACATACAGTGTATGCGGTTTGGTTCCAATTCCTGAAGGAAGGCAAGTAGAAAGATATCAATTCCTAAAAGAAGGCAAGTAGAAAGATATCAATTCCTGAAGGAAGGCAAGTAGAAAGATATCAGGGAACATAATTCAGGCATAACTGGGAATCTTACTCTGAGATGTTGAAAACTCCACGTCCGTAACACCAGCTGAACGTTTGTGTAAGTTCGCGGAGCCAGCTGATTGTGAATTTAAGTATGTCTTAAGCTGAAGAGAGCTGATGCTTAGTGACTCAAGGCTGCCTTTCAGACGTACAACACATGGCAACTGAACCTGGCGGACTGTCAGCTGAACGTCCTTCAGAGGAGTCCTAACAATGCACGATGACAGCTTTCTAAAGTCTACAGCAAAGCAGAGTGCATGTGAGCAAGACACACGCTCGCACGCACGCGCGCGCACACACACACACACACACACGTGACACACACACACACACACACACACACACACACACACACACACACATGTGACACACACACACACACACACACACACACACACACACACACAATATGTACACACCAATGAAACACTGTCGTTAGCCAGGTCAGGCTATTGCGCAGAGTATACAGCCATTGTATTGGTCTAGCTACATGAATTTAAACCCTATCCCTACTGAACAGTACAACCTGTAAAGAAAAGAATGTGCCAAAGTTCAATATTGTGTGACCGGATATAAATAAGACAAAGGATGCCGGCATAATACCATGATAGAAATGAAGAAAGAAGCGCGAAGGCAACAGCAGCAGAGACATTTCTTTTCATCGATGTTCAGAAGTGAACCTCCATTGAGTGTCATACAAACAATGCACAACACGTGTGCACGCGTACAACATGCAAAAGTGCATGACTAGTTGAAGGTACAAGTAAAGTCATTACATGACTGTGCAACCGTGACAACGCAACAAAGTGCCCGGTCGTTTGTGATCATCACCAAGATCTGTCCCTCGTGGATTACGCGAATACACGGCTGTGCAATTGGTGCATAATCGCCTGTCGCTTGCATTCTGGCCATGACAGGTTCCGTGTTGACCATGCAAATCACTTGAACATTTTGATCCTAGAGCACTACAATACCGTGCAATCAATCGTTGAGACTACAAGATGAATACAGTGTGTGTGGGTGTGTGTGACTTGAGTTCAACACTCCTTACCAATGGGCTCTGAAAACGTAAGCAGTGCCCGACAGTTCTTTGGGTACACTTCCACTTTGACGCCATCCGTGCTCGGCAGGACAGCTTTCAGGTAGAGCTGAACGAGATCAGTGCTAATCCCTGCTGGAACACCCATCAGCAAGATCTTCTTTTTGTCAAAGACCTTTGCAGCCTCCCACAGTGAATGGTCCCGATGGTCGGCAAGACTAACGTCGACACTTGTGCCACGGAGCGTGTGCATTCGCATTGCCACACGATCTGCAGCTGAATACGACAGCAAAAAGGGGGCAGCTCTCATTTCATGAGTTGTTGATTGCAATGTAATGCAGCGGAGATAAATATGCTGTGAGCCTAAGCAGCCTATCCCCGCCCTCCCACACTACACATCCGAGACAAAGTCGGATGAACAAGTCAGGCTTCAAACAACCTCACAAGTGTTGCAATGGAAAGTGTGCACTATCAACATTGCCGTTGGTATGTGGCAGTTCAATCTTACCACCAGGGGTTGAGTACTGGATGGAGGCTATTCCAGTGCCAGGTCTGTACTCCAGTTTAGATACGTCACCACCGCCGGAGCGTTTCTTGCTCTCAAAGTACATTTCCAGCTCATCATAGCCGACCTCGCTAGGGATGCCAGACACGTCCAGGCATGCTTTGCGTTGCAGTGGACTCCGCTCTCTCTGGACAGTGACAGCTTGGTCCCGGATAGAATGTGCACGGCAGGTCACGGACTGAACAGCTACATTGCATTGGATACGGCAGCAGCATGAAAAAACACCACATAAATCAATGCATGGAGTAGAGGCAGCTACATCATACGTCTTACCGTACTTGCGCGATTAGTGCTCCTGGGGCACTATTTTTTCAATGTCCATCACAGATGGGGCAGTATTCAAGAGAGGGCACTATTTTTTCATTGCTGGTACATTTGCATCATCCAGCATAAAACAAAGAAAAACAGAGCCTAAAGTGTACTGTAAACGCTCACGACTCCACAGAAACGGGAACAAGACCTGCGATTTTGTTCCTGAAAACACCAGTGCAAAGAAATGGCCAAGAACATTAGCAAAAGAACACCAAACTTGCACATCGGCTTGGTTACAAGACCGGGGGGGGGGCACTATTCAAGAGAGGGCTTTATTTTTCACTGGCTCTTGGAGACTAAGGCACTATTCGAGATAAGGCACTATTCAAGAGAGGGCTCTAATCGCACGAGTACGGTATTACACGAGCTCATATCGCACCACGCGTGAGTGCGTCAACAAATAGTGCCAAGTGTTGGGTTGTAGTTTTCCGCTGCTGTATTGTCTCAGGGCACTATACAATCAGTTTTCCGCTTCGGTCAACATCCCCGTGTGGTGAGGATTCAAGTCAGTTCCTATGTCATTACACAAGTTGATTGGGGAAAGCCCCTTACACATACCCACACACTTTACACACGCTATAGGACATGGATTTGTTGTTGTTGAATGTTATTTAAAGTCGCAAGCTATTCACAGATCAGTAAAGTAAAGTTCATCGACATGAAACAAGCTAGCCCAACTCAAACTTACCATCGGGGCTTTCAAACGTCACAATGGCTTGGTGCGAGCCATCGTACATCTCCACTTTAACCACCCCGTCACCACCCGATCGCTTCTTGCTGTCGAAATAGAGCTCTACAATTTCCTGGTGACATTCTCTTGGCAAGCAGGAAACTAGAATACGTCTCGGCATTGGTTGCTGCAATGGAACAGCCATGGTGACGGACAGTTCAGTCCCCAAAAGAGTGTGCGATCGCAAGCAGGCCCGTTCAGCAGCTGCAAATAGAAAGTGAAAGACATCAGCTAGTGACAGCAGCAGACTTCGCCGGGCAACAATGGTACGAAAGTTGTCTTGCTCCCAATGCCGCTGGAGCTCGCACTTTTCTCACAGACTTTACAATCCGGACTGCCATCCAGAGCACATGAAAAGCCCATCAAACTTCAGCAAACCTGCAAGAAATACCCGAGGTCCATTGACTCGGATAGCATATACTTGGGCACTTGTAAGATGTTCCCAGGGACATTTTATTCGATCATCATTATTTCCCAATCATTGCAGCAGGTTCTGGAAGACGAGTGCTCAAGCACAACACATAAATAATTGTATGGTCGTCGGGGTATTCGCAATGGCAGCCGTGGGGCCACTAGAATCACATTCATCACCGGCAAACTGCAACAAGCAAGTACAAGGTACATACATACATACATACATACATACCTTCACATTCATAAAACAACACAGCAAACTGGTTGCTAGTGACGGGCTCGATCTGCTCCACACCACCACCTCCAGAGCCACGTCTGCTGTCAAAGTAATACAGTAAAATGGAGCTAAGCTCCAGTTTAGCCAGGTCACAGGACACTATAACCTTCCTGCCGATTTGATCGGCTCCGGCTTCGGCAATGCCACAACCAGCATCCTCCCTGCGCATGGTTCCATCAACCTCATCACCTGCAAAGAAAGCTTGATCACTTGCGGAACAACTTTTCGCCCTTTGTTCTGAACAGGCATTCAGGAAGAGGCGTTTGCTTGATCCGCACCCGCTTGCACAGTTTCCATCTCCAGACAACGGGCTTCTAGCTTGCCGTTTCTGGGTTGGGGAAGGAGTGGCCACATTACGCGGAGTATCTTGTTTCTTGTCACTCTGAACAATGTTTTGATGAGAGGCTTTTGGCGGGACCACGGCTGCGATAGCATGTGCTTCCTCTGAGCAAGTACCTCTGCTTCTGCGATGAAGCGCTGAACTTGTCCTGTTATCGGTCTTGGCGCAAGGAATGTTTTCTGCCATACTCTGCAATGAGCAGGTCCTCACACATGCAGCCAGTGACGTCGGGTAAAGCTTCGCTGAATGCCCCTCTTGCCCTGCTCCCATTCTGCCGGTGTTCTGCACTGACTTTGGCCCAGGAGAACTCAGCGCCGCTACGTTGGAAAACACCAGAGGAGCGCCTGGTATTGAACACTTGGCCAGTAGTTCAGCAGACTGCACATGCACTGTATGAGCTGGGGACGGTGCGGGCAAAGCAGCAGGCTGTGCGCCACCTGATACATGTATAGTATTAGCACTAGCACTGCCAGAACACACAGTTGATATCCCTCCAGCAGCAGGTGCTTCTCCTGCTCCTCCACGGTGTATGATATTCTTTGCACCATTCTTTTCCTGACCGGTCTTGGGCTGACTATTTTCTCCACCTGCCTCTGGATCATCACTTTTATCTGATGAGGACGAGTCACTGACAGATTCATAAGAACTGCTATCATCTGGTTGCTCTTGAATACGTGCAGTGTTGCCAGCTTGTCCTCTGCGTATCTGATTATTAGCATGTTCCTCTCTTGCCTTGGAGCTTGCGTCAACTACTTCATTTCCCGCTTGTTGATCAACCGCTTTAGTCTTTGCTCGCTGTTCGCATGATGGAAGTGTTTCTGGCTGGCTCTGCTGCTCGGTAAGCAGCACATGTGACTGTGAGATGGGTACCTGATGGTTTCTAGTACACTGGTGCACTGGTATGTTCACGGCCCTCAAGCTGCTGATTTCCAAGTCAGGTGCTTGTGTGTCACCAAGCTTGGCAATTTTCTTGTGCAATGTCGACTTCAATGCAGTCGAGATCTGCTTGGCAGAACTGATGGTTTTTGGCACCAGGCGCTCAACGGTGAGTGACCTGTTGCGGATTAAATGTTGCTGTTGCTCGAGGACCTCGTCAGCATCTGTTAGCATTCCATACGACAGAAACAACCACCGAAACCAGTGGAGAAAGAGGAGTCAGGCAAAGCAATCAACAAACAGCCCAGTGAAATAAAAGAGGACACACTGACCAGGACATGCGACATCCACTGAGTAGGAATGACCAGGCGTATCCATATAGCAACGCCCCTCAACCCACTTCCATCTCTGAAAGAGACCATGCAGGATGCAGACATGCCAGCTCAGTGCATGGCGGTCCGACTGAAATGAGTACAGGTCGTCCCCCGTTAATACGAGTCCGGTTAGTACATAAACCCCGTTAGTACATAAGAAATGTCAAGTCCCGGACGAAACGTGGTCACTTCCATACAAATTTTGTCGGTTAGTACATAATTCGTTAGTACATAAACCCCGTTAGTACATAACATTTCTCCGTACCCGCATGTCATCTACCTCAATAGTACATAATTTGTTGGTCTTTTGGCCTTCCAGTGGAGGCACACCGTGTTCTAGTTTCTACTTGTGGACGCAATTAGTATAGAAATCAGAGCGCACATCACAAACCGACAAAGCTCTGACTGTACAGGCGCGGCTGGGCATGTATCATGTAAACTGTAGAATCTTCGCTAACTGTGACCGTTATAACATAATTTTTATGTTATATCTCGAGGGAATCAAGAATATCTCGCTGCCTAGTCGTGGTAGCAAGAAATACTCAGAAAAGTTGCAAAAAGTGAAATATTCCGGTACACAGACATGTTATGTACACTTTCGTTTAGTACATAAACCCCGTTAATACATAACATTTGTCAAGTCCCAGAGATTATGTATTAACGAGGGACGACCTGTATAACACTATTACACTGACGCAGTACAGTTCCCTGACATTCAAGATCTGTAAGTCAACATAGACAGTGGCGTAACAGAACATAGTCATTCGCCACCCAAAAGACTGTGCCGTGACAATGCTGGCAGGCCCCACACCAAATCATTTCATGGCTGGGCATCGCCCTCATCTTTGGGGTTGCTCCCCATATCAGCGCTGCTTGCATATGCTGGGAGATAGAGTTTGATAGATACAAATAAATAAATATTCATAGCACATCTGCGGCGAACCCAGTCTCCATTGTTACCTGGTCCATTGGCGCAATCGGTGTGCTCGGACAGCAAAACGCCCTTTCTAAATATGGAACATCCATGCACACCAGGTGGACATTTGCATCGATTTTACGATACCGTGCAAACTGTCTCACATATAAGACTGCTCCAAACACATGATTGTCAATATGCACCTTCGGCACCATTTCGTAACGGTCACCAAGGTGAAGGCGAATGAATCTATTACAAAAAAAGTTGGCAACCGTTCTTCTTGCCGACTTGTACAGTTGTCATGGAAGACATGGGGCTGACATTCGACCATGTGCAGAATGTCACAATGTGCAGATCGGGCATAGTAGGTGTAGCACTGTTATTTAGATCTGCAAATCACCAGAACTACGCCAAACGTCTCTTGAGAGCACTTATTGCGTCCCGGCGCTAATGTGTACGGGATGACATCGTCATGACATTGTGCACGCGGTCCATGCCTGCCAATGAAGAGCGCCTACTCCGCCAAAAACCAATACCTGCTCGGCGGAGTTCACAACGCCCAACCTACGCAGCTCAGTGTCACGGCTAGTTCAACTTGATAGCCAGCCCAAACTCAATAATTGTTCGGGGTCAACCCTCAACATTTATATCCCCCCCCCCCCTCTCCCCGCAATTTAATAAATTTTGTAATTGGGTACTCACTACTCGGAGTGAGGGTAACATGGATGTAGCTAACGAGGCTTGCTCCCTTGTCGGACACTGATTGTGAGACATACCACCTCAACGTCGCCAATACTGAGGTGCTGCATCTGCAGCCACGCTGGTATAATCAGGCATGGTGGTGGCCTGGCACGAGCAAAACTTCTTTAAGCTGGCTGTGTTTCTCAACGCGTATAGCCGGTACGCAGTGGTAACGCGGATGTGCAACACTAGGCTTTACTTTTTTTATCTAAAAGAGAAAGGACCTGTAAGTTACGAGTTGTGACTAACAGTCCACCCGCACCTGAGCCTTCCAAGTTGGAAGGTTGTTGGTTTGCACTTCGTAGATGTGTTAGAGCTAGGTGCCAGTCAGGTTGTCGTATGGCTCAAAATCCCTGTCAGTTTTGTGCCTTGGTGTCGCACTATCTGACTGTATTCTTATATCGTTACTTTGGTGGACTGTTCAAGTAGTCATAAATTTTCAACTGTGCTTTCAAATTAATTCTAGCCATTCACTATTCTCCACCTTCGCTGATGAGACTTTTGTGGTTGAAACAGCCCTGTATAGAGGAGTTATTTTTCAGCATCTACGACTTGGAGTCATGTGACTGGTGTGATGAGGTCGGTCAGAGAGCGCATGTGGGGGAAGTGGAATTGTTTAATTATTTTGTGGCAGATAAATTTTATCTTGAGCCGGGTTTGTGCTCTTGTGTAAAAAAAAGGACAAAATAATGATAATTTATTTTATTTTCGTTTGTGTCTTTCTCTCAAACTAGTCAAGAATTATTATTATCTGCATGTACTTCGAAGTACAATGTCAGTGATTGTAATGACTATGTCTTTTACCGTCCTCGTCGGCGAATACGACGCGAGCACTTTGTCCGGAGTCACCGCTAAACAGCTCCACTTGGTCTACGTCGCCGCCACCCGAACGACTGCTCTGGAAATACAACTCCACCTCTGAAGAAGTAACGGTACTCGGCAAGTCTCTCACAATTACCGTCCGCCTTCGCACACTCTCACTGCTGTGCGGTGCTGCTGTTGATTCGCTCATCGTCGCGTCAACGGTTACTACTAGTGCATGTAACGGTAATTCGGGAACAGCTCAACTACTGTTGCTGTCTCTTCATTTTACTCTGAATCTCATCACACAAGTCATGCAGTCAATCACTCCATGACAGACGAAAAGCAGGAGAATGTCTGAATGAATGAAGGGAGACTGAATTCAGTACATGTACTATACATAAGGCCAAACTAAAGAAGGTGTGTGGTTCGACTCACCCGACCGACCGTACAATTTCAGCCCGACCGTAACTTTTTTTCGGCGGGCTATCGTGTGACTGACGTACGTGGACTGAACACGTCCACGTCTACGTGCTGTGCGGCGTGAGTCTGCGGACGCAGGCGGCTCCTTTTGGACTTGACTTGTAGTTGTACTGCAGTGCAGTGCAGTGAGTGGTACGACTGCTGCCTTGTGCTGGTAGTAGAGTCTACTCGATACGCGTATACAGTGTATTATCCATATAAAAACCGCTCTGTGAGCGGTTCTGAAAAACCTTTACTGGTACTGCCCCGTCGTAAAAGTAAGAAATTAGAACTGGCCCATTGTCCCCCCAAATGCGAACTGATCCACCTAAATCGCGAATGACGGGACCCGAACGCACCAGTAGCACGAGGTCGGGAGGGCACAGGACAGCAATTATCATAGGGTAACACCACCTACCGCTAGTACAGTACATGGCCTATAGTCCGGACCAACGTCCCCATCTGCATTCACAGGTAGGAACATCGTGCTACTGGTGCGTTCGGGTCCCGTCATTCGCGATTTAGGTGGATCAGTTCGCATTTGGGGGGACAATGGGCCAGTTCTAATTTCTTACTTTTACGACGGGGCAGTACCAGTAAAGGTTTTTCAGAACCGCTCACAGAGCGGTTTTTATATGGATAATTTCAGTTCTTTTTCCGTTCCCTCCCCACCCCAACCCCGAAGGTAAACATGATGACCACGCGCGCGATGTACTGTATGTAGCCAAGAGATTGCAATTACACACTGATACATACCAGCCCTCCCCGCCTCGCTACCCCGCACACAGATACACAAACATGCGTATGCACACGGCACACACACGTGGCCACGCACATGCACACGGCACAAACAGGAAACTAAGTTCTTCATATATAATGCCATGCAAAGCAGTGGCCACCGTACTTGAGGAAGTCAGTTGTGAAACAAAAATAATGCAACTACAGCGTGTAGACAAGCTGATGGCCAAAGCACAACATAGCAAACATGACATTTGCCCAAGGATTGCAGTTTGCAGACCACGCCATGGAAGCAGCGAATACAGAATGTAATATCATAAAAATTGACAAGCAAGGAAGTGGCCATCATACACCAGAAACTTGCAGAAAGTCACACATCCAACAGATAGAGAAGTGAACAGCAATCTGATACAGCCCACACAGGACAAAGCTGACCTGACACTCGTCCCAGGATCGCAAGTGGCAAATCCTTTTCAATGTATATCATGCAGGTTTAAGGTTAGACGCATGGACAACATCTGACGGTGTCGCCAGCATACAATGTCATCACATGTTTACCCCACAAGTTACACACATGCACAGTAGAAGCACAATGAAAGCAATGGAAAAGTACGATGTGGTTGCTGAAGCATCTTCACACTTCAAATTCAGACTTCAATGTGGTCGTCACGGGATGATATACCTGCAAGATACAAGTGATGAAGAAAGAAAGCAGAAGGTCATGAGGTAGGCTATGAGTAGCCCTTTCCCAAAGATGCCATCGTTTTTCGCAACTTATGCTTTTCGCAACCGTGCCAAAACAAGTGCTAGTTGCTGAAATCGCATCCATATTTTCAGAAAAAGCTCAAAAGTTGCCAATATCGCAACTCAAAATTGGAGAGTTCTTGTGCAAAACCTACAAAACAGGGAGCAGAAATAGCAGAAATGCAGCGATGCTGCGACAGCAAACTCGTACACCCCTTCCTGCTGTGAACCACCACTTTACACATTGCCAGTAGCCTGTTGCATGTATCCTACATGTACATCATTACAGTGCACGGAAAAGGGAATCCACATAATTATCATAACTACCGTTGATCTACTGTTTCTCAGAAATGAGCCTGAAGGCAGGCGATAAATGAGCGAGCACGAGTATGTATTTGTCCAACAATGCAACATGTAGTCGGTGACTTGACCTTTTGACCCCATGCCATGGGCCAATTGCGCCAAGGTTGCGGAGAAGTTGCGAAATAAATTCGGAAAATGAAGAAAGTTGCGAAAGTTGCGATTTCTTCCTAAACAACGAAAAGTTCCGAAAAAACTGGCCAGCATCTTTGGGAAAGGGTTAGCTATGAGACACCACAAACGGGTCACCTACATGTATGTTCAGGGCTAGTGCACTCACACGCAGAATTGTCATAATCGAGCATTTCCCAAACTGAGAAGTGCAATGAAATCCACTTGCATGCACAGGAGCAATTTTGCAATATTATTATGATGCGCAATTCGACACGATCTGCGATGCTGCGTGCGATGTGCCCTGCTGTCATGATGGTGACAGTCACCGCGGTATGTTTTGTCAACGTCGCCCATGCACTCTTCTGTCAAGTCCAAAGTGCTCACATACTTGGCAACGTCTTTGCAGTGATGAACTTTTATCCTAGTTATGTCACGGGTAACTTTAACGAAGTACCCACAGGCCGTGTCGATCCGCACATCGTCCACTCTCTCATATACTTGGCCTGCTTTGTCTGTGTATCCATTTCATGTGCGATCCACAAAATCGACTAGACAGTGGATGCAATACGCTCTCTATCTGAAGACGTTCTTCTGGCGACATCTCGCCATGTACTTGGCCTGCTTTGTCTGTGTATCCATTTTCATGTGCGATCAACAAAATCTCAATGCACTACAGACTAGACAGTGGGTGCAATACGCTCTCTATCTGAAGACGTGAACCATTAATTTTTTTGGAAAAGTTATACGTACACCTGAAACGTAATGAAGTACAGGAATAGAGAGAGTGACTACAATACGCTCTCGACCTGATAATTATAGTGATAACGTGTTAGAAGGTAACAGGTCTACAGTCCCACCGTACCCTTCCGACACGACTGTAGACCATTACATTTTTTTGACCTGATAACGTGAGTACAAGACACTCTCCACCTGATAACGTGTTAGTAGAAGGTAACTGGCAACATATCAATGGGTTGCCTTACCGTGGTCTAGAGGAGACGTCTTCGCAGCAATATTTTCCCTCCTGCGCATTCAGTCGCCGACGCGACAGCGTTTACTGGGCCGTTCCAGTTGAGGAAGACATTCGATTCATCGGGCCAATTCAGCAACAGGGCTGTGGACACACAGGGGGCAGAGGAGAGACATTGTTAGTGGACAAGAAATATGCAGTGGCAAGTGGCGAGTGCCGCATGGATGTCAAGTTGTCATGCACAATTCAGCTATTACTTACGGTTCAGCTAGTCCTGCCATTGCTCGCTCGTCCTGGTTCCTCCTCGTTCGTCTTCCTGCACGTCTGCACTTCTCCTTCCCCACCGTTGGCTTTGCGGTACGGGGGTGCCGGAACGAATTCCCACCATGTATCCATGTACATGAAGTCCCACCATGTCTTCATGTACATGTCCACGGCCACGTCAGCAGTTTGTATAGTACCGGAAGGAGTTCCCACGATGTCTCCAAAGGCCTAGAGCGGACGTCTTTGCAGCAATTCTTTTCGCCCTGCGCATTCAGTCCGCCGACGATGTCTCCAAAGGCCTAGAGGGGTCTTTGCAGCAATTCTTTTCACCCTGCACATTCACTCCGCCGACACGACAGCGTTTACGGGGCCGTTCCAGGTGCAAAAGGTCCACGTCAGCAGTTCTCAACTATTTCGCGTACGGGATAGTCGCCGCGACAGCGTTTAAGGGGTCGTTCCAGGTGCAAAAGGCATCCATCAATGGCACTTTGCAGTACGGGGTACGGAAAGGGGCCTCCTCGTTCGACTTCGTCAACTTCTGCAGTTCTCCTTCCCGTCAGGGGTACCGAAAGGGGCCTCCTCGCAGTTGTCCTTGCCGTCAGGTCCACGTCATGCAGTTCTCAACTATTTCACGTACGGGATAGTCGTCTTTGTCGTACGCGACATCGGCGTTTACCGAGTGTCATTGGCACAAAGCAGACCGTTGACGGGGTCACGTGTCAAAAAAGTATCAACAACGTGTCGACTACGTGTCGACCACGTGTATAGCGGTACACTCAGCGGTACACTAATTCTCGTGCCATTCTCGTGTCACAAAACTGGAACATCGAGTACCAGTATGGAAAGGCTTCAGACAGGAAGCCTTTCCAATTTACATGTACTAAAAATATATATTAAAAAAAAAAAATCCGCCCGCCCGCCCGTAAAAAAAATGTCCATGTTAGTCGAACCACACACCTTCTTTAGTTTGGCCTAATAATATTAATACAATAATTATTATGTATGTGTAGTCCGCGATATTCATGTTAAAACAAAATGGCGTCACGATTTATTGAAAGTAGGTACGACTACGAGTGTTCAAAACCATTTGAACTTCATACTGTTCGTCTTCTTTTTGACTTGCTCTCTTTCCATCGTCCTTAGCTTTTGTTTGTTGTGAGCTGTTTTGGCTTTCTCCTGTACCTCTGGGGGATGCCAAGTGATGGTTTTGAGAGGCTGGTGATGGCTGTGAGCGAGAGTTTGCCGATCGGCGTCGTCCTCGCTGTAGCGATGAAAATACTAGTTACTGCGCACTTGGCAGATATCACAACACGTCGGAGCGTCCAGGAGCAAAGGAATCTTGGGTTTTCACTGGAATCTAGTTCCTCCAGCATCGTGTAGCCCACCGTCGGTGAATGGCCGTCCAGAAAGGTCGAACCTGGTCTTCTGCAGCACCTCGCAGTCCTGCGAGGCACACCGTGTACGCCTGCCATGTATTGTACAAATAAAACTCATGCAGTAGTGGACTCTACAGTGATGAGTCTCAGCCTGTATGCTGCAAAAGACACAGGAAATGTGACTGGTGTCTGTACACTCAGTGACTGGACGCCAACACCCCAGTCTTCTCCTGCAGGATCTGTTTGACATTGACATTATGCAGTAGGTCGGCATTGACCTGGTTTGGCAGCTATCATATCTCCCGGCGTTATAGTATCTGCCTGGTTGGATGTAGCAGGTTGGCGTTTGCTCGTCGTCCAGTCCGGAATTTTCTTGTAACTCACGGTGGACGGTACGCGCAGGGTTTGTGATCATCCCTGTTCACTTCAATATTATCAAATACAACGTTCCCTTTGTCACTCATCTTATCCTAAGTACTGAATTTGCTGACAATATTGCACCACACTTTTCACAACCTACCGCCACTGCTGGCGGTGGCGACTGGTTCGTCAATGGCGGTGACCAGGCTGACTGACTAGCTTCGAAACAGCGGCCTCGTTGTCAACCCCGCGACAGCCTAAAGGTTGATTTTATCGATCCAGCCTCAGCGCCATGTTGACGATGCCCTAGTGACTGTGTGTCATGGATTGCCTTGCCATCAGCGGTCATTGCCGTCTACCTTGGTGCAGCCCTCAACAACTGGCTCAGCCCATGGGAGTCTCAAGTGGACAAAGTTGTTGCCAAAGTAGCTCAGAAGATTGGTGCATCGTGGTGTAGGTGAGCACATAACTAAGACTTCCCAGCGCCTATTTGTCCAGGCTGCGATACTATGTGACATGCTGTACTCCACATTCTTTTCAGCACTGCAAGGCCGGCAGCTGGACCGACTGCAGGGGCCGCGCACATGCAGGCCGCCTGTTGCCAGTGCAGCATTCTGGAGCGTTTCTTCCTTCTGAGATCCGTGGAATAATAACTTTCTTTGCTTCAAAGCAAGTTGCTTACCTTTCTGTTGTGCTCCCAGTGTCCTTACAGCAATAACCTACAGCAATGTTTTATTTTCCTTTCCATTCCCCAACCAATGAATACTACAATGTCGATTCTATTTCTGAATACTTTAGTGTGTGCCCGCGCACGCACGTGTGTGTGTGTATACCTCACTCGCCACTCGAAGTTCTTTCAGGACATGCCATCATCTGCGGATGGGCATTCAATGATTGTATTGTGTGTGTGTTTCATTCAGAATCAGATCCGCTATCGTTGCTATAAGAGAAAATCTGTGGGTTCACATCCAGTGCATTTGTAGATTTGCGTGCTTTTCTCGCCACGGGTGCATACATGGGACATTGTGTGTGTGTGTGTGTGCGTCTGTGTGTATGGGGATATTGTCTGTATCGGCTTTTGGTACTAATGTTCAGGTCTGTGCTTGCATGTGTGAACATGAAATTGTTCGGTTCTGTGCATGCTATTGCTATGTTGTATATTATTGTATGTATGTGTGCATTTCCACGAACAGTGTAGATGAGCGTGGAGAGTGCATTCATCCCTCATCAACCACTTCCCCTTGGGCTTACGAGAGTGTTTTCTGCGTACCTCTCATTTTTGTTTGTTTCTCTCTGATACTGTATTGATGCCGGTACCTGTACCTCGATGTGTTCCTCTATCTGCAGTCGCCTTTATCCTTCGGTCAAGTTAACGTTTATTGTGCTCTATTGTGCGAATCAAAATAAACAATAATAACACAAGTCATGCTAGAGTGACGACATGTGCGTGTAGTAGGGTTGATGCGATGGGACGTAATAATTAGGTGGAACAGAACACACATTGGGCAGATTGATTGGGCATCATTGATTGTGCTCAGTCTAAACAGTGAACATAATAATTATCTCCAGTGACAGACTGTAGCGGCTAGCCTCCAATAGGTAGCTGGCACTAGTCGCTACTGCTTGTTTGACAGGTGCCGCCAGAACCCCTGTTGTCACTTGTGTCATGCTATAAATACACATGCCCTATTCTGGGGCATACTGAGGTACTTTGATTTTGTTGACTGCATGTAGACAGCATCCAATAGTAGTACTCGTAGACCTTGGCTCTTTGTAGGTCAACCACCATCGCATGGATCGATCGGTGACTATGCACTTGGAGGTTGGAATGGCCTGCTCTGAACAGATCTTGCCATGGCCCAGGGAGTGAACTCGCTTGCTCGACTATCCCGGTTTTAGTTAACCAGCATGAGTGGTGCAATTTGTCCATACCATGTTGCGAGCTCACAGTTGTTTGGGCAGGTTTTGAGCTGCACCACGAAACAAAGCGAAATAACGGCGTGACTGTAGAGCAAGGAAGCGGCGAGACGGCACTTCCAGGACCGTCGGAGACAGGCAGTAGAGATGTGTTCACAGCACGAGCAACCTCTCAAACCCTGCCGGTACTCCACAGTTACAAGAAAATGTCGGACTGGACGACGCGCCAATGCAAACCTGCTACATCCACCCAGGCAGATAGCTGCCAAACCAGGCCAATGTCGACCCACTGCATACCGGTATGTCAATGTCAAACAGATCCTGCAGGAGAAGACTGGGATGATATTGGCGTCCAGTGTACGGACACCAGTCACATTTCCTGATTTTTATTTGTAGAATACATGACAGGCGTATTCAGTGTGCCTCGCAGGACTGCGAGATGCTGCAGAAGACCAGGTTCGACCTTTCTGGACGGCCATTCACCGACGGTGGGCTACACGATGCTGGAGGAACTAGATTCCAGTGAAAACCCAAGATTCCTTTGCTCCTGGACGCTCCGACGTGTTGTGATATCTGCCAGGTGCGCAGTAACTAGTATTTTCATCGCTATAGCGAGGACGACGCCGATCGGCAAACTCTCGCTCACAGCCATCACCAGCCTCTCAAAAACCATCACTTGGCATCCCCCAGAGGTATAGGAGAAAGCCAAAACAGCTCTCAACAAACAAAAGCTAAGGACGATGGAAAGAGAGCATGTCAAAAAGAAGACGAACAGTATTAGTTCAAATGGTTTTGAACACTCGTAGACCCGGGTGCTCGAATCAGAAGCGACACCCGCCGCGTCAAGTAAAGTCGGCGCGAGCTCCGGTGTGGGGAGCAAACCCTTTCTTACAAACAATTATCGCCGAAGTCGCAACCACTACTTCGTACTGTTATGCCCAGCGCGGGCTTGCGACTAGTTGGTTTGGAGGTGACAGCGTTGCGAATGACCGAGGGTCCTCGACGTCTGTCTCACCGTCCAGGAGCGACACTGACTCACGCTGCTATCTGGTGTTCACGAGGTGTTTGTCGCGCTGGAAACGGAGCGTCTCTGTAAGTTTGTATCCCTGGTGATGTTTGTGCCTGGAGAGCACTATACTAGTCTATATAAGTGGTGCTCTTCAGGCACAATCTTCCTCAGCCTACTCAAGCTCAACTGATGAGGGGCGAATTCCCCGAAACACTGTGTATTGAGCAGGGAGTGGTGCTTTCTTGCAGGTTTGCCGAGTCTAAGGTTCGATGGACTTCTCGTGTGCTCTGGATGGCAGTCGTGAGTCAGTCAAGTGTCAAGTAAAGTCGGCGGAATAGCGCGAGCTCCGGTGTGGGGAGCAAACCCTTTCTTACTTTTAATTATGCTGTTATAAAAATGTTCTATTTTTGTACACAGTACCCTCAGTTCCGATACTATTCACTGATGAGCGGAACACGAAAATCGATTTTGAATAACATAAAAAATCCTTAAAAATTCCGTGAACTCGTTGTTGTCTGGCCATGTCTGCATCTATTATACTCCTAATTGCACTAATATGATTATAATAATAATAATAAGGCCATGGTAAAAAATAAAGTTGATTCTCAGGTCATGAGCCTGTGAAAATCGGTGCGAGCGAGCGATTTTTTATTTTAATTCCCACAATTTTTTTATTTCCAAAGATAGGGTCACACATGTGTACGTCACAGGTTCATAATTAATTTATAATTATTTTATTATTCAGGCCAGGGAGTAGAAAAATACCGGTATTTTACTACTCCCGGATTCATGCCTTTCGCATTGACCGTTTTCATGCACGCATATGCATGCATAGAAATAAAAAAAATCGTCGGTGCGCCGCCAAAAATCGATGCACGCGTACTTGAGAATCAAAGGTATTTTTTACCATGGCCTAATAATAACTTTATTAGGATGACCCAATTATGTAGGTAGCATGCACAGTGCTGCGTGGTAACTATAATACACTAATAAAACAAGTGAAATTCAGTCCAAGCAACTTTTAAAATGTGTGTTTTTTTTGTTTTGTTTTAAAGCTAGTCAGAAGCCTCAGGCTCATGGCTCAGGCCGCATGCGCAGGCTACATTGTAGGCATCAGACATGCCTCCGCAACGACAACCGCAACCGGATCTCGCGCGCTGGAGGAGTACAGTGCGTGAGTTTATTCAAGTAATTCCAACGGTTTTTTGCTCAGAATCTCGGGAATCTAGATAACTCTAGTACAATTCGATTTTTTCCTTTTGTTTTTTAAACGAATCATCCTCGGGTCGCGACCTCATGACCTCCTTGCCCCCCTGGTTTCTAAACGGATCAACCATCTTACCTCGGGCCGCGACCCCGTGACCTCTTCCGAAAACTCACGTCATTTCAGCACGCGCAGCGCTCAGCGCACAACTCCAACACGGTCACGAGCACCAGTCAACCGACTTCCAATGGCATAAAATCGTAGCGCCGTGGCCCGTACACATGGTACAGGGTCAGGGGTCGCTAGCGTTGGGTAAAAGACGTGGATCTACACTACACTGCACTACAGACCGTCGACTCATGCATGCTGCTCAGCAGTCCAGTCCTGCAATCGCTGCATCGAAAGTCTTTCTCTCTCTGCCGCTTCATGCATGCGATACCGGTACCGGTATGCAGCGTCAGTTCGGCATGGTTCGTGTAGTATGACTTTCGATTAGGCAGTAGATCTATGCACATAGTCATTACATACATGATACCAGCGACTCTCTGCTTTAGCTTTCGATCAAAATCGGTGCAGCGGCAGAAATAACAGGTCTTTCGATCAGATCATAGCCCACATTAGTTTCTTCAAACATTGTACTTTTGTAGTTTGAGTGAGTTGTAGTTCTTGACCTGAACGGAAGAGTGCAGTTTGTAGATCTACGACCAGCTAGAAACTTAGTAGATCTAGTAGATCTAGTGGTAGTTACATAGAGATCCACGGACTCAGTGGTTGAAATAATTTTATGACCGTGACTCTGTGACAGCAGGTGGCTGTTTTGAACACCGACTAGAAAAAGTAAAAGACTTGTGTTCTTGCAATGGTTTGCTCTAGCCGGTGCAAGTGAGTTGTAGGCAGTGATATTACTGGATGCCGGACCGTGTTGACGTTCTGATCAGTGTGAACAGCCTGTACTGGTGGTATCGCCAGGGAACTTGATGGCGAGTCCGATGGACGAGGACGTGGACGCGTCCAGATACCCAGCCATTTTAGTGTCTGGCTATCGTGCTCCCGAAGGCTGGCCGGACGGCGACGATGTGGAGTCCACTCAGAATAGGATAACGGTGCACTTTCAGAAGCGGAGGAATGGTGGCGGGGAGGTGGTCGAGACGAAGCTCCTGTCTGCTGATGTAGCGCGTGTTGCATTTGAAGAGCCGACTGGTGAGTGAGTCGTGCGATCGTGGACGGACCTAGTACCTGGTCACAGGTGGACTACTCATGTGCAAGTAGATTTTACTCATTAAAATCAAAGTAATTAGTTCAACAAGCCTGCACTTTAATAGCGACCGCCCACTTCATGTCGACGAGGCACCCCTTTATTCTAGTATTGGAGAGAAAACCCCTACACGGGATCCTGATGATGGCTCCTGGCCGAAAATTTGATCGACATACTTGTACTTTGCAGCGAAGAGATCACTTGATTGGAGGATGGTGTGTGTAAAAGTTTAAAGGGGAAGTATACCCTAAAATCAAATTTTCACCAGTTGTAGACTTCGGGGTGCTGAGTCGAATGGTCTCGGTCCGAGGAAGCCGCTGAGACACTCCCTTCCTCCCTCATTCCCCTGCAGGAGGTGTTGACTCGTGACCCGCGCCCAGCCACGTGGCCACGACCACATACGCGGGTTGACCCCGCGGTACTAACTGTCGTTTCCGCTAAGCATTATCGCCTTTGCCATGCTGCCGCCCTCCCTCCTCCCCCCCCCCCCTCACTTCCTCCCTCCCTTTGGCTAGAACAGTGCGTTATCGGGAATGAGTTCATACTCCTGGTGGCTGGACACTTCTCTTCTTTCTGTGGCCCACGTGCGCTTCAAGGTTAACATGAAAAATCACGTGCTGTATCTATGTGTTATGCAGTTGCCCACAGCGTCGTGAACCGTGAGCATACATTAAAGTCGGGAGAGAAGGTCAACGTTGTACCAGAGGTATGGTGTTGATGCATGCCTGATATGTGTTGCTGGGTATTCGTTGGTTGAGTGATATTATTATGTATAGTGACAGTGTTTGCCTTGCCGTGTCTGTGAAATCTCCACAAGGCAATTTTTTTACTTCACGGTACTCTGTTTGTGTGTGTGTGTGTGTGTGTGTGTGTGTGTGTGTGTGTGTGCGTGTGTGTGTGCGTGTGTGTGTGCGTGTGTGTTTGTGTGCGTGTGTGTGTGTGCACGTGTGTGTGCTTGCGTGCTTGTGTGTGCATGTATATGTATGTATCACGGTGTATTGCGGCATGTGTTCCTCTCTGTCTGACCAGGTGATGAGCGCTGGTATTGCGCAGCTTAGCCCGCTGGTCACGCAGCTCTTCAGTGCGAGTGAGCTCGAACTTGCTTGCAAGCGCTTTAACACCAAGCTATGTGGCGCTGCAGAAGTCAGTGGCGCCTGGTCCTGCTTGCAACGGCTCAGTGAACACCTCACTGATTGTGTACGAGCTCATCAGAACAACACTGGGCAGCAGGGAAGAAGCAACACAGTCGCCGCACACCAGGGCAGCCGACATCCAGTGGGAGACAATGTCAGTAGTTCAAGTCACCACACTTCTCACAGTAAAGTCCCAGTCCGCCTTGCTACCACGTTCAACAATGCTCCGCACACCCAAGAGCCAATGGCCAACAAGACGAGTAGCGAGACCATGGCTCGGCACGCAGAGGCCGCCGCGACTATGCGACCTTCACACAGGGCCATCATGGAACCTGAACTGACTAGTACAACCAGTGCAACAAGAGAGGAGGACTTGATCCAGTGCTTGACGATCCTTCCACCAGCATACAATGTCATCCGTGTATGCCACAGGGATCAGATTGACAAAATGGTCAAGGAGACCAATTGTGAGATGCGAAGAAATGGTACCGAGATCAACTTTCGTGGGCAAACTAAAGAGGGCCTGCAAGATTGTGTGGAGCAGTTCTTAAACCTGTACCAGGAGAAATTGAGTCTTTTCCACCACCATACGGTGAAAGTTCCAGAAAACACAACCAAAGAGTTGGCCAAAGCATTAGTTGAGTGGTTTCGTGAACAGCATCCGACAGCTGCAATCAGCCTGGCCAAAAGGGAAGTCATTGTGTACGGCTATGAGAAGGACGTGAAGCAGGTTGCAGACGCATTGGAGCAACGGTTCTTGTCGAATGTGCCACTGTCGCAGATGGCAGCTTCCAAGAGCGATGTTGAAGAGCCTTTGTCACACCCCGTGCCCCACAGGGCACTGGGCAGGGGACAAGCTATAAACTCTGCAATAATATCTATGGGTGATCATCCGCAACCTGTCGGTGTTATCTCTGCATCCAGTGGCTCGCAACGCTGTCTTGAGCAGTGTGTTCTGCCAGGAAACATCCTGCTTCAGCTCATGGATGCAGACATCACTACACAACGTGTAGACGCAATTGTGAATGCTGCCAATGACCAATTAAAGCATTACGGTGGTGTAGCTCTGGCCATCTCCAACGCAGGCGGACCAGAGATTCAGAAGGACAGCGACAGGTTGGTGTATAAACAACGGAGGAGGATCCAGGATGGTGAGGCGGTGTGGACTAAGGCAGGACGCCTTCCCTGCCATTTTGTCATTCACGCCGTCGGCCCCATGTGGAAGCCGTACAACCAGCTTGTCTGTGAGCAATCTCTGGCTGAGGCGTGTTGTAGTTCCTTGCAGCTTGCATGCCAGTTAAAATGCCAGACTATCGCACTCCCGGCCATAAGCTGTGGCATCTTCGGAATGCCCGTTCAAGTCTGTGCCAGAGTAATGCTGGCCGCTATCAATGGCTTCTTTGCTCAATCTGTCAACCACGGCACGAGTCTGAAAGAGGTACGCCTTGTTCTGTTTGAGCAGCGCACAATACAGGCGTTTTGCAGCGAATTCAAGGTTACATTCAAGCCGCCGATGAGTCACGAGAGCAGCAGGCCCCTAGTGCATGAAACATCGCCGTATGGAGCGCCACCACCTGGGCCTGCAGATGCTACATCCTGTGACCAGCGCAATGCACCGTACGAAGCAAGCTCGCGCTGTGCTGATGTGCGTACCGCTTCAATCTCAGGTGATGGGGATCATAAGGAGTGGCCATCGCTCTCTGAGAGCAAGCCAGGTGGTCATCCGAACTCACGTTACGAAGCAGACGCTTCTCACGGTCATCAAATGAAGCAGTCCCATGGTAGGAGCAGCAGCAGCACGAGAAAGACATCATCCAGTGGCGAGCTTGCAGGTGACCCCAAAAGAAAGTGCTCCACAGATCCGCCCGGTCTGCAGATTGAGGCCTCAGGAAGTGATCGCTCTGTGACCATTGTCACTACACAGCCATCTGGTGGAGCCAAGCTGCCCGCAACAACTGATGCCATGGAATCGGGTTCAACTACTCGAAGTGTCAGTACTGGTGGAGAAAGTCGCCCACTTGCAAGCGTGAAGAACCATGGCAGAAATCATTCAGGTAAAGGAAAGCATTTGTTAGCGGTAAAGGGGTTAACAGTAGATGAATCAACAATTGTAGTTTTCCGTGGCAGCATGTTTCCACAACTGACTTCTAATCCGAGCGTGCCCATTCAGTTTCTGCATGACTCAGAGCGGGGAAAGAGCTTGGAGACATGTCCTCCTGGACCGAACAAAGTCCAGTACGTAAACAAATATTTAAAAAACTGCACACAGGTTCGCGTACAGCCGGAGCGGGTCAAGAACCGCCTTTCTGCTTCTGTGAGACGCCACCATCCCATGATCAGGTGGTAGATGCGGCTCCTAAGCGGTGGGGGCGGACAGATCAGATCCACCAACCAGACCGGGACAACGGCCAATACCCCATTCGCAATATCCATGTTTTCCTCGTGCCAGGCCACGAGTTCCCAATTCGCTATGGGTCGCAGCACAGCTTGAAAAATCCTTTCAAGCTTCCAACCAGGTCTTGAACCGGGTACCTCTCGTTTCTCAATTAGATCAACCCACTGTGTCTGCCAGTGTGTAAACACAGTTGAAAATTACGTACAAACATCACTAGTCTAATAGGTGTAGAGGGTAATACTGTACAGTGGATTGATGTTTGATTGGTGTGGGAACTGGAAACTACACATACCGTATTATGTCTATTACAAGCGCAGTTTCTTGTAGAAGCCCAGTCTCTAGTATAAGCGCACTGCAAGAGGGCTTCGAAGATATAATATACAAGCGCAGTCTCCAATATAAGCGCATGGCTTATACCGGTAATGGAGAACTGTATGGATCATGTCCATGCACGTTTGACGTCACACAGTATCACATAAACACATGCTGTGGTAATCGTCTGTGATCCCGAGATCTACTTCTTCCTCCGTTAAGAAAAACTTCGTGATGGATTTTTGAGGGACTGCTTTGCGCACAAACTTCCGTGAAATGAGTCGTGATCAGTTTCTCGGCCTTCCCTGGCATGCCATGAAAGAGGTATGATGCGAGGAAAGTGACCTTTCACAACAAGCCGAGCGGAATCGATGGTTGCACTGTGGCAACATAGGTGATGACAGCCATGGCGAGCGAAACTGAAATACCACTTCTCCGAGGGATAATGTACTGCTTGGCCTCTGCTACTCTAGCACTGAGTTTGAGAGTGATAGAGACTGATGGAACGGAGCAGCGAGCCCACACACTGAGCGAGTGAACAAGGAGCTGCTCCGATCGCACGGCGCAATGAAATAAATTTGAATCCAAGTTCTTGTTCAACCTGCGCAAAGCCCAGATTCGAATGCTGATGACCATGCATACTTTCAGAAGTCTGCAGTCCGACGCGAGTCTCGTGGCTAAGGAAAGTCGACTGGACTTGCTAGTCGCTGCCGTTCAGTGCTGGCAAGAGTATCCATCAGAGAAAATGGAATCCATTTGGCTGTGCCTTTACTCCTCGTTTCGCGGAGTTCTGGAGAGCGGAGATGAAACCAGGGAGTCGTAAAATATTTTTACAACGCTGTGGTGGAAACAAGTAATCGCCATCGCGGCGAACCACGCAGCTTGAAAGCCAACTTACTTGAACTACAGCGACATGAAATTCAGCGGAGTGTGATCAAAGAAGCCGAGGCAAGGCTGAAACGAGCTGAACAACGACTCGAGAGAGATGACGACTCATGTGCTGCAGATGACGACAGCGACGCAGGGTCAAAAATGAGTCGAGCGAAAGCAACGCAAACTGAACTCTCTGCTCATTCCGCCAACAGTTTCTCTTGTAAATACGCTGTACATAGGCTGAACTACCTTCGTCCAGTGATTTGCAGTCGATACAAACCGTTCTTGACCTGTTCTAAGCGTTTTCATATCCATCAAAAATTCAAAATCCATCACGAAGTTTTTGTTAACGGAGGAAGAAGTAAATTTCAGACTCAGTGTACCAGGAAGCACAAAACTGCAGTCCCGGTACCTGCTGGGAAGCTTTGTGCTACTGATATAATGAAAAAATAATAGGCAATGTAGAAACCAGTTACCTTGAAGGGCGACAGGAAGGGAAGCGAACGTCAAAGAGGGTGAGTTTGCCCAGCCATGTTAAACCATGGAAACACTACCAGGTGCTGGCCTCGCATGGCTTTGCAATGCCACTGTTGGAAATCACTTCATTTTCTTCTGCATTTTCTCGCAATGCAGGAAAACAACGCACAGGGCGGCTGTGCAACTACCTTGGATGCCAAGCCACTGCTACCCAGCCGCAAAAATGTGGACACCAGTTGTGTGATCAGTGCCATAAAGATACTCCAGGAGATATGTGCTTACCATGCGACTCAGAAGCTTATGCTGGGGACATTGCGAATGCACCTTCCCCTGCAGCCGCAGCAGCCAAACCGGCCGCTGCCATTGACAAGGCCATGACAGATGTATCTCACACTCTGTCATTCATCAAATGTGATGACAACCCACAGCCCAAAGACCAATCCACACGTGATCGCCCAGCAGAAGATGACAAAGATGAAATTGCGCTGGTAACCAGGCATTCTTCAAAGTCTAGTCACCTTGATGGCTCCAAATCCAAGACAGAAAGACATGCTGGAGGAGCAGCAGCATCCGTGCCTACAACTGCGACCACCGTAAGGCAATCATCGTCTTCATCTCGTGGAACACCATCACCAACAACAGCAGAGCCGTCCTCGGTAGCCACATCAGCTTCACAAGCAGTCCATGGAAATCAGCAGGAGCCTACGATTTCGACCACCGTTATACAATCATCGTCTTCATCTCGTGGAACATCTTCAACAACATCAGCAGAGCCGTCCTCGGCAGCCACAGCTTCACAAGCAGGAGCGGCTACTAAAGCCACGCCGGAGTGTCAAGTCTGTCTGGAGGTGATGGAGAAGCCGAAAATGTTGAGATGTGGCCATGTGTTCTGTACGCAGTGCATGACTGGTGTAGAGAAGGCTGGTCACTACCAATGTCCTACATGCCGTCAGCCCTTCAAAGCAGTCCGTGGAAATCAGCCGAAAGGCACCATGAGATTTGATAGGTCATCCAATCATTTGCCAGGCTATCATTGTGGCACTATATGTATCCATTATAACATACCTGGCGGCACACAAACCATTGGTCACCCAAACCCTGGAAAACCATTTTCTGGTGCAAGCCGTGCAGCCTACCTTCCGGACGATAACGAAGGCAACAAGGTCCTGGCATTGCTGAAAAAGGCATTTGATGCACGGCTGACGTTCACTGTGGGGCGATCCGTGACATCGGGACAGGACAATACCGTCACGTGGAATGACATTCACCACAAAACAAGCATGACCGGCGGAGTGTCTGCGTAAGTGTTTGGCTAGGCTGGCCCGCATGGATTTCTGACAGTTCAACTTTCTGTAAAGAAAAGGGGGTTTACAAATAATCTACGTGGAGATAATAATTTTAATATAGCTATGAATAGGATGAAGGCCGCATACATCACGCAACTACGTTACTTGTTTGACATGTATTACTGTGTATTTTATAACAAAAAATATTATTGGGTTTTCAATAATATTTTTTGTTATAAAATACACAGTAATACATGTCAAACAAGTAACGTAGTTGCGTGATGTCTGCGGCCTTCATCCTATTCATAGCTATATTAAAAGGGGGTTGTCAACTGATACAATTATTACTTAGTAATAATTTTCGACATCACAAATAAAGAATTTTTTCATCCAGCGCAACCGCCGAGTGTCAATAGCAACTGAATAGAGCGGTTGTCAGTTGACAAACCCCCTTTTCTTTATAATGCAGTTGCGTGATGTCCACCACTTTCTTAGTCAACTTTTTGTAGCTCCTCTAAGCTGTCGTCGATTAAAAAATGCATGCTTCTCCTTATCATCTTCAACTAACTTGTTTTAAAGAGTATGCGATCATGAACATTTGATCATGACTGCATGCATGTGTTGATCATTTGATCATGACTGCATGCATGTGTTCATTTGATCATGATTGCATGCATGTGTTCATTTGATCATGACTGCATGCATGTGTTCATTTGATCATGACTGCATGCATGTGTTCATTTGATCATGACTGCATGCATGTGTTCATTTGATCATGACTGCATGCATGTGTTCATTTGATCATGACTGCATGCATGTGTTCATTTGATCATGACTGCATGCATGTGTTCATTTGATCATGATTGCATGCATGTGTTGATCGTCAGCCACAACGCAATATGCAAGACATGGTCACCTATACCTGGTGACTGTAAAGTAGTGAAAACTAAAATAACTCTAAATGAAGTCAATGTATATTGGTTGTAGCTGGGCTTCTTTCATTCTATTATTGTCTCCCATGTCTCTGACACGTAAGAAAAGGAAGCACAGTTGTGAGCAAAATCTTTTTTCCCCTGATGTCGTGTAACCAATTGCTCAGGTTCGGATATCCAGACAAAGGCTACCTGAATCGTGTGCAACAGGAGCTGGCCGCTAAAGGCATCGTGTGATTGTTGGGATAAAACCCTTCTGACCAGCCAGTATTGGCCTTGATGAGGACAGCTTTCCATCACGAGTCCTTGCTCATTGTCCCGGTAACGCTGCCTGCAGCCTTTTGGAGACGGCACTTTACAAATTTGAACATCCCTCTCTCTCTCTCTCTCTCTCTCTCTCTCTCTCTCTCTCTCTCTCTCTCTCTCTTTATCTTATTATTTCTTTTCTATAATTTCCCCATATGAGTTCCTATCAGTTGCTGTGAACACCTTGAGTGGAGAGCGCTTGCTCGAGCGTTGAACCCGGGTTCTTAATCCACCATACCCAGTTCGCAAGGCTGGGCAGGGTTGTGAGCAGGCTTTCATTTCATCTTTTCTTATTATTTCTGCTTTTCATCTCATTACAAAAATTCTGCGCATTTTTCTCCACCTGTGCATAAAATCTAGACTGACAACCTGCTTGTTAAATCATGCACCTGCTTTCAGGCGTAAAGCCCTGTTGTAGAGGTCTCAGTCCTCATTTGTTAGACTTACCTGTCTTTATAAATGTAACTTACTCTCTCTCCTCTCTTTGTGTCATGAATGATGCTGATGGATGGAACCAACATTTTTGAAGTCTATTCGTAGTATTCGTATTCGGCATGTCCATTCCCGTCCAGTGTTACCCACAGACCTGCTTTAGGTAGCAGCTGCATTGCTTGATGCAAGTTGTGATTAGTAGCTGGGTTTGTACAGACATGCCATGCAGCGGACTGGGACTACTCTGTCCAGTGTGTTCCCTTGATAACAGTTTTGTTCCATTCTTTTCAGTTTGAATGTTTGACTGTGAATGTGTCTGTATGGCTGCACTTGTTGTTGGACTATGAGGCTGTGCTCTGCGTGGTTGCAACGTTTAATTTAGTACTAATTAGTAGAAGTAACGTGTTATTGCGGAAACCGCAACAGTTGTTCACCAACATACCCTGCTAGGAGTGCGACTACCCAATCCTATTATGCTGCTACTTCTTGGTTTGTCTGTCTCCGTGATGCTTCGCTTCTATTTCATTTTCTCAGTTCCCACGTGCCATGTTTCATATTACACGGAAGTGATCACCTTTCGGACGTTTTTCTGCAGATGTGTTTCCTTTTTTTTCTATTTTCTAAAGTTATACTACTACTACATGTACTGACTGGATATGAATGACAATAGGCATCTTGACTTGCACTGTATTCATCCCAACACACTGCCCTGTGCTGTGACATACTGTAAAACCGGAAAGTTATAACGATGGCTACCTGGCCACCCATCTGTATGCGCATCTTTACACAGACATCTCAAACCGGGTTCGCGATAACGTTCATTCAAATATTAAAACGTTAGACTTTCCGGTTTTACAGTAACATGCTTTTATCATTGTACAGCATGTGGTCACTGGTGTGGCGGACACTTACCTTCAGTTCTGTACGGAGAGTGCATGTTTACGTGCCAGTTTTACTCTGTCCACCTACGTGCCACAAGTCGCCTAACCGCAAAGCTGATACAGCTAGCTGCAGCAAGAAAAGACCGAGCCGCGTGAATAGCTACATGTACATGTGTGTCTCATTCACCGCATACTGAGTAGTCCGGTACACTGTATTCGATTTTTGTGGGATTCACCCGAGTCAGAATCCCTTGCCCTTGGGGTGAAAGAAAACAAGGTCAGATGTCGAGCTGGAGTAATACGTGACCATTGCTATCCCCACCTGTATATGTGACCAGTCCACAATCATGCTAGATCTTCGCGCACAAGCCAGATATGAATTGAGCCGCGGAGTCTATTTCAGTCCGGCCGCCGGCGGTCAGATAGCCGGGGTTGCACCGTAAGATGATAACTGTATCTCGCATCCGCTATCTGGAGATTTCGAGGGAATTATGTTTAGCGACTGGGTCAACCCTCCAGACCTTGTATGACTGTATAACATAATACAGTCATGTAGTGTTTGTAGGAGGCTGTTTTTTGTTTGTTTTTGGCTTATTCCGGATGTAATGTACTAGTATGTTCCCGGGCGCCACCCTGCTGTGACCCCGGGATAGTCATGATAGTAGCTAGTAGGAAAGCCGTTTTCTGGTGTGAACCAATGACCATGATGACAGTCACGTAACGTTGATCTACAATTCTACTTGACAGGGTTGCTCAATGAAATCCAGTCACGTGCCTCAAGTACGCGCCGGGCGTTGCGCAGCCCTACTTATAGACCTGCGAACACTGGGCTGCGGAAAGGTGCAAGACGCAAACTTGAGTGACGCGACTGGATTTCAATGAGCAGGACTGTACTACACAAGGCAGAGCAGCAGAGACCAATATTGTTATCGTCGATACGATAACGATATTGGTCTCTGCTGTTCTGCCTTGTGTAGTACGCTCTGCCCTTGTTAGGGTATAGAGCACCACTTGCAGCAAGGACCTGAGACACTTTTGTCAATAATATGCCGGAGATTGAGAGTCATGTACATGTACTCCCACCTGCTTACCGCCTTTCTAATTCACCTGCTGAATTTCGATCATCCATTGACTTTCTTAGGGTTCCCTGTAAGAAGGCGATGACGCCTGTTCGGAATTCCCTAGTAAAATAAGAATAATAAAATTTTTTTTTTAAATGTGGATCCACATGATACATACCGTAGTCATTGTACACTGTATATGTACATAATTGTATAAACAGTTCGAGTGGAGCATCAGTTTCACCTCGCAGAACCGCCCACTTCACTTACATTTTCATCCCCAGACGGTCGCTACCTAGGAAATGTGACCATTTGGCTGGTCCCGACGGATTTCCGAGGTTCCACAGAGTCTGTAGATCTCCTACATGTATAAAGTCACACCAAGACGGCAAGAGTGGATAAACAAGACTCTTGTTTATCATGATTCTACTCTTATCTTGCCTGTGTTGGTCACTGGTCATGCTGATCATCATGATCATGACGGTGATACTGATACAGTCACGTCAGTGTCTACACTACAGGGTCAGACTCTACTGACTTGTCCCCATCGCACATGTATGATACATCATGCATGACGTGACATGGCACAAAAATGCTTTTTCATTCAATGGTTGTCCGGAGGATACCTATTTTAAAAGTCCTTGTATCTAGAAATCGGATCAGGGAGCAAGTTGGGGAAGGAAGATGAAGTACTCGTAGTTCTCCGCAAACAGTGCATCAGCAAGAAAGTAACAGCGCAGGCGCTAGTAATCGCTAGAAAGCAACTATCATCGCACTCAATTTTTAATAGTCTCGTAGTAAAGGATGGAATGATCGGACCTGTCATTCATCTCTCAACGAAATCAGGAACGAACAGTGATGAAAGAATGACTCCGATGTTCGAGAAAATTGATTGGCGCTGCCGAATTTTCTCTGCCGTCTACCAGATATTATTTTGAGGGCATCGTCATGTACAAGTCTCCAGGCTCACCAGTGCCAGTCCTGGTTTCATTATCTGTCGCTCTGTTGCGTGCTGCTGTTTCCACGGCGGACAAGCCTGTAGCTGTGGATGTAGCCCCAGCGGTCACCTGGCCACCCACCAGCGCTGGTGCAAGAAATTCTGACACCAGGGCTGCATCCTGGAGTAGCCAGCAGCTGGCCGGGTGTGCGAGCAGAAACGTTAGTGTTCACCTCGTCGACTCTTGTTTTTCTAATGTTGAAGCCACCCAGTTTCGTGCTGAACTCGAAGAGGTTATGACAGATAAACCGGACGTACAGTTACTATTCTTCTATTTGAACTTGCAAGTTGGCGCCGAGCTGTTTTACCCTGGATTGTGCTGTTGGAATCATGATAAATCTGACGGTGACGGTGAAACGCCGTTGGCGTGGGTGTGGTGGCGTGATTTGTCGGGTAAAGCCTACCTGGACATGTCCCTACAGCATGTAGATATGTGGATGCTGCCACTGGTCACGATGCAGCGCAATGTCCACATTATCAGCAACCAGACGCTCGTGGCCGACGGCAACTGCTGGAAGCGGCGCAGCAGCTCCAGGCGACAGCGTGACATTGCCGAACTTCTGTCTGCTGTGATCCAGCCACTTGGCGATGGCTCGGCGGAGAGTGGCCTGTGCTGGCGGGAGCAGACTGCTGCGTTCCATCCGCTCAGCACACTGCTGTGGGGTGCGCTGTCACCGTGGGGTGTCAGCGTGCTGCAATATCATCAGGTTAACACTAACTCAGCCATGGGTAGCAGTAAACACAACATACTCGAGCCGCAGTGGACAATAGAGTGGATGACGTTCATGCTACGATGCCTATTGTACACATTGGCTCTAGTTATACCGCTACCGATATTATTAGCATGGGAAAGAGTCTGTGAGCTGGCAACTGTGGAACGTACTGAGTTTTGCATGCACGAGAATGCGCAGCTCTTGAACTGCCAGCGCTCGCTGAGAACAGGCATTTTGGATTCACCGCCGGACTGGCTGCAGTTGGGTTCTGCAGAGCACGCTGTCATTCGTAGCGCCCTGGACCCGCATCACTTGCCATGTGCATGCCTGCTCTTCTCCTGGCAACGTGTCCAGTCGATACGTGTCTGGTTCGTGGGCATCGTGGCCATGCTGGTAGTCTGGCAGTTGTTCTGCGTGTGGTGGATGAGCGGGGCGGGCAGCATTGACATGTGCGAACGCTGCCTGCCCGCTGCCAAACACAAGCTGCTCGCGGCAATGCTCGTCGCCATCAGTCTCTATGTTGGCATGCATCTGCCACAGTCCAGAGGGTGCAGCAGTGGTGAAACACCGGAGCGACAGGACAGTGACACGGCTGCTCCCACTCACAGCAATGGGGCTGGCCGTGTGAACACACAACCCTGTGATAGTGAAACTCGCCACAGCAAGCGCGAGGGGCCAACATTGGCCGGGGACACCACCGAAGAAAAGCAGAAACAACAGGCAGATGATAACGATGACGAGGTCGATGCGTCTCACAAGTTCCGTATCACACTGCGCACACTCTCCCTGACATACCTTCCGCAAGAGAATTCTCCAGTCGACTGTGACTTAGACTTGACTGTTGATCAGCATGGTGCGCCTTCTTTCCTTGATGCATTACACGATGCTCTGATGCTCAGCACAGGAGTCCTTGCACCAGCTGGCGGAAACCACTGTCCTCAACAGCAATCGCTTAACGCCAGCATCTTGCACAAAACTGGGGCTGCTTGCAAGTGGCTAGTGGCGTCGGTCATCCATGTGATGACTATTGTGCGAGTATCGCCACTCTTCCTCAGCGTGTCCATGCTCTTGCAGAGCAATAGCTACCTGTCTGCCGCCCAACACGAGAACAGCGATGACAGCAATCGGGCAGCAGCGTGCCGCACAGCGTTGTTCAAAGCACTGAACGTCGCCGTGTTCGTCTTCATGTGGTGCTTCATCATCTGGCTGATGCACGACCTCTTTCACATCCTAGCGTACGGCCTGGTCGGCTTTGTCATCAACGCTAAGCTGTTTGTACCATGGCTGGTGCTACTGCTGTCTCTCGGCTACCAGCTGAAGGTGGCGCGCAATGAGCTCTACCAACCGTTTGTAGCCGTCAAGGCCACCGTCGTGGAGGAGTACATCCGTGACGACATGGCTGACAAGCTATGCTCACGCACCGTGGAGCACATCTACAGCACACTAGTACTACGACTTGTCACGCTACTCGCTGGTTCTTTCAAGGACTGCCGCTGGGAGGCACGGGCGCTGCGAAGCGTACGCACTTACGACACCGATGCCTGCCACCAGCTGCAGGTCGTGTTTAGAGCGCGCGTTGTCAAAGTGGTGGTGAAGTGGCTTCTGTTCGCCTGTGCCATTCAGCTCTTGCTCCTGCTGCTCTCGTCGGTGTACGGCATTGAGACCATGCCGGCGTACTTGCAGCTGCTGGCTCGCGTGGCCCCGCTTGGCCTCACCTGGATGGTATCGCTGACCAATCACAACCCGCTGCTGATGATACGCATGCTGCAGGCCAGCCATGCTAGATCAATTATCAACGACATGGTGCAGACAGGACAATCGGCAGCACATGAATGCCCCTGCTTGGCTGCCACCAAAGCACCACAGGAGCACGGGCAGAACTCACACGAGCACACGAAAGTTGAATAAGATATTCACGTCATTCTCCCAATCAGAAATTCCTACTTCTGCTGGCATTGTGGCAAATGATTGAGAGCAGACTATATTTATTAATTGAATCGTTATAAAGATATCCACAAAGCACCATCAAGAAAAGATACCATGGAGTGTATCCACTAAAAAGATGACTAGAAAATGTAATATATCTAAAGATCACTTTATAGGTCTACTGAATTATAAGGATTGTCTGCGGAATCAAAATTTCAGAAGTGGCACAATTAAAGTTGAGCTAGCGACCAGACGGCAGTTCACTTTGTCACACCACCGTCGTATAACTTATGGACTGGTACTGGAACACGTGCTCAAGTCAAGCACTGCTATATAGCCTTCAGTCCAGCTACGCTCACAGACCCGCAGACTCTGAGATACGCCCATGCAACAAGTACATGAACAAGTGACAGCAGCAGCAGCGGAGAGCATTGCCCAGTCCCTGGCCTAGAGACCGTCTACAATACAACGAGAGTCACAGATTCGCATGACCAAAAGAAAAGGGTGGACAAGTGTCACCGTCCCATTCTTATGATTCTGGACTTCCTGAAGCTGCTGTACTTGAGCTGTCTGTTGGTTGACCCTCTGTGCCATTTGATGCCGCCATCATTGCCAGTAGCTCCTTTGCGCGGCTTGTAATATCGTCGGTCTTCTCTTCCAAGTTGTCGAGGCACTGGGTTATCTGGTCCATTTCCTTCTCCAGGCTCTTATACTCTGTGTACATGGTTCACACAAATCAGCCACACACACACACACACCACACACACACACACCACACACACACACACACACACACACACACACACCACACACACACCACACAGTGACTTTGCTGCATTCCAAATCCTAAAAGAGTCCCAAGACGCTATACGTGTGCTTCACGTACACATACCAGCAAATCAGAATGCTGCTCCACACTCCAGATACTCTCCAAGAGAATATCTAATTTCTACTACAGACTCCACTGCCACAGTCCAAAGTAGTACTCTTAATTTAAAGCCATGTATGTACAGTAACAAAGTGCTAAATCTAATGGGTAAACAAGTAGAAATCTGCTGTCAAAATAAGAAACGCAAGGCAAAAAATCAATACACGTACCAGTACTTTTCTCTCCCAGTTCTGCGTTGAACGGTGAGAATGAGTGAGAATCGTTCACTTTTGCACACGCTAACCAGTCATTTTTAGGAAGCCGTTAAATTTGCACGCAGCACCTCACTAGAATAATGACTTCTTCAGTACATGTCACGTGTCTTGATGCGGTACATTGACAGGCATGGAAGGAGAATTTCGAGAGAGAATGATTTCCTGAAGACCCAATCAATTACAGTACTGGAGTATAAGTCGCACCCAGATTTTTTCATCACGAAATACAGACATCTACCCTGTATTTCACGGTTCATTTGGCCACCATAGTACAGTATATACACTGCACCGACGTTTTTTTTGGGGGGGGGGGGGGGGTGAGTTACAAGTGTTTAAAGTGAGGCGCATACTCAACAAAATACGGTGCAGTCTGCGCGGGGGCTGTGGCCGGACCACTTTCCGGTCAACCGACCTTGTTTTGGTAGCACAACATGCCTACGACTGTGCAGAGTAGCTGTAAACTGTATCACAATATACGTCATGTACAACAACACAAATCATTAGCCGAAGCAGTTCTAAAGAGGATGCAACACACCTGCCAGTCTAATTTTATAGTACAGTCAACTTCGCTTATAACGACTGCGGATATAACGACAATTCACGAATAACGACATAATGTTCATGCCCAGAGCAAAGTTCCATCCAACTGTAACACATACAATGAGACTTCGGGTATAACGACACTTCGCGAATAAGGACACTTTTCTGATGCCCCGCCGAGTGTCGTTATAAGCGAAGTTGACTGTATGTAGATGAACATACCGCCGTTGAACACACACAAGTACTTGAGTATACCATGTTTACTTGCAGGCCTACTAGTACTATCTAAACAATTACAAGTAAACTGTAAAATGGAAAAAAAGCGTGCGAAAATGTGAAAAAAATTAAACAATAATTATTTCCAAGTCGTCAGCACAGAGTGGACGACATGGTCATTGTAGATCTACCACATAAGCATTTGCACTGCACACTGCAGTACTGATCGTCAAAAGCCTGCACTAGTATGTACCTTCTTGTTCGGCTAAAGTCATGACAGCTGCCTCCTCTTTCGTCATGTCGGTGGTGGAGCTCTGCACGTATTTCATTCAAAGCAAAAGCAAATGTTCACCCAAAAGCGGATATCTCCAGGCCAGTCTCAAGGCGTCTCACCATCGTGATATTTTCGCGTCTCCCACTCAACGCAAGGACGAAGCTAATCTCTGAGATACAGCGAGCACCCACAATGGGCCACAGAACGTTTTCAACCAGGCAACAGGATCGTCCTCAAAAACATCTGAACAGTATTTTTGAAATGACTGATTCGGGGCAATGCCGCAATGGTACTTTGTTTGCAGCCGCACTGCATGCGACGTCATGCATGACGACATGACAGGGCACGCACGTGCGCACACACTGGTTGTATTGTTGACTGTTGTAGTCAGGGAGTAGTAAAATGCGTCCTCCGCCTTGAAACATGCTGTCTAGGATCAACAGGCGTCAGCAAGAGTAGATAAACATCTACTCTTGGCGTCAGCTTGCAAGTAAGTAATATTAATACAATTGTAGTTGTAGCTCATGGTAGTCATGCTCAGCTAGCTAGATCAGGCCGGAGATGACATGGGTGACGCCGACCCGAAAGCAAAACAACGAGGGTATCGCTTCAACTCCAAGGCTGCCCATTGCAGTCGCCCTTCGGGCAGGGCCAATTCTGCATGTTCGTATGGTTATGGCATTGTTGAACTGGGTGGCGTTTGGGCTTAGCAGGTCATGGCAACGATCGTGATTGGGAGATGCATAAAGGAAAAAGAAAAGCAGATAATATTAAACTATAAACGTACTATAATTATAACATGCACCTGGCATCCAGCAGCACAAACAATACAAAGTCGGACAGGCAAAAAAAAACACAAAAAACAACATGGAAGGTATACAGCTCAGCACATCATGCCAATAGGACACATGTTTCAACAAAATAACAAAACAACTCCTTAGGACACTACGCCAAGCGCATGAAAGCATCGCCGGAGAATTGCCAAATGACTTCCTGAAAAACAGAACCGATGAAATGAAAAAAACCTATAAAGTAGTGTTGAGATACTAAAAAGAGTCATACTCCCAGACACAACAGGACAGGTAGGAGTAATGACATCTATTATGGGAGACGAAGAGACAAAGACGAACGAATACAATATGAGAGAGAGAGAGAGAGAGAGAGAGAGAGAGAGAGAGAGAGAGAGAGAGAGAGAGAGAGACAGAGAGAGAGACAGAGAGAGAGAGACAGAGAGACAGAGAGACAGACAGAGAGAGAGAGAGAGAGAGAGAGAGAGAGAGAGAGAGAGAGAGAGAGAGAGAGAGAGAGAGAGAGAGAGAGAGAGAGAGAGAGAGAGAGAGAGAGAGAGAGAGAGAGAGAGAGAGAGAGAGAGAGAGAGACAGAGAGAGACAGAGAGAGACAGAGAGAGAGAGACAGAGAGAGACAGAGAGAGAGAGAGAGAGAGAGAGAGAGAGAGAGAGAGAGAGAGAGAGAGAGAGAGAGAGAGAGAGAGAGAGAGAGAGAGAGAGAGAGAGAGAGAGAGAGAGAGAGAGAGAGAGAGAGACAGAGAGAGAGAGTCAGAGAGAATGCAAGATAAAGGGCCCGGGTAGCTATGGCAAATATGGGCGCACAAGTAGCTACCCAGGCCAACGGGACAAAAGGTGAGTACGAGGGTAAGTACGGGGTGCTGCAAGCAGGCCAGCTTGGAAAGGCAGAATGTGGGGGAGGAGGTGCCTAACAGTAGTATGCTACATTGCTAAATTGCAATGGGTACTGATGTTATAATTGTTATCACAAGTTTACAACAAAGTACACTGTAGTACACAACTCACTGCCCGGCCCACTCTCTAAAATCCTGCACCTGCCAGAGTTGTACACTTGCCAATGGTATTGCTACTCAGCATTCATGGTCACAGTTGTCACACAAGCGCAACAGTGCACAGTCGCACAGACTGCCATAACACACCCCCTAGCTAGTTCGGTTGGTAGGTACACTTATGCCTGATTGTGTTGGTCTGTTGCCAACAGGCTCGGCTGCTTGAAGGTGTAATGTAACTGTTGTACCTGCCACCTTTGTTGGTTCCAGGGTTCATTATACTTTCTATTTGATTAACTCTGGTGTAATCAATGGTGCTAGTGAAGCTTTTATCAGATCCACTCTGATTTAGCCACTCACACTAGTAGCAAGTATTACCCTCAATGGGGGCAGGGGTAACTGCAGTTGGATCCCGGGACGGATACCCTGATGCCTTCAATCCTTTTTCTGCACCTTGTCCTCACCCACTTACTGAGGTGTAGTGAGCCCATAAGTGAGATCATTTTCAAGTCCACCCAGAGTTTCGGGGATTTCAGGGGGTGTCGGCCGTTGGGCGGTTCAATAACCAATTGAGTCATCTTTCCAAGATTCCTTTTGAGTCTCTCTCCGGGGGGGGGGGGGGGGGGGGGGGGGAGTTTTGGCAGTGAGCAACAAGTACAAGTACAATAACAAACACCATGAGCTGATACCTAACTGGACCTGTGGCAAGTCAGATGCACATGCTCAGGACGTGTGCTAGGCCGTGCATGGGACTAGTCATCACGTTTGCCCAGCTCCTGCTGGGGTTGCACAAGTACGAATCATACATACGCGGTAGTATTGGCTATGGGTGTCGCCGCTGGGGGATTTTCTCCCTCTTCAATGTCATGGACACAATTTCAGATTTAGTAGGAATGAAGGCTAGAGTTGTGCTCTTCATCTTTCTGGTGAGTTATTGAGTTGAGTTATCATCCAAAACCGATAATCTTTCACTTTTGCGTTCAAAGCGGAAAATACTTGACTGGTACGGTGCGAGTGGTGAAAAGAAGAGAACTGCAGCGACAAACTTTGATGCTGCACCCTAACACACTGGGGACGGGGTGCGAATGGGAAGGAACCTAGGAGCCTCATTCGAATCGGCGTAATGGAAACTACGTATCCCGAAATATTTACTTCTGCCAATCTTCTGATTATTCTGGCTTTCAGCCTTTTCAGAGTTGGACTTTTCACGTACTCGGGGTGCATGCCGAAGTCGTCACACGGAGCAGTATGGCGGTGCACACATGTACATGTGCCAGTGTGCTGCAATCCCGCACTGTGGTGCTGCATGCTTTGGGTCGGCTGGTCTTCCTGTGAGAAAGAAATTTAGTTTCCACTGAATGTACTGGTGAGTCCACAAAGGACAAATCAGGGAACAGCTCCCGAACCGAAAACTTTCGGATTCCGTAGAGTTGTGAGCATTGAATCGAAAGGTCGTGGCCATGGTTTGAAAAGGCTGCACTTATCTCCAATCGACCAGCGTCCGGAAAAGGCCATGTTCACACTAAAAATAGAGGAGGCCTCATGGAGTCAAAGTCAGTCGGCATCGAACAACATGTTTGTGCACTTGCATCGCTCTTCTCCGTGTTACCGACTCTGCTTTCCAGAGACCAGATAATTATATCGGCTATGCCTGCAATAGCTGCTTTTATCCATTGTCGCAGGGCTCACTCTTGGCAAGCCCGCACGTCAAGTTCTTCAGCAAAATATCGAAGTTCTCAGCCCCAACCCAAACACATGAAGGCGAGGCATGGTTTAATCCTCACTCTCACATGTATGCTATATCTCCAGGATCACTCATCCTGCCTATTTTCAGTTGCCAAGTCAGTTGTAAAAGAATTGGCAGTATTGCTTGCACAGCTCCTTTGACCTAGCTGCATGCTGTGACGTAGCAGGGGTGTGTCGTGGCCGCACGGCGTCACGATCCCCCCCCCCCCACACACACACAAGATTCACAAACTCAAATCGAAATATCCCTAGAATGCTTTGTCGGAGAGATGTGGGACCGGGACCATTCGACTCAGCGCACCAACCCTACTGACCGTGAACATTTCATTTTTCACCGGTCTTTCTTCCGCATCAGCATAGTTTTTGGGAAGTCACTTCAAACCAAGCATCTACAATGTAGGTTGGAGATGGCAAAAGGCTCTCAATAGTACAGGGGGGGGGGGGGGGGGGGGGGAGGATATTTTAGACGCAGCAGTTGTGCACAAACCTGATTGGTCTTCACTGCCCGGCTGACTTCACAATCTGCAGTCCCTCAACGACCTGCTCCAAGCGTGCTTCTAATGCCTTGATCAGGCCATCCACGTGTTCCACTTGATCATCAGCCGGGGTGAATTTCTACATGCATTGGGCAGAAAGCAAACAACATACAGTACAGGTGAACTGGAGAAGAGTCTAACGTGCATACGCAAAGACCAGAGTGTGCAGAAAGAACAAATTATTTCTTGCAGAAGGTGCACAAGGATGCAGCCATGACATCTTCTCTCCCCACCCCCACTTTCAACGAGCAAGTGTGTGTAAAGTTCAACAGTTTGAAAACTACAGCTATACCGATAACGAAGACTACACATGACTTCACATGTGCAGCTGCGTACAGCAGAGGATAGGCTACGTTTCCGTCAATGAGACTTTACCTTGGCTGTGGCAATCATGCTGCGCAGTGCAAGCTTGCCAGATGACAGGCTTTGAATAGCCGAGGTTGTGTTGGCTTGTCCTTTCGACACGCATTCACAAGCTGAACATAACACCAGGACATTAATAGGAGTTCAGGTTAGAGGTGGTGTGTAGGTGGCTGCAATGGAGTTTGCAAATCCTCAAAAAAAGTAAATCCATTTACATATTTAAAAAAACAAAACAAGCAAAATAGTACAATCAGATCAGATCTGTTTCTTACCGTTTGCGAGCTCCAACGTCAAGTCCGATGCCTTCTTCAGCACATCAACACTATGTTTCAGCTCTTCATTTTGACAACAGAGACGCTGAGCTTTCTGCAAGCACTGGAGACCCTGCAAAGACAGACCGGGATAACAATGATCGGCCACAGACACTTGCCTGCTATGGCATAGTCACAGCTTATTGTTAACACAGTACAGAATACTTTGCAGAAAATCCCAGCAAGCACACGCACGTAGTGCCATACACACACCTTCTCGCGGGACACCTGGGCGGTTTGTTCGTTGGTCTTTTCACGTTCGGCTGAGAAGAAGTGCAGGCGGGCGTACTGCTGCCAGACAACGTCATTGGTAACAACCTGTCATAAAGGAAAAGAGGAAAAGACACATGGACAGCAAGAACATGCCGGATCATTTTTGGTTATGATTTCAGTCATTTTTCACTACATGTTCTACAATACAACTCCTTTCAACCAATGAGTTTCACATCAAGCAACCACAAATTTACACTGAGGTGATCTGTAGGACATTTTGGGCTTGACGTAGGTGGGTGCCATGTAGTATGGTGAGTCAAACAACTGTAACACAGTACAATTTGACTGGGTTGTGCTACTTGTGCATGCCTTTGTGTAGGGTATAGTATTTTTATTATTTTACTTGGGCATTCCCAACAGACCCTAAAGCGGGATTCACAGAAGCTTTTTCGCGATGCGACATGCGATGCGACAATTGCGAAACCGGGAAATCCCCAAATCGCAGCCATCTCACACCCCCACGCAACTGCCGCAACTGGGCCATCGCAGAAGTTAAGCTTGGCTCAACTTTTGCGATGCGACAAGCGATTTGGCGTACGATTTTGACCTTTTCTACAGCAAAGTTGTACAAAGGTTCAAGAGTTGCCTATAAATTTGTACAAGTTGTACCAAACCGCACCAAATCAGCAAGGCGTTGTCGCATCGCTGACTTCTTTCGTGAATGGTATTTCGCGAGTTCGCATCGCACGCGTCTGTTGCAGATCACGTCGCATCGCGTGTCGCATCGCAAAAAGCTTCTGTGAATCCCACTTTAGGTCATCTTACAGGGTGCCCAAGATGAACGAATGTGTTAAGTTCCTGGCGAAATGAATTGGAAGGGTCCAGGAAAGTCACACTTTGGCGAACAATGCTGAAAGTGTCTTACCTTGGAAGAGATGTGGCCGAACGCCTTCAATGCCTTCGGCAGCAGGCGACTTGCTGCACTCAACATACGCACACCAATAACAAACACACAACCGCTATCAGAATTTCCCAAGCAAGGGAATAAAAAGTATTAGTAGCTAGATTGTGAAAGGAACCCAGGGAAAATGCCGTGGTTGGCTATCACCCTTCATTTCACATTCATTTGTCATTGGCAGTCGTTTGACGAGCCAGGAAATGTTGAATAAATACAAATCCAAAATGGCATGCCTACTCAAAACGAGTTGAGAAAGACAAGCAGCCCTGGGCTGATAGAGAGAGACCAGCATGCAGACACAGTGGGCATTGCGTAGACCTACCTGGTACTCCATGAGCATCAGGAGCATCACCAGTAATGACGTCCACCAGGATTCGCAGAACCTAAACACAGGACAAAACAGTACACGACCTCACAATATGTCCAGAAAAGAAGAGGAATATTCCAAATAGTCTGCCGTTATAGCTGTCATGCCGCATTAGTTGATTCCAAACAAGTACAATGCTTTCCAAACGTGCGGCCAGCAGGAATGCAAGAAATGCTAAGTTAGCGTGATGAAGAAATCAGCTCAGTGTAGCACACAAAAGTAGCCAATTTACAGGACACCTACTGAGACCGACATGGGTATAATGATACTCAAAGCACCACAAACGCTGCACTGACTTGTATAATGGCCTGCTTTGAAAGCAAGACTGTTTCGGAGATTGACTACCAGCATATACGTAGGGACTTCAATCGAAAAACCAAATTTGCGAGTTTCGCATAAAACGCTAGTTTTTCTAAACCGGGAAGATGTGAGAAACAACCTGTGAAAATTTGAACCCAAAATTCCAAGGCAATCTAGAGTTGTACTCGATTGAAGATCGGAAAACGGGGGAGAAAGTAGTCACAGAAGTAAGTGCAAGTATGTATGTGAGCCGTGTGGTTTCCGTCCAGCACTGCACTATCTGGTGCATACATGGCGATACAGGATGTGTGCATGCATGCAGTGTGCACGCATGCCGTGCGCGCCTCCTTGCACAAGTCACACGTTTTCACCGTCACTGCTTCTACAGTGTGCGCGCAGTTCACTCGATTTTTTTCGTCTACCACCAGGAAATCGCCGTGGGCTGGTTTCTGTGATCATCTTCCTCCTACCGTGATAAAGCGCGAGCCTCAATGTTCTAGAATCCTCTTGGTTTAGGCTAATTCGAGGCCGCTGAACACGAAAATCGGGTGTTCCGTACGGATCTGGTCGAAATTAGTACTTCGAAGTGCATCCGCGCCAAGCGCGGAGGCATTATTTTTGGAAGCATGGCATGTGTGGCACCATTGGAAAGGTAATGACCTCAGCTGCCTAGAAATAGCATCGACAAGGCCGAAAAGGCCGCGGGAGAAGATACTCGGGCCTCGAACTGCATCTGGAACTGCAGTCACGAGGCGCCCATTCACTTTGTACAGGCGAGCTGTGACTGCACTTTTCGCTTTTCAGTGACCGGAACTGAACTCCCTAATATACACCTGGATTTAGTGTTGGCAAACGAATACATTTTTAAGGATTCGCAAACTCCATTGCAGCAATTTACACGTTGCTTTTTCAGTCCAAACACTCATACAAGGTCTCTCTGCTGCAAAAGTCACTTTAGGTTCACCACATTTTCAGGCACAGCCCAGGGCCGTTATTGGCGAGATTGACTGTACAGTGTATACGCGCCGAAGTCGCAACTTCTAAGTTCGTAGTGTATAAGCAGTTTGTATATAGTGTCGATATTAAATCGGTCCATCTGACTCACCTCATTGTCTAGCTGCTTGGGACTGAGATCTGCCAGTCGATGGACAGCATTGACTAGATCTTCAAACTCGCCAACATCAGTACAGACCTGGAATAAGACAAAGGAAGCAAATAAGACCAAACATTAGTTCAGATCCTCTGAACTGCAACTCTTCCCTCAGATCCTCTGAACTGCAACTCTGCCCTGAGAACATACACGTGCCACATCAGCCGCTTGACGAACTGTATCTCCTTCATCTACCTTCCTCTCTCCTGCTGGTCTGGACAGAATTCAATGAGATATCTGCACTTAGCAATCATGCAGATTTAGAGACACTAAAAAAGCAAGAGGTACACAGTGTGTATGTGTGTCAGCCAACAAGTTATCGGCCACGTGATCAGATCATGATCACAGTGGGACTCACTGGAGCTGGCAGTGTGGCCCATAAAGCTAGCTGCAGTCGTTAGCCAGGTAGGAACGGCCTAATTGCTACAGCTTCACCATACAATAGCATTAAGACTGAACTGCAAAGCACATACCAGCATGAAATTGTGCCAGATTTGCCACTTCTCAAAGTTGCATCTCAGTGCCTCCTGGAGAGTCTTGTGTGCCTTGGGTCTGTGCACAGAAGAGGATTATAGTCATCAGCAACTCCCAAGGAATGCAACACAACAAAATGATCTATACATATATTTACGAATCAAGGGAAGCAGTGTGAACGACACTGGGAACAAGTAAACAAACCCAATACAATAATGCCATACACTGCAAAATTCCCTGACCGGTCAAATTCCCTGCACGTACAGCCTCTATTCAAGAATTCTCAAATCAGACTTGCATCCTAACCATCTAAGTTATTAACCATGTACTAGTAGCAGTAAGTCAACATAAATAAAGAGTTGGTGAACAAGCCATTGGTTAGCCACTCGCATTGTAAAATAAAATCCATTTTTAGACCAAGAAAAAAAAGAGGATTCTAATCCAGGTAGACACTTGGCTAATGCGACACTGAGCCAACCATCCTGGTCTTGTACTTTGAAGCATACAACAATGGCATATGCACAATAGAATGCAAATGAACAAATGCTTGAACAAGACACAACAGGGCTCTTACTTCTGTTTCATGCGAATGTGAACACTGGCTAAGTTCGTCCATGCCTCGTAGTTCTAGCAGAAAACAGGCAGCACACAAATAAGACCATGATTCCAAGGCAACGACGCACCAGTGGAGGTAACCACGGTTGCTCAAATGATATTTCCTAAAGCGCCATACACTGCACTAAATCGGATCATATTCTTTGCATTGTTAGTCCAGACAGCAATTTCCATTCTCTGCTACTATTTTTTGTTACTGGACGATAGCACAGAAGTGCATGAAACAAGTTATAACACCTGCAAGCTTTGGGCTCAACTTAGCTGTTGGAACCCGGCCATTATTAGCACAGTGGCCACCGGAAAACCTCCATGGAAGTAAGTAATCCTTAACAGTGCGACAGTGCTAGTTCTCAATCTAACACAACCATACACACTACGTAAGTTTGGGTACATGTAGGTGCAGAGTACCTGGATCTTTCAAACTGCAAACGACTGCATGCGCATCAACCAGGAAGACTGCGCACATCACACCACTTACATCAAACTCCAACGTGACAGAACGGTGGAGAGCCGAAGCGGCTAGCGGCAGATCATCAGTACTCATTGCTGCACAACCCAAACTGAACCAGAGAGTTTCCTGAAGAAAAAATGAGAGTGCAGATGAAACACGCTGTTCATACATTATTACTAAAGTCTATCAACAGTCCTCATAGTCATGACTTTCCATATCACTACACAAATGAACTGGAGGGGGGGGGGGGGGGGGGCAGGTGCTGGCTTTCAAATGGGCCCATGCCCTGCAGGCGAAAACTGTAGGGACGAACACGTTCGTTTATAGGAACTTGAAATGGCCGACTAGAATGTTGTGGAAATCTGGCACCACTAGTTCAAGGAAATTCAGATTGGAGACTCCTGACTACTGGACCAGCCAGCAGACACTTCTCAAAAGTGGACACAATAAGCAGCCGACCAGGGATAAACAACTGATCCTTGGTTTTCTTCTTCAACAACGCATTCATTCTTACACGTTTCTGCAAGTACACAACTACGCACTTTAGCAAATACGATGTCACCAATTCGGAGTTACTGAAATAGGACGACAAGTTACTTCATGGTTGGAAATGCTAGTAAGCAATTCCAAGTCACTGCAATAGCCTGCCAATTTCAATCCCAACAAAGCAAAGAAGAACGCAGTGTACATCATACTTGCAAACAGTTGACACTCAGCGACAGCTTCAGGTGCTCAACGCACTCCTCGAACTGGACAAAATCAAACACATACACAAGAAACACAACACAAAAGTCACTGACATGGCCTAGCAATCTGGTACAAAGCTGTATAGAGCTGAAGAAGAAGAAATCAAATGGCAAATACAGCTAGCACATCCTACCAACAATGCTAGGTACAACAAGGAAAATACCCAGATTCGTTTCCTTCATTGAAATAAGACTTGGGCCAAGTAAGGACTGCTGAGCTTCCCAAGCGTTCTCGTAATACTTTGTGGCACTAACGCCAAGTAATCAGCCTGATTTCAGAGACAACATATGAAGATATCACGTGACACAGCAGCAGCAAAGCCCACACCCTACCTTGCCCTGCCGTAGGTACATGAGACCGAGCGAGCGCTGTGCACGGGCACTGCGATGCGATGACAGTTCCCAGGCCTTCAGATAATGCTCGGGGTCCTGAGTAAAGAACACATGCACAAACATACACAGTACACACATGTACACAGAACGTTACAATGGAGGGGAAAGGCTGTGTAGCTGTAACTTCAAGTTTCACGCATTTCAGCGATCATCAGACAGCGGCATTCGGCATTCACTACTGAATTCTCTATGAGCGGGCCTAGATACTTGGTGCTAGTGTGGAAGTTCATGCGTATGTGTGAAGTGTAGATGTGGCAATGGGACAGTGCACATATGTGTATGGACTTGCAACGAGGTTCAACCAGATTAGATTGCTATACTGAGGCTGCGTTTACACGACAACGATTGAAAACGATTTCCGTTTACACGACAACGAAGTAGGACCTAAACGGAACGAAATCGTTGCGTTTACTACTATCGTTTACACGACAACGCCCGAAAACGATACCTAAACGGAACGAAATGGAAACGCACTTAAAAGTGTTTTGAAACGTTTTCAAAACGTTTTCATTCTCGTGTAAACGGTGAAAACAGTGAAAACGATTGGAAACGGAGCGCGGTCATGGAAACCATTGCGCGCGGGACTATATTTCGCGGGAAATACCTCACCTTTGCGACCACCAGCACGTACCAACTCCAACTAACGTGTTACTTCCCGCCCTTGCCCAAAGCCAGCACGTGCTAACTCCAGCCTGATCACCCGTTTTCCGTTTTCGTGTAAACGGTTCAAAACGATTTGCCGTCCTCGTGTAAACGGTTTGAAAACGATTCGAGGCCAGCCCGTTTTCGTTCCGTTTCGTTCCGTTTCGTCTCCGTGTAAACGCAGCCTGAATTCTGTACGGGCACTAGGCCTAACGGGCACCCTGTCTGATTCTTCTTGATAGGCTCAGTACATGACTGTACTCCGTGTCAGCTCGTAAGGGACACGGTCGTACGGGACACAGTCGTAAGGGATACAGTCGGTACAAACGAATACGACCAGTACATGTACAACACAAATTCCAACGAGAACAGTTGATTTCACTGACGTATACTAGCAATGCATGGAGACAATGCTGAGAAGATGGCGCCGAGCTGCAACACGTACCTTTGTCAAGTCACCCAGACTGCACCAGAGTGCTGGCGTTTCCTGAACGTCCAGACGCTCACGCACCAAGCGCTCGGCCTACAAGCACATGACATGTTCGCACACAGCAGGCGCACACGCACACACCCAAAATAGGCAATGCAGAGTCATTCATGCCTTGTCCACAGTTGGTAACAAGCCACTATGGCTAGGTGAAGGCCAGAACAAAGGCAATACACTACAGTATTCTCAATTTCAAGCAATGAAAGAGTTTCACTTGTCTGCAGCACTCTAGACAGTTCATATACCGGTAGTACATGTGCCACAGCAGTAACACACCCACGCACACCCACGCATTGGCAAACTTACATCACCATGTCGACCCAGTATGACCAGGCACTCAATGACATCATCCCACATTTCTAAATGAGTGAAAATGTCCAGAGCGCTCTTCACCACACCCAGGCGTATCAGTTGCTTGGCCAAGTCTCGCTGCGGCGGAACAGAAAGAGAAAGAGCAAGCAGAGCTGAACATCATCAAGTCATGACAATCCATGGCAATCATTGATTAGTAAACACCAGGCAAGCTAAGGGTGCAGTCCTCTCACCAGCTACAATGTACATGTACTGCATACCCATGCACGTTCGCCAGGCATTTAACTTAGGCAAGGCATCTTGCAAACAATTTGGCGACCATGGTGAATTACTCTGCTAACCCTTTTAAAAGGTTGTGTTATGCTAGTACATGCATCCGTATGTGCAAAAGTGCTACCTGCAACGGTGAGATGCGGCTAGACTAGCAGATTAAGATCAAGGGAAAGCAAACATGAAATCAACAAACCTCAACCATCCAGCGCGGTGGTAGGTTAGAACAGTGGAAGAGACGAAGGCGATCACCAGCCTAAAGCAACATGAAGTCAACAAGAGCACAAGAACCCTAGCACAAGATAACCAAACCCGAGCATACCGTACACTGCACTACTCGTACAGCTGTAGTTGGCACCCTACCACTAGAGAGTGGAGACCCTGACTAGCATCGCCTAAATTGGTTATAACACTGCAAAAGAGCAATACATAAAGCAACGCCATGTACATGTGTAAAGGAAGGCGCCCCAACCTGTTTGCAATTCGACTTCTAACATTCAACAACAATGACGGCGATGACAACAACAATCACTTGTCTTCAGTTCATGCACTCGTACACACGCACATGCAGGCATGCACAAACAACAAACAAGCACATATGCACCACATACAGGTTCAGTACAGTGTGTTCCCAGACTCTGAGCACGGCAATAAGTATAAAGAGACAGAGAGAACTCTGGCAACAGGTAGCCATTACCAGTGTGTGCAATGTTAAATCATGCAATGATAACCTTACCGAAGGGGCACTTTTGGAGAAGTCATCCACAATATCCTAGACGGTGCAAAGAAATAGAGACACAAGATTATCACAACACCAAAGCAGCAAATGATAAAGCAACAACAGCACAACCATTGTATGAGAGAGCTAATCTGCAACTGCACAGACAGACAGGCATACAGGGGAGCAGGTCCGAGATATGCACATACTACTTGTAGTAACAGAGAAGAAATCGCTAAGGAGATCGGGAAATCCCTGGAGGCTACCAGCATACCTGCAGCTGCGTCATGGTACGCTCCATGCGCCGTGTGCTCTCCGCCTCCGCCTTGCATCGAAGGAGCAGAGTACGCGACTGAATACTCCAGGACTGGGGCTGGCAGAGAATCCGCTACAGTGGACAAACGTATCAAAAGCACAAACATGACAAACGGCATGAAATGCGACAACTAGTCACCACACAGTCAGAAAATATGCAGCAATGCCCAGCTGAAAGTGAACGGTACATTCATGGTTACAGCCGAGATGTTCAAGGAGTTGAGATACCTAAATACTTAGTGCACATAGGGTACAGTGGAAAAATCAGTCTGTCTCTACCCTGAGAGCTTCTAGCTATGATGTAATCATGTGGAGGATATGCTCAACAGCGCAACAGTGGGCTATATTGGACAAAGAATGTGATGTCCCTTGGCACCTCGGTGGGAGCCTGGTGCATGAATGCTCGGCGCAAGGTTGCAGTGGTACACGTAGGCACACACGGCACAGATTTACTCGTCGATGTGATCAGATGTATAGTGTGATACGGCTCTCCTGCAGTGCGGAGCACTCACACTGAGCACTTTAACCTGTGGTCAAGGTTACACCGGGGAAAAGAGTAAACATGCTGCTGTACATGCATAGCAACTCTCCAACATGTCTGGAAATCTACAAGGTGAAAAGAACAAGACATAATCCACCTTTTTTTTCACATCTTCAAAAGTGGAAAAGAAACGAAGAGAATACATGCGGGAGAGGGCTATGTGCAGAGATCTACCCAGCGACACTTTCAAACATCATTCCCAATTGTTGAATGAATGAATGACCTAGCAATTTGTGAGGTACAATTGCACGCACCTCTACGAATGCCATGGTTTCCTCTCTGCTTAGTCCATCCACAGGACGAACCTTCTGTGTCTCCAAGCTGTGCACAGGAAAAGGAAGAGGACATGTCAAGACGAGCGTGATCCATCCGCTGAACAACCAGCGGGGAGAACGGCAACGCGGGACAAACAAGCTAACAGCGATCTGTGTGGCACCATTCACTGTGTTACTCTGATACCAGGTCCGAAACAGTACCCTTCGGTCAGTGAAATGCAGGCCAGCTGCGGGGGATTTCACAAATGCTTACACAAGAAAGTGTGATCCTGGACAGTGCAACTTACCACATGGCCAGAACTGTACACAGCTGCAAGCCGTTGAGAGACTGATTCGGAACTGGCTCCGTGAACTCAATGTGATCCAGCACCGTGTCATCACCCAGCTTCACGTCCTATACACGTGGGTAGAAGCACAGCAAGAGCAGCACAACTATAGAGGTTCTGTGAATAACATCATCATGTGCGCCATGCGTATTCGGCGGCAAACTAGTGCTAGAATTTGTAGTCGTATTGAGTGGCAAACCAGTGCTACTTGTAGTTCGTATTGAGTGGAAAACCAGTGCTTGTGCAGTTGTGGTGGGTTTGCCACTCCATACAAATCACCTCAAATGATGACAAAATCACATAACCTTTATACAAGGGACAAACAGCGTGAAGAGCAGGTATCTACCAACTCACTCAAAAACACCGTCCAAAGAAACCAGCACACATCAATCTCCGGGTCCTTGCACGCACACATACTGGTATTCATACATACCCGGACAACGGCTGGCTCTGCTTCTGACGGCGTAGCAGTAGAGCTCTGGCCACCGGTGCTTTCTCCCTCGGTCACAGTCTGGACATTGAGCATCAACTGAGCAGTGGTAAAATCCTGGAAACGTGTCCTCTTGCCGAGTGCACCTTCACGTGCGAGAAGAAAATGCAATAGCGCACAGAAAACAAGCATGTACTGCACTTCAGAATACAATATACAGAGAGCTGCATCAGTCTTTGGACATGCATTGGCACAGGCCGCGGAGACTAATAAATATTTCAAAATTGACAGTGTGCAGATATTGCACCATCTCTGCAAGGTAGTAGTAGCCATCGTACAAGTGTCAGAATGTGAAGACAACAGCTACTTCAAGTAAATAAATACAGATACAGCACAGCACCAAACACAGAGAGTCGTCCTTGGGGTGGTCCCGTAAAGCACAGAGCATACACGATGCAGTATGTGTACAGTATGTGCACAGTAGTCACAGTAGGATGGGTAATTTGTACCTGTCAATCCCACTGACTGCAGCTTGGCATACTTCATAGCTGATTCCAGATGATCCTGTCAGTGCACATCACATGCAGTCGCACACACACACACTTGAAGTGCATACTTGGCAGTACAGTGCCATGCAAGGTATTGATTAAGTTGATACAACATACTCCATGAAGAAAAACAAACAATAATAATATTATATAAACGCAAAGAAAAAAGTCGACTACAGGGACCCTTTTGAAAGAGGCCTAACTTCAGGCTCTTCACAAGCAGCATATTTTCGAAAGTTTTCCCACGAGTACGTGTACAATTTCATTCCTTTTCATCAGCTGGAGTACAGGGAAAATAGTAGTAGAGTAGCCAGAAACAACAACGTTTAAAATGTGTGTGACCCCACACACATAGAAAGAATGACAAAAAGGTGCAAGTGTGACGAAACCCAACAAGCGCGCACTGTGGTGTGTGACAACAACGGATGATCAGCGGGCATAACCAACCGTATATAGTCACACACAGAAGATAGTGTCTTGCTACTGGGCATGCCCGAGGTGTTGCCCAGCACCCGGCGCTAAAGGACTCAAGTAGCTGGTGAGATTTCATTGAGCAGCATGGTAGATGTACACCCACAGCAAGCCTACTCCCTGTGCTTAATTTTAAGTCACAGGATGCATGCAGCCCGAGTGGTGGTCCGGATCACATGCACTGTACTGGCCACACGTACAGCCAAACCTGTGTTTAGCGACCAGTCCCCTCGCGTTGCACAGAAAAGAAGTCTTTATAAACAGGTCAAAATGTGTGTTAAAGCATGGTTAAGTGTCTGACATGACCGGTCTCTACACACAGGTGATCTCTCGTTGCAGTGGTTGCCACACACAGGTTTACTGTACAAAGACGTGGGATCTACACAGAGTACGCTACAAGTGAGGCAGGTACCATACTGAAGTACATACATGAGCGGCTGTCAGCTGTGAGTACAGTAGACAACTCTGCGTCAGCTCCAGATGTAGCAGACACTTCAGATCACTGCAGGGAACGAGCAGAGGCAGAGGATCATCAAACCGTCATCAGCAACCGTGCTGAGCCAATAGGCATGAGAAAGCAAGTCAGGGCCTGATTTCGAGCAGTGTATGCTCAATAATTCATGGTGTAACTTACACATCTGAATCCAGCAGTGGTGCAATAGGACACCCCGAGCCACATACTGTAACATAGGCAAACAACAAGGAACACAAACCAAACGGATATTGTATTAGCCCATACAGCTAACACATACTATGGCAATGGCCATGCAAGCACCCTCTTGACCATGCCCCGCGCACAGATATTCAAATCATTCAGCTAGATTAACCTCCCGTCTTCAACACACCCTCTATTCAGATCTACTGGAGAGTTGAGGTACTACCACAGTAGCCACATAGACTATACTGAAAAGTATAAGTAGAAAATAAACATCAAAAGCATTACATGTAGTACAAATAACTGTACAATGCATGGATCTCCATTTGTATCCACTAGAATGCAGTCCACTCCACTAGAATGCAGTCTGCTTACTTGCACTTCAAGCTACCAGGTAAAGTAGGATAAAACTTACACCGATCTCTGATGACATTGATCCTATCCCAAACATAAGGCAGTTTGTCAGTGAGCGTCTGTTGCCAGATCATCAGACATCTCAGAGTCCACCACTGGGTCACCTATAACAGAAAAAGAAGTCCCCGAGTAAGCAAATGTTGTATAAAGAGGGCATGTGCGTGTGTGTATGTGTGTGCGTGTGTGTGTGTGTGTGTGTGTGTGTGTGTGTGTGTGTGTGTGTGTGTGTGTGTGTGCGTGTTCATGTGCTTGACTTGGTCTTGGGGGTTGTGCATTCATTAATTATTACCAAAATAAAACCCAAAAACATGCCCACCCAAAAACCAAATGATTTGAAAAAAAAACCCAATATGTAGCTATCAGCATACCGGTACTCCACAATTCATAATCAATAGATACACATCAGTAAACAGGTAAAATGCACAGCTCAATGGCACATACCGGATTCTCCAACTTGTCGCTGTTGTCACAGAGAATGCAGCGAGCCATCCACAGCAGCTCGGGCGCCACACACAACGAGTAGCATTCCTGCAGTACAATATCGAGTCGTAACACAAGCATATGATGCACTCAACAACCTATTATGTACACATGCGCATGCACAGGGGTGCTTCTGCCGGAATGGGGAGGAGTAACCGAGATGGTCTACTCAGCATGCCAGTGCCCAGGTGGAGCACCACCATCTACGTGCAAGCATGTTGGTGGTGTGCGCCATGGTCTTGACGACTACCGCAAGACACGCAGATTCACATCTAGCACAAGTTAACTGTGCAAATCGAACGCTCCCCCGACAAAGAAGCTTGTAACTGAGATGCTGTTTGACAAGTGCGCCTCCTCTGCTCCTACCCAGAGTACACAGCTGAAGCGGAGGGACTACGATCCCCGTCCACGCAGCAAACGAGCCGCAGATCCACATTTAGAAGCCGTCAAGCTGAAGCAACTGCTGGACATGGCGCATGCAGGCACCGTCAACAATGCCAATGTCAAGCCCGTCCTGCTGGAGATACTGATGCAGATAGATCTGCGCCCCTTTCAGTATCAGCAACCGTTGTGCTATGGCCAGTAGTCACGGCCTTGCCAAGAGCGGCGATTTTGACCTCAGGATCCCTGACACCGGCCGACTGCTTTCCAGTCATTGCCCTATCGAATCGGTAAATCAATGAATGCCCTGCAGTACCGCACAAAGGAGCAAAGTGTGTGTGATCTGGAGCATCGCTTTGGCTGGTTGACCAGCTAGGCTTTTGGAAACATCCTGAAATGCCGTCCACAGAATCGCGGGGCACTGGCTGATCGGTTGCTGGCAAAGACAGGAAGCCTTGCCAATGTTCCTGCTGTCAAATGGGGCATCGAGCATGAGGCTATTGCTAGGGACATGTACTTAAAGTGCGGTTTTATACTCCGGAAAATACGATAGGTAGATAAGTACCTGCACACATATCCATCCCCGGACTGGCAGAGTGACATACATGTACACAGTCAACACACAAACTAATAAAAGCCATGCCTATGACTACAACTACTCTACAAGTACCTAATCCCACTCACCTCGCCATTCTCACCAAGCTGAGTTAGGGCAGCACTGTGAACGGAAGACGCCTGAGCACGAAAAGATGAACACACCACTTTGCAATGTAGGAAATAGTAGGAACGAAGTCAAAGGAAGGATGTTAATAAAAGTACATGCTGCTTTCTCCCGTCTCTGACAGTCATCGGGGTAAGATAAATATCCGAGAAGAGCTGTTAGTACATCTTCATACTTAGCCAATACTGTAACCACAAAATCCATGGCAGGCAAGGCATACACAATCATTTCTAAAGACTTACCACATCAGCCGGCAACTGAAGTATCTCTGACACCTGTTTGGAAAACGGAGGTCCAGTCCAGTTACACTGGATGAAAGCGTGCAGTATGGAAATTCCACTGACCAAGAGAACAACCCGCTTGCACTCCTCTGTACGCTCCAAAACGGCACTGACATTGGCTTTCAGGTCCTCCAGGGGATCTAGCAAAGACATACGAGGTGCGCAAATGAGCCAACAGAGAACGCACTACTCTCTAATAACTGGAATGCATTGTAGAGTGCAGTACGTTTGTATTCATTAGAAAGGGTCAGGGAATTCTTACGTATAGTCAACACTATACAGTTTTCATTCTTAGTGACAAGACATCACACTTGACATTCTCTCACCATGGCAGAGATGCGCCGAGGAAAACACACTAGCAATGCAGTCAGAGATAGCACAGGAGAGTGTACTAGTGGATATGCAGTGTGCACCCAAACTGGGCTCCTTGCACTCAACTTGATAAGGCTACATCAGGTGCAAGAAAGGGGTGTGTACACGCACAATATAATTATCTAGAAGGGAGAAGTACATCATACCTGTGCTGTTAGGTGACAGCTTGAACAGGTCAAGGATAATCTGGCTGGACAGCGCACCACTATAGTCACCGGAGAGTACTGAGCTGCACAGCGACCACTCATCTGTTGGGATAAGAACCATCACAGAGACATATGTGACACACATCGCGTGCGCGCGCGCGCGCACACACACACACACACACACACACACAAACACAGAGCATATGCAGATGGTGGCACTAGTATTGCAAAATGCTGCGAGAGCGCCCCGTCTCTCCCAAGCCCCCGTTCCTTGCCTAGGAAAGAGATCATAATATCACTGTATGAGCATGTGGTGTCAAACTGAAATGCAGGAGCTGCTTGTAAGTGTACTCATTTCACACCCATTCACCATTCGCAAGTGTTGAGGATCAATCCCTACAGTGCGAGCAAAGCATATACCACATGGGAGTACGACCAGACTGGCCCTGGAGTTGTGTTGTACAACACATAGAGAGATCCATCACACTCGCTGAAACGACGACATCGGCACCCGACGAAGACACTCACTCCACCCGCGACCCTGAGATTACGCTCCGCCGTCTTTTACCCCGCACGCACCACAGCCCACTCTGCCAAGCGCCTCGTGTTCATACACAAGCGGAGCAATCACTGACATCACTGCCACTGTTTTGAAGAAGAATGAAGAAAACTTATAACTGCAAGTGCCCAGACTGTGTTCATGCGCGAAGAAACAAACTGATCTTCAAAATGACACCAGTCACTCGAATGTGCAATGTGGACATCAAGCATGCAATACAGGACTTGCTACACCTAGCATGTGCTCGTAAGCGGGCTACACCGGCTTGATACATGACCTCGCGGCCAATGTCGTCCAGGTGACGTACCAGCCGGTGTTGCTCTTGCACTGTTCCATACTCAGACAGTTAAACCATACATCCTGAGTGAATGCAGGGTTTGAGCAAGGACCTGAGAACATCTAATGTAGCAAGTCATGTGTCACTTTGATCGTTGAGGCCTTTGACTAACTTCTGCCCGCGGCTTCCTTCTCATAGTTCAATAATATACTATGTGTAGTGACATAAATTTCCAACAATATTCCCACTTCCTTCATCATTGCCTGCACGACAAATGGAAAGCAATTATAGTGGAGATCTATCCTGTAGTTTAGCTGCCGAATAGGTCTAAACATACTGTGCTGTGTGTATGGCAGGCTAAAGAGATATCCTACGATCAAAGCTATTGTAAAGAGCACCGTGAATCTGATGCTTCCAGATCAATTCGTATCTCCAAAACCTCTGAATTCTCATTCAAACATGTTCGCTCACCTTCCGTCAATTCACTCCGGACATCATCTCCAAAACTCTCTGCTTGTTCTCGAAGCAGTAGCAGAGGAAGCCGATCCATCGCTCAGAGATTTAGCTGACGGCCAGACTAGCTTTAGAACACCCAGCTTCTTTCAAAAATACTTCCCCTTTACCAGTGTTTACTGCATTCGAATTTCAAGTCCTAACTCGTGAATCATGCATGAACGGTGAACCATAGAGTAATGTGCATGTTGGATGCGTTCGCTTCGCGTTCAAACACTGCAAAACATTCACAAAAGCTCACAGAATGCGGAGGTAAAGCGTGATTTCAGAAGCCATTATCACCAAGGTTACAGCGATGTAGTGAGCTGGGATCGACTCAGTAGACGATCCACGCACTGTATGATGTCCAGCACCGTGTAGATCCAGAATCTCCTGTACGAAGTAACAGAAACCGAATCCGAACAGAAAGCTCATGCTGCACTCAGCCCACGAGCCGCGAACTTCTGGACTCTACTTATGTAGTCTAGACAGACTAGTGTCCAAAAGAGAACCCCTTTGATCATGATGATGCCTCCTACAGCAAGAGTACATAACGGTAAACCTTTATGTACTCTTGCTCCTAGTCCTAGCAAGAGTACATAACCCCCTGCCTGGGGGTTATGGACTCTTGGTCCTAGTTATAGCAGAAACCCCTCGTCGAAAGCTCGAATTGCGATTCACATGATATCAAGAGTACATAAAGGTTTATGTACTCTTGATGACATTGATAGGCCATTCATGTCGACCCAAAGCAGTCCTGCTCAAGCCCTACTGGCAGACTACGTCACCAGGTCTAAAATGGCATGATCCACTCAAATGATATTGTGCGATACACTGGTCGGTGCCACTGCCGTGTGCATGTGCTGGGACTCGGCAACAGGGAATGACTGGTAGAGGGAGCTACCGATTTACATGCAGACAGGACTCAAGGTTCCAACATGTCAAGAAGAGCCAGGAGAGATCCGCAATAGTGCAGCATAAAGGAAAATAGAAAAAATACGCCACCATACGATCACGAACTTAGAAGTTGCGACTTCGGCGGTATTAGTCATGAAGTTGATTGTTCCAACTAGGAACACACGCTTCTTGCCGAACTTGACACTTGACTGACTCACGACGATACGATCACTATCATAAAATTCTAAAATAATCCTATTCGTCAAGCAAACTAAAAAAAGAGAGGAACCAGCCTCACCATCATGTAAAAGTTGGAGGGATGCCAGCATCTCAAAAATGAAAGAAAAAAAGAAACCCAAAAATCCCCCAGAATGATGTTTTATGACTATTTCGTGCCACTGGTGATCTAGGCCCAAAAACAAGGCGATATGAGTAAAGGATAATATTTTCAACTTTCAAGCAAAACCTGCCATGCTTCAATACAAGTCTGTTTTTTTTTGTGATGGCGATTATAGAACATACCATGTCATGAAGTATATTTCTGTTCCACTTGTTCCTCCTAGAGTGAATGATATTACGCTTGCAGAGACTTTATCTATACACCCAGCAGCAATTCTTGGTTAAATAAAATACGGCATAACTGAAATGCACAAAGGAAAACTAGAAAATAGCGATAGATCATCCAGCCCCACTGCGAATAAGCCCGCACTGTGTGGCTAGTGTAAGGCTGCTATGAGCGATGTCACTGCTTAGCTGCCAGCCATATCCAGTGATGGGCTGCGAACTTCAAACACAATTCCCAGATGATCAGGTGGAATGGAAATTGCTTTGAACAAAACACCCTTGTAGCTTGAATATCAATATCCACACCGGTACGTGGAATTGGGAAAGCGCAGCCTCACTCGACACCAGACTCAGAGTCCTCTCCTGAGCTAAGGAAGATTCCTGATGAGTCAAGCATATCACATGACAGGACACTGTCATTGCCACTTGCCTGCTGCATATCACCGGGGTTGCCGGGCAAGGCTGGGAGAGCAAGGCCGTATGCACCGTCCTGCATGGCATATGGTGCTAGGAGGAACGTGTCGCGCAGTGGGGCAGCAATCTGCAGTGCAGCGCTAGTCTGATGGCGCCGGTAGAAGACAGGACAGTCCAGAGACGAGCATGCGCTAGTGTGGTGCTGACGTCGGCAACATGACTTGCAAATCTACCAAACGAACAAACACACAGCAAGAGAGGCACATTATGTTGAGTGGCTATCTCATTAAAGCCCCCTATTCGGTTGTTGCTGCTGTTGCTGTATATCAATTCGCAGAATCAAACGGGTAGCAAGCCCAATTACATGAGAGCGTGTGATGGAAGAAGGTCCCAGTACAGAGTCTGTCTTGCATGTGAGACCATGGTTCGTGGCCAGAGTCATGCATGTATGGGATGGTTATGTGGCAAAGGATGGCTGGATAAGTACCAGGATTGCCAACACCACGGCTATGACACAGAGTGCTTGCTAAACGGAAATCCCCTTACTTCTTCCAATCGGCTAAGGCTGGACTCGAGTCGGTTGAGTCGTTGTGCCAGAATCGCCACCGTCTGCTCTCGGTTGTCTCTACACTTAGTGCAAACACCTCTTCTGGTCATTGCTTGACAGATAGGACAATGTAACGATGAGAAGAACTCAGCCAAATTGCCCTGCAGAACAGCAGTGAACAAAACAAACAGAAGAATATAGCAACCCAGGTGACTACAACAATGGAACACTACGAAATATTGCCACTTGATGACAGGGTCCACAACATCTTAGCCGAATAAATTTGTGCGAGTACATGCAATAACAAAAAGGCATTGCAGCACTGATTACCAACCTTTGCTGTAACTGCTGTTGACAGGAACATGGCATTAAGCCGAACAACATGAGGCATTTCTGAATACCTGCAGAAGCAAAAAAAAACAAGACTGCCCTCAGTCTAGAACCATTGTACTGGCTTTGATACAGAACACGAATACATAGCCTTCCTAAGTTTGGTGGGTCACTTATGCTTTACAGTGTGGACACTAAAGACTGCTGCAAACCAGTCCTGGAGGACAGCTTGACAGCTTGACTGGTTGATTTAGCTGTCGACTCCACTGCACCTGGTTATACGGTCACTCTTCCAAGATCAGAGCACACATAATCCAGAGCTCGTTTCGTTCTAAATATTAGAAAAATCCTTTCGAGAGACAAGAGAGTGTGCTTTCAGTGTGCTATGCTGGCACACAACCTATGCCTCTTGACCGCATCCACATGTACTTACTACTAGGTCAAATTGTGACGCCACATGCCGTTCGCCATAACTCTGGGAAAAGAAGAAAAACCTACCAAGAGAAGACATCAACTCCCAGCAGGTGGAAGACGCGGTTCAACGGCGGTAGAAGCTGCTTGGTGATGTAGTAGACGGCATTCAGGCGACATGAGCTGTCCTCCAGAACTTCAGCTGGCCTACGACAACAAAAAGGAAACACAGTGGATGAATAAGCATCGCCATTGGTGTCTATGCTCTCAATCACGAGTTGTACAAATTTAATGTACAAGTGATATCGCTACATAGCACGAGCAAAGAACATTGATGTCCGTAGATTGCACTTGCTTATCAAACTCATTGAGATTGCCACTGCCAGTTTTGCAAGGTGACATGATATTTATCAAGCACGTTCCATTGTGCATCCCAGCCAAACTGCTCTAAAAAGACTAAAATTACTTCAAAGAACTCTTATACTGACATGGCCAGACATCCATGCACTGAAAGAGAACAAGAGTTGGCCGACGAGAGATCTTGGAAGCTCAGGGTAGGGTCCGGCGGATTCTGCCGGCAGAAAAATTGGCAGAATTCGGTACATTTTCTGGTAAGTTTCATGCATGTTTGGTATGTGGATAAAGAAATGGAGGAGAATTCGAGGAATTGCCCGCCATAAGGTTTGTATGGTATAAGCCCCGCATTTGACATTTTATAAAAAGATGCAAACTCACTTGAACAGAGACACAACCAGGCAGAGGTACATGTATGGCAAAGCCACAACAACAGAGATGTGCAAGTACAGCTCCAAGACCATCTGATCAACTTGAATACTGCTTCTTAAAACAGTACATGCACTGGTAATACGCACCGCCTGACGAGCTGAATAAGAGGTTGTCCTGGAGTCCCGCACACAACAACGTATGGCACTCGCTCTGCTACCAGTGGTTCAGCACGCCGATCAACGGATAAAAGGCGTCTAATGGCAGAGAAAACACAAAAAAAGCAGCTGAGATGAGGTACTATCCATCAAAAAGATGTGCATGACCTTGTTAGGATTTTACATACGGAAGATGACTGTGACCGACAACTTGGACAAGATCAGATAGGCGGTGGTCGGTGGGTCACCTTTGCTGCACAACAACTGGCCACAGCAGCGGCAGCATGGTGACTACTAGTATAAATTATATAATCCCTGTACGGCGCGAAAGGAAATCTAACCCAACATCATGGTGGGCCTTGGTATGGAGCACGCCAGTATCTCCAAGGATTAGCTGAATTTCATTGTCATGATCTGGCCAGAAACTTTCTGAACACCCATCGTAGAATACTCAACAAGGAGACCATAAGAATTTCCCAACATCTCTGTTCAAAACAGTTCTTGCTCGAGTGATCCGACTAGTCACCCTTCTGCCACTGTTTCATGACTATGATCATGTAATCAGGGGCGTCGGAAGGTATTTTAGGGTGGCACGGTCAGTCATCTGAAGTACAGTTGACTTGTGGGGGAGGGATGGCGGAGGCGAACATTTTGGAAAATTAGAGTCCATATCAGTGTATTTTGATGATTCACGGGGTACCTGGGGCAAAAAGTGGTACGGTCAATACCGTAGTGACCGTACCGTGTCCGACGCCCCTGGTAATATACTAGTATTCTCAGCTAGCAATGTACTGTGCAGACCAAACAGTAGCAGCTGAAGCCATACTATCAAATAATCAAGACCAATGAACAGCACTGCATCATCTAATGGGTTGAAATATACAGTGCTGCTCAAGGAAATCCGATCGAGTGAGCCACCTTTGCACCCTGTTCCAGTGGAAATCCCAGTGGTCATAAGTCTAGGGGTGCACAGCGCCCGGCGCACACTTGACTCACTCGATCGGATTTCATTGAGCAGTACGCTACACGCCAGCACTGCCGCATTATCCTGAACATGCCGACAGAGGAGCAGAGCTGCACATGACATACCGCGTGATCTCCAGGCACGGCACACAGGCTGTGGGTTGGTAAGTTGCCATGCCACGGTATTCCTTGGCTATGATCAGGTCCTGCAGGTTGACCTTGCCCTGCAGCAGCTTGACACACTGTTGCTGGATGAACTGCTTGCACCGAGACACATCACGGGTGCTAAAGAGCAGCTTCAGACTACGTCCCAGAACCTAGGCAGGAGCACAGGCACACAAGCAATAGAGTATAAGACATATAACAGAGAGGTTCCAGGCTGTCCAAGAGAGTGCTCAATACTGAAAGGCAAAGCTAGTTCAAACAATAATAAGAGGGTGAAAAAGTGCTTTTACTCCGAGTTTCACGCACTAAGCGATCATATGCTTTCTGATGATAGCTTACTGCGTGAAACTCGGAGTAAAAACACTTTTTTCATCCTCTTATTTTAAATGCTAAAGCATTCTGATTATACAGTCATGCACCGGTACATGCATCGGTACATGTACCTTTATCATGACAAACTACTGAATTAGAATTAGAATCATCTGGGTTTGGTCTAAAAAGAGAAGGAAAGACAGTATCAAATACAGATGGATTCAAACTTTCAAAACACTGTGTATTGCTGAGATGCCCACTACCCCCCCTCCCCATCATCTGGATGTCACACGGCCGTATTGGCACATTGAATAGGAAAGACATCAGACTGCATTTCCACACCAAAGACACTGCGGTGAAAGCAGATTGGTCTGCACCGTAGAATCCTTCCCTCAATGCAACTGTGGCCGCACTGTACCTTGACAACAGCTGGACACCCGTCACGCCGCACCGTCTCTATACCCTTGGCCTCGAATTCCGGCTCCTTCTGATCCAGCGTTTCGTACTTGTACCCACAGTAGCGCTTCTTGGTTTGCAAGACACATGGGTAGTAAACCTGGACGAAAGGAGAATGTAGCAAACAAGAGTTGGAGACTGCGGACTGACTTTGTACTGTTGTGGTGATAAGCATGCAAACCATGGCAGCACGCTTTCCTCCCACCTGCAGATTCCTTGGGAAACTATGCTGCCTGGACAGATGAGCTGTTGTGATGCTGACATGCTCATCCCTCTCCAGCACGAATGATGCTGTCTACGCCAAAGTACTACAGGCAACTTTGCTAATAACGACTGCGGATATAACGACAATTCGCGAATAACGACAGAATTTCCATGCCCAGAGCAAAGTCCATTCTACCTGTATGCATATAATGAGACTTCGGGCATAACGACACTTCGCGAATAAGGACACTTTTCTGATGCCCGGCCAAGAGTCGTTATACGCAAAGTTGACTGTAGTATTCAGCGGTACCAGTGTCAATGTCTATTCTGAATTTCTGAACCACTTCCCTTTGTGTGCTGCATTCTGAATATTCTATTCCAGGGCACTAGATCTTGCCATAAAGGACCAAGCCCGCTGGTTCCAGACCGGTTGGCCAGGCTATGGACCATATGTTTAGTTACCGATGGGGGTAGTTACCGATGTATTTCACTGCTGCAGAAGGCCCAAGCATGATGGCCAGATGTGGCTATTGTGTGCTAATGTGTGAAAGGATAGGCTGCTGCTGGACAAATCAAAAACAGCTCCCGTTGGTCCAGGGGCAGGGAACTATAGCATATTCTTCAAACCTATCCTTTTGAGTTGCATTCTGCTTGACACCCTTTTACCTGAATGCCAGTATGTTGTAAAGGACTAGAAGGCTCATTCTAATGGCATGAGTCAAGCAGGCAGGACAACACAAGCACAGCACAAGCAGTGGTTCAACAAAGCTGACCTTTTCAAACTTCAACTTGACAGGCTTGGGGTTGTCGGCGGTTACAGCATCCACAATCTCCTTGCCGATCTCAAATGCCCGCTCCTTGCTGACACCGGGTACTTGGATAAACATGCTGAATGACCCCAACAAGAAGAGAACAAACAATAAGTTCAAAATCTGACCAGTACCAAACAACACAAAACAAAAACTGTCCAGTTTGGTACATGTGTTTCATGTGTAGGCAGTACTAGGCACATGCAAACATTTACAGTGTCATGTGATTTAATGTACGTGTGCATGCAAACATTACATGTACTGTGTCATGTGTAAACATCTTCGGCCTACCTGTCCGTGTCACCGTATACAACACGCCCGCCCCACTTGCTCGTACTCCGCACGAGCTGAATGGCCCGCTCCAGTGTCTCACGGCCCTTCCTCACAATGCTGTCTGCCACCTGAAAGCACAAACACGGCACGCCAAAGGCTAATGAGAAACGAAAGGCGAACTGCAGGTGACCAGGCGTCAAAGTGGCAATGCACTACTTCTTCTGGTTCAATACAACTGTCGCAGTTCTATGAGCAAATACATACAAACATGACAATTAAATGAACCAGAGGAAGTATATTTCAACACAACTGTGACAATACCCGTACTAGTATGTCAGTTTGAGCGCATAATATATGTGCAACTCCACATGCACACTGCAGGAGATTTCTTAGCTTACCTCTATGCATGGCATCCGGCCGGAAAAGTTTGCATTTGTGTACCCGTAGGTGACATTGGCTATCAGCTTGAGACCCAGCTGCCGATGGTCAAGCATGCGATGAACAGACTGTAAAGAACACAAGACAGTCAATGATACATTTCCATCAGTGATTGGGAAATAGGGAAGCTCAATGCAGCTCGGATCTATTTCGGTGGCAACTTCTTCCATGAGCCGGTATTGAGAGATTTTTTCCAGTGAAGCAAATGATCTGGCGTGATGGTAATAGCGATACGAGCACACGCATGCAAGCACGCACGCACACACACACGCACGCACACACACACACACACACACACACACACACACACACACACACACACACACACACACACACACAGCAGTGTGACCGCAATCACGGCAACTACAGACTTGCCTTGTCTGCCTTGCACTGCTTCATGGCTTTCTTCACCATAATGCGAGTGGAGAGGATTTCATCCAGCATCCTGAACAAAGGTGACATTCCCACAGCAAACAGAGAACACAAATCAAACGACTACTTTAAAGCATGCTAGATCTTGATCCGGCAGCCAATACAGAGGAAGGGCCAGATAGATAGAGACCAAACGAAGGAGGCTACCAAGCTGGACAGAATAGATCCAAGCGCAGTGAATACAGGTCAATGAGTACTCAGTCTCCAGACAGCTAGCTGCTTCAACCTTGCTATGTTTCATCAGCCGAGCTTAGAGTGACTTGCCAAACCGATCGCAATGAAGCCTAGTGAATAACAAAGCATTTTGTTGACCGGCTCAATGAATTTGTAACATGGAAATTGTGGGCACAAGTTATGCGATCGAGTCCACCAATTTCCATGTTACAATTTTTTTCCTTGGCTCACCATTTGGGCTCAATGAATAATTGAATATACTAGTACACGTCTCAGAGAGTACCTCTCAGGAGCAAGTACCAGGGGCATGGAGCAGCCGGACTTACAGGTTCGCATACACTTTGCATGCACTGTACGACGCGCACCATACATGTACAGCGTACTTACTGAGGCAAGATTCCCCGGCGGACGTGTTCCTTGACAAACACAATGCCGTTCGGTGAAATAGACACGTCGTCTTCCAGCTCCTTGAGCATATCGGCGGTGACCTCCAGCGTGGAGCAGCCAAACTTGATCCTGTCCACGCCGTCGTCGGAGTACTGTGCCAGGCGGCCCAGGCACGTGGAGTAACAGTAGTTGTGGGCGATCATCATGGACGGGTAGAGCGACTGGAAGTCCAGCACGATCACCGGGTCGGAGTAGAAGCGTGACTCCGGCTCCAGGATTAGCGGCACACACTCCGGCGCGTTCATCTTGGCCCGCTGCTGCACGCTGGGCGAGACGGCGACGTAATTGGCAGCCTTCGTCAGCCGCAGCATCATGGACTCCACGCGGAACTGCGAGCCACGGGTCAGCACCTCGTAAAACTGCAGGCCAAACAGACGTGCCATTTCGCTGGTACGTGCCACAAGGTCGAGTCGTCGAAGCAGCTGCATGGTGTAGTGGCAACGTTGCATGTAGAACTCAAGCACGTATGAACGCTGCATTACTGATCCTTGATCGAACCATCGAGTAAGTTGAGAGTGAGTAAAGTCTGCAATGCGGACATGGAGGATGTGGAACGCCACACTGGGTAGAGTATAGCTGGTCAAAGCTGCTTCGTGTCGCATCAAACGCCACACGTTGAGAATAATGCGGCCGGGAATGCGCAGCTCCGTCATCTTACGCGCATTGTATGCATTTGATGGATGCTCGGAATCATCTGCCTGCGGAGGAGCAGCTTTGGCTTCTTTAGTTTCCGTGATCCGAGAGAGTTGGGTCAGGAGAGGTATATGCAGGGCAGTTGCACGCTGCAGCAAGTAACCCCAAGAGCGCTTCTGAACCTCGAAGCCAAGCAGAAGATCCGGATCATACTTCTCCACGAGGAGAACTAGCTTTGCAAACAGATCTGCTTCGTCTCGCACCAGTTGGTGCTGGCCAATAGTCACTGCATAGCGAGAGAGCGGCACAGGATCGGGGGTGCTATCCACCATCAGCACACCAGTGGTTGTCTCACACCGTCCGCCGCCTAACTCCTGATCAATCATGTAGAACAGGGCACACACCATATCCTGATCGGGGTCCGGCATCAGCGAGCCGCGACTACGCACATGCACCTCTACATCCAGCAGAGTCAAGTGCTGAGACTCGTGGACACTGTGCGCCTCACCCAGATCAAGCATGCTAACTTCAAAACCATGCTCATTTGCCAGAGTCGGGCCATCAATCTGCGACTTAAGCCCAGAGGAACGCCGGCGCTTGGCTAGCGGAGTTCTCGTGAACACGCGGCTACTGGGTGAGGACTTTCCCTTGAACAGCAACAAGTTTGGTCGTTCAGCAGCGGGTGGTGGCGATGGATCTGTATCTTGTTCAGCAACATTGCTGTCTACTGGAGTGACAATTTCATCAGGAGCCAATGAAAAGCTTACAGAAGAACTTACTCGTTTGACCATACTTCGATTGCCGCTGCTCCGCAGAGCAGACCTGGGAGCCGGTGTGACCGGCGATGCTGTGGTGGATGTGTGGCAATCGACCTCTAGAGAACTCGGCATCTTGTCAGCACCAGCACTGCACTCAACCTCCCCGGAGCTCACTATAGATACATTAGAGACAGTGTTTATTATTGTATGAGAGATCTGCTCCGCCGTCAAACTGGCTCGCCGCAGAGTTTCTTGATCTTCTGAAGCGAGCGGGTTATGCTGATCACTTGGCGCCCCGGAGGCATCTGTACCTGTGTGCAGTGATCCTGTATGCCATGTAAGCTCATCTCCAGGTTCCGGTGAGCCGACTGCGGTCGACTGTGAGCCTTGCACATCAGAAAAAGCTGACTGGTTATTCTTTTCCAACTCACTCTCAGTGGCATCCAACATGGCAATCAGAGCGCTATCGTCCAGTCCATCCGATGATATGGAGGACTGGCGCTGCTGACTGGGAGTTGCACTGGATGCACCACTGCTTGGCATATCACTGGGTTCTTCCTGCTCATTACAAACGTCAGGCCGCAGTGTGCTGCTCTTGGATTGGCTCACAGTGGCCATGGAGTTGAGAGAACCACAATCTCTATCTTCTCCGCTCTCCATTTTCTCATCTTCTGTTGCCATTACTGTGTGACGATCTTCAGCTGTGTCACAACTGGCAGAAGGGATTGAAGACTCTCCTTTGCCAGCGCAACCCTCTGTGCTCACGGAAGTAGTTTGAGTCGGTGACTGAGAATCACGGAATACACTGCTCTCAGACACCAAAAAGCAGCCTCTCTGTGCGGCGGTGAGGTGGCTATCCGAATCCGACGCGGTTCTTGAAGACTCGGAGCTCATGGGCGGCAGACAGCTTTGGTATTCCGTGATGTGATCGGCGCTAGGAAGGATCTGAGTTGGAACCATAAAGCTGCTGTCAAGTTCACTACCAGAATTGCTGCCTGCACTAGCATGAGAGGATGTCGATAGGGTCTTGGTGATGTTAGCATTAGGAGATGGTGCTTCCCCATCCTGGCACATTGAACTTTCTGTGGTATTGGCACTATCTACGGACGATTCGGTCTTTTCACTTTCTGCAGGATCCTTTCCTGGAGTCTTTGACTCAACGCTGGCAACAGCTATAGGTGCTACCGGCTGAGGTTTCTGCGCTGAGCGTTGTTTCCTAGACCATGCGATGACCGCCTTGCGACTGGGTGGCTTCGTGGTCGGTGTGAGCCAGCAGGAGCGTGGTGGCAAAAGCTTCGCTCTCTCCTCCGCACACTGCGCCAGCGAGTCAGCATTCTGAATGTTCACCGAAGAAAGCTCGATCTTCGCGCCGAAGTGCGAGTAGACAAAATTATTTCTGTTGATGCGTGCCCGCCAGGTACTCAGACTAAACCAGGACTTCTTGGTGGATGTGATCTTTCGAGTGTTGAATGGCTCGATGCCAAGAGCACATGGCGCTGAAACACAGACCCTGGTTAAACCAACAGTCTTCGGTCCGGTGTAGTCTGATACGCTGCTGAACTCTGCATCTTGCTTAGTGCACAGCGGCAGATTGTGACTGGGCGCGCTGGCAATGATGTCTTGCCGGGTTGGTGGATTGCACGTCGGTGTCATGTATGCAGTCTCACCCAGCACCACCGGTGTCCATGTCTCAATGCGGGCTGCTTCGGCTGGATAGTCACTGGCGTCAGATAGAGCAACATCATCGTCGCACTGTTCTTCTTGCACTAGGGTATTATTCTGACTGCCAGGGCTACCCCTGGCCTCCATCTCCTCTGTTTCACTGGATGAGGAGAGCTCGATCACTGACAATGATGCGTCTTTCTTGACATGTTGTTCAATCGGAGCAGGATACTCAGGACTCATACCCGGTAGAAGATCACTGTCACAACAGTCACCGACCATCTCGTCCGATCCGGCCAAGATAGGTTCAAGCGCAAAGGCATCTAGCCGGTCCATTGCAGCACAGACAGGCTTCTCTACTATTTCACTAGTAGGATCACGCTGTGGGAAATCTAGTGAAGCAAACACATCGGTCGCCTCTCTAGAGAACGGTTTGTCCAGCTCAGCATCAGCCAACTCAGTACTTTCTACTTGGTGTTTGAAATGAAGTAGGGATGCCTTCGGAAACGAATCACCGCGCAAGCACTTTGCAGGTTTCTTCAGACGCTTTGCCGTGTTGGAGAGATTCTTCGACACCCGTGAAGAAAACAGAATCGCCTCAAGGTTCTCATCATTAGTTTTATCACCATTCCCGGCCATTACAATTGTACCATCGTCACTTGCACTGTGTGAACCGTCAGCCTCAAGCACAAATTCCGAACACTCGGCGTCCTGGCTTTCCATTTGGCCGTCATCGATCGGCAGTGTGGTGTCGAGTGTGGCCGTCATCGATCGGCAGTGTGGTGTCGAGTGCGGTAGAAGCAGCAGATTCACCGGCAGCGGGCACGCGTTTGGCTTTCCGACGTGCCGAGTGAGTCCGGCCTGTATAAATCAGAACACAGAAAATGTCATGAGCATGCAAGTCAGGCTTTGAACAGCATCAGCAGTGGTTAAAAAACGCACAGACTATTCAAATATACGTTGCTGCATTACAAAGTGTTTGCAGGTCTAGGGCTGCACGGCGCCCAGTGTGTTGCTGGTTACCAAGAAGATCCTATCCCATTGAGACAGGAGAACCATAACGTGGAGACCTATTCGTAAGGTGGGCTACGCTTTGCAAGGAAATGGTGCTCTGCCAGTTTCTGCCAATGAGGAGGTCTTTAAGGATAACATGCATTCCGTGAACAACCAGGGCCGGTGGAAGCAGTTTTTGATTGGTCCGGCTATACCATAGTCTTTCATACTTTGTGTATAATATGGCGGGTGCACATTCCTTCCTTAGCAGTAACACACACATTAGGGGTCGTCCGTAATTATCGAAAAAATAAAAAATCCGTCCTCGTGCAAAATTGTCTTTGACCCACCCACCCACCCCCATTTTTTCCCATTAATTTTTTGATTTTTACCGATGCCCAGCTCGAAAATAAAAACTCCTGACCCCATCCATGCTCACTGACTGCACCTACATGTACGTGTATGTCAAGTAGATCTACTAGTAGTAGCTAAGTACAGTGAGCAGTAGGTCTACCGACGGCCATGCACGTCGTAGATCATACTGGTGGTTGCGGCAATCGATCCTACACTACTGTAAAAGCAGAAATTCGTAAAAGCAGAAATTTTCGGTGGTGTAATATTTTCGGTATTCTCCAAAATCGGCGGTTCGGCGGTGGGAAATTTTCGGTAAACCCGCGTTCCAGGTAAGTGTACTAGTACTATACCGACATTTTCGGTGCGTTTTATTTTCGGTAAAAATTTCGGCACCGAAGTTACCGAAAATAAAACACCACCGAAAATTTCTGCTTTTACAGTACGTCTACAGCAGATCTACACTACACAGCCATGTCAGTGCAACAAGTGTATGAAAGTCACTGGAGAAAAAAATAAAAAAATAAAAAAAAGGTACGAAAATCAAAAAATTAAATTCCGCCAGCACTCTTGACCACCCACACCCTTTTTGCCTGAGGACGGATTTTTTAATTTTTCGAAAAATACGGACAACCCCTTAGTGGCCAAAACTATGGCCTGACCAACCGGACTGGATCCACCGGGCCTGACAATGTCACTTACCGACCGGGGTGGATGCATTGCAGGGTGGCAGCTCATTAAATGACGAATTAAACATTTGTGCAGGCACTTCTGAGCTGGGAGTGAGTGGTTGAGCACCGATCACAGAGCCCAAGAGCGTGGGCGCTCCAAGGTCCAAAGCAGACCCATGCCCCTCAGTAGCCGTGGGCCTAAACAGCACACAGAATACCACAGTCATAGAAAAGCAATAACACCAAGGTATGTTCATTCTCAACAGAGTGCCCTATCTGTCTCTCCTATTTAGTGCTGGCTAAAAAACCAAAATACATTTCACCTTCACTCGCAACACTCCGATCATGTCAAAACAGCACACTGGCAATGCACATCCACACTTCATAGGTACTATTATTCCTACCCTGTGCTGCCAGGCATGCCTTCATGCAAGTCGCCACGATAGATCTGTGACATAGCTATGCTCTCCTCCCGGTCCTGCTCGGCTAGCTCACGCAATATCTCATCGTCGTCGCTGTCATCCAGGAATTCGTCGCGCTCCTTTTGGAGCTGCAGCAGTGCTCCCAGGTCACCGGTACCCACTGCACGTTGAGCTTCAGCTTGACTTGTACTGCCTGGTGTCGATGGAACATTGCTGGACACACTGCCGTTATTAGCGACTGTGTCGGCATCGTAAGTTTGTCGCGAGACACTTTGACTGGCGGCCTGGGCATCCTCCAACAACTGCTCCAGGTCAAAAGTGGACAGCGAGAAGCTGCTGTTGGTAGACGAGCGACGACTGGAGACTTGACGTGGATCTTGGGATGCCTGAAACACAGTGCCCACTGCAGGTGGCTGAGAGGATCCACTGACTGGCGTAGTGGCCTGTGAGCTTGATACAGATGACGGTTGTGAGCTTTCTGCGAGCACACCCGACGAATCCAGGTTGGCTAGCAGCTGCACTGAGAAGGAACCTGAAGTACAAACCCCACACAGAATACCCAAATGCACACCGTCAGCAGTACACAAGACAAAATAATCAAAGCCTCAACAGGAACATCACAACAAACATACAAACACAGACACGGTACCTACTAAACACAACACAAAGTGGAGGATTTTTGTCCGCAAATAACAGGCTGCTGGCAACAAACACAGCGGCGCTTGGCAGCAAAGCTACCATTCAGTGTTCTGCAACGACCGCTTACCAGAGTTTAACAGCCAGCTCTGGGAAGACATGAGCGCCTCTGCATCCGCCGGCTGACTTTGCGGCATGTCATCATCTGCACATAGCCAGGCAGTAAAAAATATACAGAGAGAGAGAGAGAGAGAGAGAGAGAGAGAGAGAGAGAGAGAGAGAGAGAGAGAGAGAGAGAGAGAGAGAGAGAGAGAGAGAGAGAGAGAGAGAGAGAGAGAGAGAGAGAGAGAGAGAGAGAGAGAGAGAGAGAGAGAGAGAGAGAGAGAGAGAGAGAGAGAGAGAGAGAGAGAGAGAGAGAGAGAGAGAGAGAGAGAGAGAGAGAGAGAGAGAGAGAGAGAGAGAGAGAGAGAGAGAGAGAGAGAGAGAGAGAGAGAGAGAGAGAGAGAGAGACAGAGACAGAGAGACAAGATAGTCAACTTCTTCTCTCTTTTTTATTTATATTTTATTGATTTTCCAAAGGCAAATAGATGCCTATTATGGGAATCTCAAGGGTGAAAATGCATGTATGTAAAAAAAACTCTTGCAGGTGTCAAGTACAGCACAGCAACCAGTACTAGATCACCAGTATTTAACCACCATGACAAGAAACACACAATCCAAGCAACGGGAACTGTACGCACCACTCGTGGCCATTTCAGAGTCTTCAAACAGCGTGGACATCAGCAGAACACCAGTGGATCTGCAACGCACATAGTACCAGTGCACATACAATGAAAGAAACTCCAAGAGAGGCAAAGAGTAATGGATTTATACAAGGCTGTCACGCTCTCGTTTAGGAATTGCAAAAACTCCTGACCACACGGAACCCGTCATGGTCATGTTTCGGGTGAGGTCATATAACACGCAAGTTGTCCGCACATTGCACGTTGGGCAGTTAATCCGTACTCATCTCAACGTCGAGCGGCAGCGATCACAACGCAACAGTGAGCTGGTGCGGGACCATGTGTGATCCTGTAGACTACACTTACAAGTTCTTACAGGTAATGAACGTAGTTGCACTCGGCCATATGAGGTTCCTTCCCCTGACTGGAACATCATGGTGGGTCACTCTAACGTAATTTACGGCAACCAAAAGTGTTCCAGTCAAAAGATTTGCCCACAATACAGGAAGGCATATACATGTCTAAGTAAAGTAAATTATTGTGTCCGTTCCCGAAGGGAACTCACGACGGCCGCTTGCACCCGCTAAACCCTAGCGGCAGATGCAGCGCCTAACGGTGGGGGGAGTGGAAAGTCTCACAACCACTGGCACAAGTGTATGCAAGTATATGCATATACCAAAGGCAATATCTGCAATATCTGTGATCAGGGGTATTGCCAAGTTCAAACTGAGGTAATATCGCTATCCTCATCAAACACGGAGAATAATCAGTCTATTAATCACGACAGTGGCAGCTTACTGGTTTGCCTGACTGCTCTCCTGTTTTGGTACCATTGGCGATGCCCTGGAGGTAAGCAAAGAGCAACAAAGACAGACCTCCTTTTCCACAATGGCACTCAAGCCCACACTATCAAGCCAATAAGAATGCACAACACATTTTGTATAATAACATTCTGGCAGCTGCAGCAAGTCATAACCAGCAGCAATAGTACTCAAAGAAGGCTTGACAACATTATACTCAACAACCTGCAAAAAAACGCATAAGATGATTTCTGAGTTCCCTTGGAAAATCAAACTTTCTCAATTTCCGGCCACCAATGTAGAATTTAGATGACATTCCCGCACGCTGGTGAGAGGGTCACGCATGAGATCATCACCATTCCGAACCAATGCATGTTTTTGAGGTCGGCAGCGGACACGTGGGTGCTTTCATCTCGGGATGCAACAGCAACGGATGCTTTCCACAGGAAGCAGATCTGCCATCTTTTAAGAATATCATGCCCACAAATAATGTCTAACGCTGATCTACATACAGTACTCCGTTGTGATGCCAAGCCAATATCGGGAATCAGCAGAAGAGCACCATGGAAATTATTTGGCCATGTTGTACGTCTCCCTGATGCACCTCCAGCGCAGGCGAGCATGACAGCATACTTCCAGCAACAGAATCTGGGCTGGCGAGGACACCTGTGCCTCACCCTACTGGTGGTGATAGATACCGAGCTAGCTAAGGAGACCTCCCTGCGTCTTCGACGTCTGAATGGCCTGGAGACACTGCAATCGGTGGCTCGGAACAGGCAGTCATTTAACGATCTAACCACACAGGTCACATTGTAGACTCCCATTTCCTATACACTGCTCTGATGCATTCGGGTGCAAGCGCTAATTATAGGAATTCAGTGTACCCTCCCCCCCCCCCAAACATCATTTTAAAATGTTATAGAGCATTCAATACTTGCGTGGTTTCCCGAAAACAATGTTGTGACCCTCTCCCTTGCCGTTGCACATAAGCAGCTCACTGCTGGCCATATTTGTACACACCATGCAAAAATACATTTTACTGGAATGCAATGGTATAACAAAGCCATAAATACATGTACTTACAGTCGCTGCTTCACGATACGCCGAAGATCACGCTTCAAACGCTTCTCACAAGGCACGTCCTCCATGTCACCCCTATCTGTTCCCCAACAGACAGAGCATGATACAAGGATGGAAAAAAACTTGATTGCATAGCATTAGATGATCCCCTTCATCATTTTCACCTTGAGTGTACGCAGCCAAAAGCAAGGTGAACTTGACTCCAAGTCAGCAAAACAGCGCGTGGAAGCACACCCGCAACGCAACACACAAGCAACTTGCCTGGTGATGTTAACCTCTCTGGTGGCGGCAGTCCGAGGGTAGAGCAGCGCTTCTGCTCCTCTTTCCAGATGGCAGCGATTCCAGGATTAGCCACGCCACCTGGAGCAAACAAGCAAACAAGGAGACCAAGTAAGTATGCGTATAAAGTGTACAACTGTGACCCTAGCAAAATGAAAATAAGAAAATAAAAAATTGACTCAGATTCGCGCACAGGGCGGGTCAAGAACCGCCTTTCTGCTTCCGTGGGACGCTACCATCCCATGATCTGGCAGAAATAGGATAACAATAATGCCAGCAAGGTGTAGCTCACCTGTGACTTCTTCGTACTGGTTGAGTATATCACAGGCAACTGCATCGAGCTCCAGCTCACACTTGCTCTGCCGTGGAACTAGGTCCATCAACTGTCCACTACAACACGGATTAAAAACAGATGCACAGGGTTAAAAAATAAATAAAAACTGTTAGTACAGAATGGAAAAGGAGGAGGCTAACTTCAGCATAATCAAAGCCTCGTAACATTGAACAGTGCCATGTCACATCGTGTGAAACATCGCGAGCCCGGTTAAAGCAGCGTTCTAGTACCATAAATTTTACGCAGTGTCTGTACTGGAGTAACAACCACTCAATTCCTCAGTGAAGGTTAACTTATCCAGCGAATGCCGCTGAATGGCCGGGGGTCATCTCCTTAGGTTGTTCACTGCCACATTCAACATAAGTCCTCCAATCCTACGGGACTACTGCACACCAAGCTGCAAAAATGCGTACTGTACCGAATAACAGTTGATGTGGTCCAACGAGCTCTGCAAATCTGCCTGTTGGAGTGCGAGCTACCGCTCAGGGAAAACGAGCTGTCCGCATCACCTTCTCCTGCTACAGGGCAGTAAAAGGAGAAACAAACAAAGAAAGCAACCAAAAACAGAATCTGTTGTTAGCAAGACTTTACATATAGTGTGCACAAGCTAGTCTTCATCAGCATACAGTGAACACTATAAATTTTGTTAGCAAGACTTTTTACATAATAGCATAGTGCTCACAAGCTAGTCTTCACCAGCGTGCAATGTACACTGTGAGTTCCGTACATCCATACACTATTCTACGCGTGTGTGATGTGTACGCATCCCCCATGTCAAGCCCTCAGAGCTAAAGCAGCGCATGACTCTGCGCAGGCATGTGGGTACGAGGAGCTGCACAAACGTTTCTTGCAACGGTTGTCACCATTGCCATAGCTCAAATCAGTGAAATTGGGTCCAGAGAGGTGAATGCCTCTCATTTCCAGGACGATGACTGGCATTGTAGCTGCATTGCGTACTGGTCAAGTAGCGGACAGATGGGGGTGCGGAAGTTGAGGTCAGAGTAAATAGGCTACCAGCAGAGCTATTGATACATACAGGTTCCCCAGTAAGTCTAATTACCGACACCCTGTCACAACAACTGGGATACACAATCAAACACCTGACACATAAACACGAGCACAGTATTAAACATGTGTTCACTCTTTCATTTTACCTGGCAGGGGAAGACGGAATTTGACAGACGCCAAGTTCAGGAAGCTCATTCCATACAGGTTATAATCCATGAAAACCTACATAAACAGAGAATCAGACATCAGAGTCCTGCGGTCCGATAGAGTGCTCAATGCTCACAGGAGCAGAGCTATAATTATATAACTTGTGGAAACAGAGAACACTATTAGAAAGAGCACACACTACAAATTCTACACAACAATTTGAAAAGTGTCACAAGTAAACTGTTGTGCCTTCTCTTCAGGTGAAACTTTTCAAACTGTTGTTGTTAAAGAACCTGGAGTGTGTGCTCTTTTTTAGCGTTCCAGCATTGTTGTCTCAGGGGAAACATTTTTTAAACAGAGAATCATGAGCACTGTTACACCAAGAGCGTAAGAGCTGAGTTACTTTTGGCTACACCAATGCGGAGACACAACCACAGCCCAGGCGAGTAATACATGTAAATCGACGGGGCTGTGTTCCATGCTTGGCAAAGATAGTCAACCGCTAGCCATGAACAAACGTTGATGAGCACTACACACACCACACGAGTTATCAATCAATCAATTAATCAATCAGCTGTGCCTTGGTTTCTCACCTGCATGAGGAAAGGTATGTGAGCTTCATATGGTTCTAGTAACTTCTGCATGATGGCGCCATTGCGCAATAGCTCAGCCAGTCTGTTAACAACAAAACCCCGATAACAGTTACCGGTACATGAAATTATAAAACCATGCACACAGTCACACAAACACGCATGTATACACAAGTACATGCACACGCACACACATACATACACACAGTGACACAGAGAACATTTACAGAAAAATGACGGCAAGGTTGCATGCACTAAAAAACAGAATGTACACTGCTGTGTCACAAGACAACAGGGATAGGCTGTGGCCTCGCAAAGCACAGCAGCAAGTTATGTGTACGTCCGCAACAGATCTCTGCCCTCCAAGTACTCATGTAGTCTGGTACAGAGGGAGATGGGGCAGTTGGAAACAAACACGCATACGCATGCATACACACATCTCATGCGTGCACACACATGCACACACACACACACACACACACACACACACACACACACACACACACACACACACACACACACACACACACACACACACACATACACGCGTGCACGCACACACACACACACACACACACACAAACACACACATACGAACAAACACAAACACACACACACACACATACACACACACACATGCTGACAGTGGGAGGTGCAACTACATGAGTCATGCGTATACTCTGTGGTACAACACTCTCCCGGGCACATACCTTGGTACCAACATAGGGCTGTATAGCAAAATCTTCAGGAACGTCCTAGGATGGGAATGATATCCATAATAAGGACTGCAAAACAAAGCAAGAGCAGTCAAAGCAAGAGCAGTCAAAGCAAGAGCAGTCAAAGCAAGAGCTGGTATATGGTGCTGGTAAGATGTTCATACATGTATGGACTAAGACTCAGTCTACGAGACATAAGTGGGCGTCAGTAACAATTCAGCGACTGTTCCAAGGATAAGAGCGTTTTGTGTGATGTTCAGTGTGTGTTGACAGCTGACTATTCCATCTTTACTGACCTTTTGCCCACCCACATACCCACCCACATACCGTATTCATCCATATACAAGTGCATGCCCTTATAATGCGAAAAATGTTTTTTTCCATTTCGCCAGGAAGCAAATGTTTCGAATACAAGGGCATGCCTTTCAATACGAGTACTCTAATTTCAGAAATTTTCGGTGCTCAATATTTTCGGTATGAGGTCAACAGGCTAGGTTAGGTGAACAGAACTTTTCGGTACAGACAAGCAGTTCCCTATTGGATTATGTGTGTTAGTGTTTGTTCGGTGTATTGAAATTTTAGGTATGAAACAGACGCACCGAAAGTACCGAAAATAAAAGTACACCGAAAATTTGTGAAATTACAGTATTCAAGTCTTCAAAATACACTCTTGGGTCTTGAGTTTTGTCATGCCTTTATACGTGGAGGTGCCTTTGTATTCGAATATAAGTGCTTGTCCTTTTATGGGCGTGAATACTGTACACAGACTGCAGTGATAAGCTTCTGAAATGTTCCGCTGGTGATGGAGGTGCAACCCTACATCGTGTGGATCTCTTGTTACTAGCCAAGTAACCTGCAAGTGCACGCATAGGTCATGAGCACTGCGCCAAAAGCCAGAGCACACAACGTCACACGGCCATGGATTAGGCCACTTTGAGATAATTAATTTTCATGCCGACGTGATACAAGCTGCCCTGCTGCAGTACCAAGTAGCAGAGATCGCACGCATGGGCATTACATACATTGTCTGTGAAGTGTTGTGAACTGTGGTGAATTTTTAATGTTATTTTTATCACTGTGCCCACCAGGCAGGTTTGGGAGTTTTCTACACTTGCCCAAAATTACAAAAATGATGATTCCTATTCAGTTGTACACGTACATGTAAATAACAAGTATTACTTATTCATTGTAACCTCACATTCCAGTGACAGGTGTTATCTTGAATACATGATGTTGTTGACGGGATCCCTGGCCCAGAGACACTTGCAGAGCATTATCGATACTGAAGGCTAGCTGCTCAAGGAGCTCCACAGTCGGCGAGGAGTCACCTTCTCCATCGTAGGCCACGTACAGATAGGGAAACAGGCCATGGATGTGAACGCAGGCTTTCTGGCCTGCAGGAGTGGTTCCAAACACACGCACGACTGGTACACGACGCACGGAGGAAGCCCGACCTTCCGAGTAAACTGTGTCCACTGTACGCAACGGAACTTCTGAGTAGAAGTCCGCCGTCACAATGCGAACTGAAAAAGTGGAACTCTCCATCCTTGTAGATCAGTTTCTGATTACGTTTTACATGCACTACGACGTTCGCCCCAGTACCCACAGCTGATGAAGCTGCCAACAGACATTATGGAAAACCCAACGGCTCTCAAGATATAATTCCAACTATTTGGTGCCATAGCATTTGTCAAGGGCATAATCATGGTAAAACATCTACCAGTACTCAATGTTTCTTTCAACTCAAAAGAAGAGAAAATGTTTGAAACAGTCGACAAGCCTCGACTTGTCCTGCTGCTTGCATGCTCTCATTTCAAAAAATGTTAGGGTTTTCCCCGAGCGCAGCACACGTGCACGTGCGTACTGGACCCCGGTTGGCACACATACCGGCCTGTGGCCGGGATTCGGGAGCCAGGGAGTAGGACTTGTGGTACAAAAATTTATATTAATTACTACAAATAGTACAGTGTGTAGTAGTACCAAGACTGGGCAAGAGTGCATACGTTTATGGACTCTTCGTACAGTACAATCATACAACAACTACAAACATGTTTTATTGTAAAAGTACAAGAGGTGGCCTCTTCAGAAAAACGAAATTCCTCGAAACTCCATAACCGTACAACCTCATCCGACGGGGGAGGTGGATCATAATAATAATTGTAGTTCCGAAGAGTTCGGAATAGCTACGTCACATAGTACGTGGAGATGGTCGATCTGATCGGACGTCATCATCGCCATTACTATTCCACTGAAAACTCTAAAACGATAGAAACCGTTCTAATGCCCGTAATGGGACACTTCAACTGATCTCTTTTAAAAATTTGTTCGAACAGTTGATAAAGACAATTCGAACGCCCCCTTAGTACGAAAACTGCTTTCTTACGGTGCACTGTCTGCCTTGTGATACTACTCGAAGTAGTATACTGCCATCATCGTACCTACCTGGAAAACTATCACGCAAACTCATCCAGGTATCCTGTTCAAATCATGGAGATCAACAGAGTGTAACAAGTTGTAGCGTGCTAATGTGGTGCACACTGTGCCTGAGATAGATGGAGAGAGAGAGAGAGAGAGAGAGAGAGAGAGAGAGAGAGAGAGAGAGAGAGAGAGAGAGAGAGAGAGAGAGAGAGAGAGAGAGAGAGAGAGAGAGAGAGAGAGAGAGAGAGAGAGGAGAGCAGAGCAGAGAGAGTAGTGAGAGGCCTAGGAGGGGAACATCACACGCCTTGACAGCAACACAATTGTCATTCGAAGGGTGTGAATTCGTTCACAGTAGGAAATGAAATTAGAACAGTTGCCAAAGCAACGGCAGCTTTATCGCCCCATATTTAAACAGGGCACATAAATAAGCAGAGTGTGCGCAGAGTAAAGGACTGAAGCTGAAATCCACAACACACAAAGATATAAACCAACAGAAGCACCCAGGCAGCAAGAGGTAGCCTAACACAAAAGAAGAAAAAATCTATGAAGAGCAGAGCACAACAATTACAACCATTCACACGGTGAACATAGTGCTTTACGGAAACTAAACTGTAACATTATCGGTAGCTGCGGAAAACTGGACACGTGCCACTTTCAGCAGGAGAGAGAGAGAGAGAGAGAGAGAGAGAGAGAGAGAGAGAGAGAGAGAGAGAGAGAGAGAGAGAGAGAGAGAGAGAGAGAGAGAGAGAAGAGAGAGACAGAGAGAAATAGAGAGCTGAGGCTGAGAACCCAGCTCCTAGACAAGAGGAGACAGGCTGGAGGAGAAGTGTGGGCATTTAACTCAAGTGAGATGATGAAATAAAAGCTATTCGAATGACACCTGAGCAAGCCAACGCTATCCCACAGGGAAGGCAAGGCAAATGGCTGGTATTACCTAAACGAGAGTGAATGGCATAAAAACTGAGGGGAATGGGACAGGGAAACATAAAAATCAAGCAGTTTCACAGCATTCCACATGGGAAAAAAGCGTAAGCATCGGATGCAGAAGCACAAATCAAACTATAGAATATGTCTGTAGCAAATAAACAGCAAATCCGTTGTCATATACTCTTAGCACTAGCAATAGGCTATGGAATAAGTCTGGGTAGCAGGCATAGCAATTTGCTCCAATAATCTGTCTTTGCCTTCGAAGAATCCAGTGCCATTAAAGAAATTTCTCTGTAGCTAAATAAATCTTGTCATGAAAAGCCTTTCTTGTTCTCGTTGCAGGCGCCAATGAAAGCGGTTCGCCATAACTTAGTCTCCCCATCCGTTGCTACATACACAGTACACACATAGCAACACAAAACGAAACCATTAGGAGTAAGGTGGGTAAACTATGGCTTCATAAATTTAGGAGAAGAAGAAAAAATCTGGCCTCGTTTCTCTGTGCTGCGATGATGAGTCCACACTGGGTGAAGCAGTACTGTCCGCTAAATGAAGAGTTATCAACATGTGTACTGTATGTTCAGCATGATAAAGGCTATTCTCCCCATTTTTCTTGTATACGGGGAAGGTGGGTGGATGTCAATGGAACAGGAGAAACAAAAAGCGCTAAAAAAAAGTCAAGGTTAGCATGTATATTGGGTCCACCTCATCGTCTGTTTCTTATCAATCCTGATCATGGCCCAAGGCCAAAATATGTTTTATCTTGAAGTTCAGGGACAGTATTATTTTTGTTGAAATTAAAGTCTAGCATGAATGATAAATGCTTGGTATCTAGATGTCCTACAGTTGATGCAAGTGAAATCCGACTTCATGAGCAATGCAGTGGAGATTGGTTATAGCAATGCATAGAATGCAGACTGAGCTTACAACTAATTCCTGCTGCTCGCCACCCACCCTTTCGGACAGTCGGATTTAGTGACGGATCGACTAGGGCGACTCAGCTCCCAAGGGGTATCGCTATACAATAAGTTCTATCCAATCTCCACTGGAACAGCGCAGGGTCTGAACAGCTTTAGTATAGTCAGACCTCTCCAATCTGGATGCATCCGTTTGGAAGATTTCTGCTGCATCAACGAACGTCTATACCCAATGGCAATATCAAGATGTTATAACCGCAGGAGTATGCAACTTCGCACATGGGGTCTGTGTGGTGCGTTGCTCATATTGCGTAGCCATGAACAGGGCTACGAGCAGGATCATTGTGTCATTATTGATCTGCTATGGTTCCCATCGTCCAAGTGTGTTTTCTCGGAGACTTCGGAAGGCTTTGCGTGTGATACGCCGCGTACAGGCACTGCCCTTGAACATACTGCATCATGCGTGAAAATAACGAACATAAATGATAATCAAATCAAATCCAGCCGACTTGAGCGTCATTTCAATAGGGAGGTTCCGGGGTACGATTTTCCGTGCCAAAATCCGTATGGGCGCTACAGAGTTTTTGGCATGGAGAATCCGTGTGGACTGGCTTTCATACGAACCATGTTTCGTATGGAGTTTTTGCGTCATCGGGTGCAGAAAGATTTTTCGCATACAAATTTGGTACGAGAAACATCAATTTTTCGCGGGAAGTTTTGATTTCGGTACAAAATTTCAAAATAACAAAGCATAGCGCGGGAATGTGACGTGTTTGCGATCGTAACCTAGGCAATGACGGCAAACACATAAGTTCCGTACTCCAGAACATTTCACTACTCGATAACGACATATAAAAAATCCGTAGCGCCTCTACAGATTTTGGCACGAAAAATCGTACTCCGGAACCTCCCTAGTACATAATGAAGGCACCGTACACAGCACAAGCAGCATGAAGATCAGAGCTGCATACTCTTGAGGCTAAGTACTCTTGACACTACCACATGATGTGTATATTTTCGGTGTATCAGACGGATTGGGGGACGAGTCCTCTACAATGTACTTTTCTCTAGCTTCTCAGAGAAATTTCTCCTGGAAGTCGAAGAAACTGGACTGGTCCTGAAGAATTCGGAGATCTTTCGCCCATGCGAATTGCCAAAGGGGTCTTGAGTGACGCAAATGTAGTACACATTCTGCATATGCGAAAGGGAATGTCCTACACGCATGATCAACACGTGGTTTTTAGCAGTAGTTCGCATGCATTGACCCCGAAACGCGGGAATCTCCAAGTTTCAACTACCTTGGTTGCTTGGAGAGCTTGGAGACCTTCGGAGAATCTACTAAATCCAGAGTGAACAGCTCTCCAACTTTTCGGAGAGTCTCGTACTTTTCCGAGAGAATTTTAGAACGCATCCTAAGTGTACATTGTGACATTGCATATGCATGGCTATATGGAGACGACATACACGAGCACGATGTACACACATCTTGATCGTCTGTGTCGGGAAAGGCCTGCCGAAGACGGATTGCGAGCGCCGGATTAAACTGCTGGGAACGATCTGTTCCTCAAGAAATCCTACTAGAAATCGAGGGTGCTGGATTAAAAATGTCTGTACTACGAATATTGAGCTGTGCACTTGCAACGACCTTGTTTCATACATGAGGTCGGACTTCACTTGCCGCATTAATTTACGGTAAATGCCATACAGCAGGTTTCCAGAACACTGATTTTCTTGAACTAGAAATCAACAATTTTAAATCTTGAGAATAAGAGTTCAACACTTACTTCCTTTGAAAACATATTGACGCCCAGGGATATCCACCTTCAATAAAAAAAAACGGAGAAAGCACAAATAGCTACCAGCACTTAGCAATCCATATGATGACGCTGAAGTACCTAACTTTTGTAGGACCACCTACCGAAAATGCACCCGGTTCCACGACACCAATATCGCCTACTGAGGTAATTGCCTCAATGCTGATCGAACCTTGTGGTGCTCCTTTCTAAAATTGCAAGAAACATTTACGAATATTCTACATTAGAAGATCCTGCTACTTGGCTTGCGAATGGTGAATCAGGAATCTTACTCCGCCTTGAAAATAATGTGCCCATTTGTTGTCAACAACGAAATGTCGCTCCTTATACTGTTTGTTCATTTTACCCCTCTTCAGGAGGGTGCCTTCTTTGTAGACTTGCCTGCTCATCCTGCACTTCTACTGGCCAGATCAGCCTCTCTACTACCTATGGCTTCAACTACTACGCTTCACCTCCTTTCGTCCACCTCCGCCCCAGCTACTCAGCTCAGAAGGCTAGGCTGCAGTCTGTTTTCCTAGAAAATTTTGCCAAGAACATGCAACGCGACATCGATCGATCGAGGACGCGAGCAATCTACGACGGGTCGACGTCACGGACTTTGTTGTTCCCGTACCCGAGTATGATTACCGTAGACCTACCCTGTGTAAAACTCGCACATGCATGTCGACAGCTACATCTACAAAATAATTCTACATGTAGATCTACTGATGTAGCCTTGCAATGTTGTGTGTGTGTGTGTTTGTGTGTGTAGGAGGGATGATCCTCCCCAACGAAATGGCAGGGCCAACAATGGAGAAATCAGCTCTGAACTCAGACTGCAGGCTCCAGCTGCAGCAGCAAAGCTGCATGCAGTGTCACGTGCTTCGAGGAGGGCTTTATTCTGTGATCAGGTGATGACTCAGGGACATCACCAAGACAGAAACACGACTCCCTGAGTCCCTGATCCTGGACTCCGGATTGTCATGAATGAATGTTGAATCTGATCAGGGAACAATGCTGTGCTGGTGGCTCACACTCAGCCATCTGCTCTCTAGCATGTACAAGTAGCTCACACGTATCGCGGACCAGTGTCAAGTATGACGTAATCGTGGAAATAGCCGCAATGGTCACAGTACACATGTGTACTTGCCGTCCAGCGTCAGCTGCATGCCGGAGCGACAGCGCACAACACGTACAGTGATGTTGACAACCAAAGCAGGACTTTCAACGAACCTGACAGCAGGACTTTCAACGAACCTGACAGCATGACTGAGTACAATGTACGTTATGAGGGTTACATGCAGCTCTCACGTTCAGTCCTGTCCCAACAGGAATAATTTCAAGTTGACGTCACTTTTGACGTCCAAATGGACTTTCATCTGAGCCTGTAGAGAACTCATACACACAGGCAAACATGAGACCTGTTCACATCCTGTGTGCTTGCATGCATGGGCATTAGAATTTAGAAAACACACCTACAGTGAGCATGGCACGCATGGACTTGAAATTCTGCCGGGCAGGACTGCATGCGGGAGTTGTGACTCCTGCACTCTTCACTTGGTCATACTCTTGATAACATACAATGAATGTCATGTATTTCCCAACATTCGGGTGACCAACACAAGTCGTCTATACCGTACAAAGAGATAGGATGAAAGAAAGAATGGGTAGTAATAGAGCAACGTTCAAGGGCCACACAGCGAGGAGGGTAGCAAAGTTCCGAAAGAAAGCGTTCCTGGAGCTAAAAACAGTGTTGGGAAAGTGGCCAGCACTTACGAGTAGGAAGGGAGGAGCGGTTGAAAACATGGATAATCCAAATATCAATCTACAACTTAACTTGCAAACAATAGCATTGGACAGCTTCATTTAAAAAAAAAGAGAAGAAGGATAAAAACATATTCACAGCATCAACAAGGACATAAAAGAAAAAAAAAGAGAGTCGTGAGCCAATGGAGAAAGAAAAGGTATGTACAAGTCAGAAATGAAGTAGAGAGGGTGGTGGCATCCTAGCCTGAATGGCGACAGCAATTGAGGAATGGTGCTGAGACTCACCGAACTCGCAGCAAGACCTTGCGCTGAAGGCGATGCTGCAGCTCCCCGCGGCGCAGCATGACGTGGATGACAGTCATGATGGTACGCTCAGCAAAGTTCTGTAAGGACACACACATGTATACACACAACCGTTATGGAAGGCTCAGGCCTGCATCAATTTTTTTGCTCACAATGCCCCCCCCCCCCCCCCCACACACACACATCAAAGGCCATTGGAACCTGACTCCACTAGATGTCAGAGTACTCTGACTAAGCAAATCTGGGGAACAACGTTTTGCTACTTATGTGAGGGGAACCACATTAGAGTCTTCAGAAAAAAACTTCAAGAAGTGCAATCCTGGCTGGAGAAATCCGACCCAATGAACATAATAGCACCGGGGACTACGTGGTCCTAGCACCACACACACACACACACACACACCGCTCTGCTCACTTGCTGTGATGTGTTACTATACTCATGGCCAACAGTATCCCCATCTTGTCTGATGATCGCACTGAGCATGGACGTGTTGCAATTTGATTTCAGTGCATGATGCACACAGCAAACTCACCTTTGACATAAAATCTGAGACAATGCGCTGTTCCGACACCTGGTGGAAGCAAAACACGCCAGAACATACAAAACAATCATGCACCCTGGAAATGCAGGCACCTTGCAATGACCAAAGATCAAACCAATCTACTTCTGAACTGCTTCTAGCGAGACACCACCAAAGTCACTACTAACCTGGGAGCCAACAGGGAAACGGCTTTTCAGCTGCTGTTCGCATCGCTGCACTTCTTGCTGGTCTTCGACAGGAGTGAATCCTTCCACGCCGGTCAAGCTACCAGAAAGCGCAGCGTCAAGGGTAGAGACTTGGAAGAGACGCAGTGCTTCGTCGATGTGAACTTCCGTGGCAAACGGCTGCATGCCCATCTTTGCAATGGATTCTGCAATACGGACGACGGCCTCCAGTTGTCTAAACAGAACACAAACACACCACGTAACAGAAGCAAGCAGGCAAGTTAGCAACGCATGCCTATTGCAGTCGATGAGAGAGAGAGAGAGAAAGAGAGAGAGAGAGAGATAGATGTGCTGGTACTCATTACCTTGTGCAAACCTGTCTATGTTCTAGTCAGATATGGAAAGCAGCAAGCATCAACACAAAACGGTTAACTGTGTGTTGGGTTTGAACAAAAAAATCAAGACTCGATATTAGGGAGGTTTCGCTCTACGTAATTACGTATGAAAGTCTGTATGTCGTACACGCTGGGGAGCGAGGGCAACTTTCATACGTAAATCTCTCTACGGATTTCCGTAGGAAAGCTGTTTCCTACGTTGGCGCCTCCGTAGGACTTTTTGAAATATGTTTCGCATTTTCGGGATTTATCCATAGCAAAGTTCAAGCCGCGCGAAACACAAGGTACACACACCGTACATCAAGTGCAAAATATGATGGAAAACGCAGTTTCGGTTCGTGGTGCATGCAGCCAACGCGTCTCCAAAGCAACAAGGCATGTTTAGCAGCTGTGGAGAAATCACGTAGAGCGAAACCCAACAGCGCTGATCTTTACGTATGAAAATTCCGTGCAGCTCCCACGTTATTTTCATACGTAATTCCGTAGAGCGAAACCTCCCTATTAAGTTGAATATCGTATTCCGTACCCAGATGATAATCCAAAGAGCAACAACGAACACAGCTTACCGAACCGTAATGGGAATGCTCGACCTCTTGTCTGTTGCTAGTTCGTGCTCCCGTGACCCAGAGCGCATCAATACGTATTGGCTTTTGAGTTTTTCCGCAGCATCAGCGGACAGCCGTGGCGCACAAGTGCTGCAAATGATGCAATCACACAATACATGGGTGAGTTATGTGAAAATTAATATCAAAAAAGAAATTCAAGGCGAGAACGATTACAGATTTCGGCCATCGGCTAACCTATTGTTGTAAAGATTTCGGCCATCGGCTAACCTATTGTTGTAACGATTCGACTAACGATTATACTTTCGATTACCAATGTTGTTCTAAGTCTGTAAAACAAGCATTCTGGCTGCAAATATTTCACTCAGCTATCCTACACATCACTTTACAGTCATTTAAAGAACAATGCAGATGGAGAGTTCATCTGTTTGGTCAAAATTGCAAACCAAGGTGGTTGCTGCAGCTGTTCCAAGGGTTAGACGTGGCAAAAAGTTGAAACATATCTCTAGTAAAGGTCGATTTCCACCAACATACGGGCAGGCTGTGCAAATATCGATTATCAAATTCTACCGATTGTGTAATCGCTTCAGTTACTCGAACAACCGGTATAATCGTTTCAGGCGTAATAGATACACACAGTCACATCCACATTCAGATAGGATGTTCCATCAATAAGCCACGAGATGGACAGGCTCACTCTACTTACTTCCGGCAGAATTTGACAAACTTCTTTAACTCGCCAAGACTGAGCTCTCCCTCAGCTTCATCCGTACGCGTGCGAGCAGCAGCATTCAAATGCACGCGCATAACATGTCTGGCCAGAGTCTGGATAAGCCACAGACAAAGAATACACAGCGAAGATTACGCTCAGAAAACTCTCACCCCTTGGGCACAATCCAAATTGAAGAAATGCCATATCTCATTGACCACTCAGGCAAAACTAAGCGAGATGTGGAGGCGCTGAGGAGGACAACCTCACACGCCAGGAAGAGCCAAAGGCTGCACGTTAGAATTCAGCACCGGTCAAACAAGCTGGTCACGAACAACATAAGCCACAACCATGAACACCAAGAGCATACCTGATCCCTCTCCTCATTGTGTGTGTCTTTGATAATAAAGATCATATCGAACCGAGACAGAATGGTCGGCATGAAGTCGATGTTCTGAAAACAGAGGACAGCGACATCAACAACAGGGACAGACAATGCAGGAAAGTAAGAGACTGGATTATTCAGGATAACTAACAAGAGTAGGAATGTACGAGCGGGTTCTGGGCCAGGGGGCGCCCGGGTCCCAAAAAATGGGGTATTATTGAAAAATGGGGTACTAATAGTACCCCATTTTTGCGGTGAAAATTATTTTTGGCCCGGTTTTTTTGCGGATAAAAATATGTGCCAGGGGGTGCCCTGACCCCAAAAAATGGGGTATTATTGAAAATATGTGTTGTGCACATGTGGGTTTGAATCTCACTTTTTTGGGCCACCTTGCCCCGGATGGGAGTGGGTATAAAAAGTAGAATGTTGAATATGGTGTTTATCATGAAGTTTTTTCCGTGACCTACCCCACCTCCCCATGCAATTTTTCAAAAATGGTCCTGCTCGCACACACGTCAGAAAGGTCAGTTCTTGATAGATACGATACATGTCATTACAAAGAATAATGGAACGAACAGTGAATATCGCAATGGAGTGGAGGAGAAAGGTAGTACAATTCAGTTCTTGTTGTCCTGATTTCATCAAGCTGGTATTGGATGAGAGACCACAAAGTTTACTCTTCTAATACGTGTGAGGATGGATTCACCCATGATCTCTTCCGTGACACGCAGTACGAGATGGAGTTGTCGGACGCTCTGATGTGCACCAATGGTTCCACCCAGTCAGCAATGGAACTGTCAGTCGACGACCTCCTTTGCACCGCCATCGTGTCAACAGTCGACTCGGGTAATTTGGAGATAAATCCATCGTCGCCGATGTCGATCGTACCAACTCGCACACGAATCCGCGTTACTCTTGTTGCAACGGCACGGAGTTGAACGGCCTTGGTACTACGTCGTACACGCACACGATCAACTCGAGAGACTTCATTTTTCGTTCACCTCCTTGACAAGTTGCATTACGTCGCTGGAATCCAAATAGGTTGCATCAGCGAAGAGGTCGATGATGTGTTGAGAGCACGGTTCGTCACGCATGTCACTAAGCTTGTAGAATGAGTGTCTACCATCAGTCCACCTTCGCAGTATGACACCATCATCAGTCTCACTAATAGTTCCGTAGTCCTCCACACCACCGATGACGATTTTAGGAAGGTGCTGTTTCCTATTCTTCACATTCAAGATCAGGCTGGTGACCCTGCAGATAATATACTCAGCAGCAGTGAGTGGTGACATATCGAATCTTCTGGGATGTGCTATCATCGGGTCAAGATCCCTGGTTGTCTTGCTAGCACTGAGGCGACGGATTGAGAACTCTTCATTATCGCATGAAAATAAATACCATTTCTCTGCTCTGCACGTCTCAGAAAATGTCCACGCCATTTTAGCTTCTTCACACTGCAAGAAGGAGTCGATAATGAAACTGCAGGTTGAGACTACTTCACCTCGAGGTCAAAGTTCACGCCGCGATGACCTTTGTAAACAAGGCTACGTCTAGACGTCTCAAACAAGACCAAGGGGTCACGCCACGGGGAGGTGACGACCTTGGAGAACACGATGTGTTTCGAAAGCGGAAAGACGCCCCCGTCATGGTGAGTCTTTTTTGTTCGGGTTTGGAATCTTTCGACTATGATATCAGATTGAGATGTGAATGCCTTTCTTCTATTGAAAGGTCGATGAGACGGAGGATTTTTCTAGCTTTCTGCTCATATAATTCTTACTCTCATAGTACTTGATTTTCATATATTTTCAGGGGTGGAAATACGTAAGGCACACGGACCATGGATGCGCACATCATGGAGTGTGCATTGACGTCACAGTGGATTGTAGGATGCATCATGTACCACACAAACACACACACACACATGCACATAATATACATACACTGTGCAATGACATCACAGCGAACTGCACGATCGGTGGATGCTATACATATACGGAATTCCGTGGTCTCTTCTCATACAGAGATGGTAGAGAGGAATTCAAAAGGAATCTTGGAAAGAGGACTCAACTGTCAATAGAGCGATATTCCCCGCTCGGAGCACGAATATTCCCCGGGTCTTGCGACAGAGTAAATAAGGGAGATGTTAGTGCTGATCACGCTCTATTTGGGATAGTACATGGGATAAATGGATTATACCATTCGTACTCTGTGCATACCGTACCCATTATATTTTCAATCGTGCTGACGCACTCATGAAAATATCTAGCGGTGTATCCCTCGTACCAAGAGTACATGTACTCTTGCTCGTACTCGTGGGATAATCGATACATGTCTTAGTGCTGATCGCGCTCTATTTGGAATAGTACATGGGATAACTGGATTATACCATTCGTACTCTGTACATACCGTATCCCTTATATTTTTCGTCGTGCTAACGCACTCGTGAAAGTGTCCAGCAGTATACCCCTCATACTCATGCGATAATTCTCATGAACGCCATCAGCTTGTACATAGCACTCAATCATTTATTTTTTATTTTTCAATATGAATGACATTGTGAATCATGACCGAAGACTGTTCACATCCTTCTTTGTGAGCCAGGTATTGAATTTATTATCTGTGTAGCCTTTCCATTGCACAAGACGTTGATCCTTGTTGTATTTTAACACCTTGTCGAATCTCAAACCGGTCTCTCTGGCGTGTTGCAGTTCTGCTTCGTAAAACGATCCGATGATGTGTTCTCCCATCAGATCACGAATCCTGTAGGTGTGTGGTGATGTTGATAGGATTTCATCCACCTCGAATACTTCCTCCGTCCAGTTCGCAGTGTAGCCCTTCTCGAAATGACGCTTAGATACGGTTAGGCGCACCTCGTCACCCACTTTGAACTTGGGTTTTGACTGCAGGGGGTCTTGTTGATCTGCATCTTTTGGTATTCTATCGTTCGATGCTTCGTGAGGTGTCATCCCAATGCTTCTATGCTTTGACTGGTTGTAGCGGTCTAGTAGATGAGGTAGGACATTGAGGTACGTGTTCGTGGATTTCTCTGTAAAGTGACGCCACATTCTTGCCTTCAACGTTCTATTGAAGCGCTCGACCACCACCGCTTTACCCTCGTTATGGGTGCTGTACATGATGACGTTGTGTTGTGATAACCATCGTTTCATGGGGGCATTGTAGAATTCCTTGCCTTCGTCTACCCAGAGTTTTAGCGGTGTCCTTCCGGATGTACTGACAATCTTATCGAACGCATCTCTCACGGCGGTACCCGTCTTCGATTTCAAAGGCATTGCCCAGGCATAGCGGCTGTATAAGTCGATGACTGTTAGCAGGAATTTGATGTTCTTATTGCTTCGGGCAAACCGTTGCATATCCACGAGATCTGCACTCCATATATGGTCAATTGCTCTGCTCTTCACCTTGCGTCTTTTGAAATGCACTCGTCTGGGCTTGTGCAATTCGTTAGCCAGTTTCGTATGGAACTGTGCGGGTTCTGTCTTATTCTTCCGTCTTCCATCCTGAATTGCCTTTTGCACTTTGTTGTCCCAAAAGGCTCCAGCACCTTCCAGGGCACCTGAACTGAGAACCAGTTGATCGTTTTCCAGCTTTTCGTCATCATCAAAGACTCTTCGGAAAATTCGAAGTGCTTCATCCAGACCATATTTGGAAAATAGCTTTCCCATCAATATGGCATACCATCCACATACTGCTGTGCTTCTGTCTTGAACGGCTTGGGTGTTGGTGATGATCTTACAGTCTGCGTAGGCTTCTTTAAAGAAATCGCACAGTGCAGGTTCAGTGTAATCTTGCTCCATAGTGTATAGACTGCGTCCGAAACTGTCAAAAACCAGGATCACGTTTTGCTCGCGACACACGGTCAACCAATGATGTCCGCCTTCCGTTGCATCGTACACCGGTAGAACGTTGTCGGTGTTGACGATACAAAAGTCTCCATTGTTCAAGGGTGGCAAGAGGTCGTAACTCGTGCAGCCCACGAACCCTCCGACACCATTCAATCTTCCTTTGATATCGGCACTGCTGAGAGGATAGTCCATTCTTGATCATAGCCTGAAAATATTTGGCACGTGATCACATGGAGCGTCCGCTCAGGATATCCTTGATGATACGAGTGATCCTGCTTTTGTCCTTCAGCACCTGTTGAATGAATGATGCATCGTCCACCATCACCTTTTGTGCTCTGATCATGAAATGCTCGGGATGGATCAATTTTGCTTCTGTTGTTCTACCATAGGTGGAAGTCATATCGTTGAGATCTTGAAACTTGAGCTGTGATCCCGGTATAGCTATCACAAGGGTGGTTAGTTCCTGAATCTTTCGTTCTGATCGAAGGAACCCATCGACGTGTTTGTTGATTCCCATGGCACCTGCTATGGCTGCAAACGGGTACCTGGACATGTAGATGCGATTCGTCTCGTTGACCAGAGTAGTGTAGTCGTTCATCGTCTGCGTCTTCAGGGCATCCGCAGCCGCTTCCACCCGACTCCTGAACCTCAGTCGATCTTCATCGTAGAGTTGCAGCAGTTGTGATCGGCTTGTGAAATAGTTGCTCTTCAAAAAGGTTACCGGTATATTTGTATGCCGGAGGAAACTGTCCAGGATTTGCAGGATCCATCGGTCAAATTCATGATCTTGTAGTAGATTGAAAGGCACCGATGTTAAAGGTGCCTTTCTCTTCTTCCTGACATCTGAAACGGAATCGCGAACTTGATCGGTAGTGGAATCATAGTTGAGTATGTTGGATGCAATCACATTTCTCACAGACGGGTAACTGATGTGATCGGGATTGTTTTTGAAGTGGGTGTCATATAGACGCTTTACTCGCGGATCGGCTTGCAGTTCCAACAGGGTGGAGGTGCTCAAACTGTGATCTGGTACTTGGGAAAGAACTTTCTTAACGCTTTTCAAGTATGCATTGTAGTTATTACCTCCTTTTTGCCGCATGAGTGGTGGTATACCGAGAACTTCCCACGAATTTGCTCTCTTCTTAATGATGTGTTGAGGATGTTTCGTCATAAACTGCAAGGTTTGCAACCTTTTACGCTTGGGTA